AGACCACGTGACCAGCCCACGGCCCACTGTGACGTCCCAAACAAACGGTGCTGCCTCGCGTGGCCTTTTCTAATGTTATTAAAACACATTAACTAGCTGCACAGCGTTATTATGCAATATGTATACAATAGGCCGTACATGTTATAGCATAGATATGTTTGCGTGTCAAACTATACATGTCCATTGTGTACTATGCATGCAACACAGGTACATTCTAGATTTGAAGTTTTTGTGACTGCAAGGCTCCATGCCCTTTGGCTCTTTCGGTAAATTCGCGTAGGTGAAAATAAAATAACTAAATCACGACGTTTCGAAGGCCACACAAGCTTCTGTCATCAGGTGGGACAACCACAGCAATTTTTTGTTACTGTAGTGGCGGGAAGAGAGCTGTATGCGACAAGCGATTATATAGGGTATGAGCCAGGGAAGAAGGATACGGGAAGGTGCGGCGTGTGGAGTCGGGAGTTTAAGCTGTTGTCGTTATTTACTGTAGCCCCGAGGTATTTAGGATATTATCATATTAACATCCTTCTAGTGTGCGGTAGGTAACGGCTGGTGAGGTACCATGCCGGCGTGGGCCTGGGGGGGGGGGGGGGGTGTAGCGTGCTGTAGAAACTGGAAATGCGAATATTGAAGCAAGATATAAAAGCAATTAAATTTTTACCTGGTTAATAACATCCTTAATAACATCCTTACAATGGTGTGATTAATATGATAATATCCTAATTACCTCGGGGCTAAGCGCCCGACTTCACACCCCCCCCCCCCTGCATCCCTCCTCCCTGGCTCTTACCCTATATAATCGCTTGTCACATACAGCTCTCTTTGCTCACGACAGTAAAACATTTTTGCTGGGGTTGTCCCACCTGATGACGGAAGCTTGTGTTGCCTCCGAAACGTCGTGATTTAGTTATTTATTTTTATTTTATTTTCACCTACGTGACTTTACCGAAAGAACCAAAGAGCACAGCTACATTGTTTGAGCAAATCATGTGGGATGTGAAAGAGCTGCATAAAAGATTATTTCCCTGATTTCCGAAATTAGGGAGGCTATCATTTGGACTGTTTTTAATGTTATCACTATAACCATCACGACTACCATCTTCACCATCATCATCACGACCAATATCACTCACTATCATCACATCATTTTTTTTACCACCCACAAAACTATCACCAGTATCAAACTCACTCCTTCGTCACAAGGGATACCATCCCCACCACCATCACGATCAAAATCGCCAGCATCACCATCACTTAAACACCCATCATGATCAAGGAATAGCATCCACCACCATCAGCACCATCATAATCACCACCACTACACTCAACACAACCATCATTCTACTATCACCGCTATCACTCACCTGGGAGGCAGGTATATATTTTGGTATAAATCTCAAATATTGAGGTTATTGTAAAAGTATCGGAGATCGCCTGCAGGGGGAGCTGCGACTCGAGACGCGCAGTCCACTCGGCACGAGAGGACTCGCGAATGAGCCCCGATGACGCAACCGTGACGTCAGGGCAATTGGTCTGACGTCAGAGGCTTGTCACAAACGTCTCGTAGTGAGACCACGTGACCAGCCCACGACCCACTGTGACGTCCCAAACAAACGGGGCTGCCTCACGTAGCCTTTTGTAATGTTAGTTAAAACACATTAACTAGCTGCACAGCGTTATTATGCAATATGTCATACAATAGGCCCGTACATGTTATAGCATAGATATGTTTGCGTATCAAACTATACATGTACATTGTATACTATGCAAACAACACAGGTCCATTGTCTGGGCCAATTATGTGGGATGGAAAAGAGCTCCATAAAATACAATGTCTCTGACTTCCTAAATTCGGGGGGCTAACATTTGTACTTTTTTGTTATCAATATAATCATCACCACTAGCATCTTCACGATCATCATCACGACCAACATCACTATCATCACCTTAATTTTTATCACCCCCAAAACTATCACCACTATCAAAATCACTCCTTCGTCACAAGGTATAATACGATTCCCACCACCATCATCACGATCAGAATAAACAGCATCAGCTAAACACCCATCATCATCAGGGAATAACATCCACCATTTCCATCAGAACCATCAAAATCACCACCACTTCACTCAACACAGTCTACCATCAACCACCATCAACTCGCCTGGGAAGCAGGAATAATTGTTTGTCGAAATCTCAAATAGTGAAATTGTTGTAAATGGTGTCGAAATTCGCCTGCAGGGGGAGCCGCCACTCAAGAAGCGCATCCACTCGGCACGAGACTCACGACTGAGCCCCGATCACGCGGTCGTGACGTCACGGCAGTTGGTCTGACGTCAGAGGCTCGTCACATGGTCCCAGAATCATGAATATTTATTTATTTACACTGCAGCAATCCGATGAGCAATGAAGCTCTTTTTCCATACACGTCCAGTCTCGTCGTAAATTAGGGCATACTATTTTATAACATAGAAGATCTGCGCGTGTGCGTTAAAGTGTACGGGTCCATTGTATGAGCCAATCATTATGCGGGATGTGAAAACAATCTTTAATTTAAACGAAATCTCCCTGCTCCCTTCATATATTCTGGGGGATATAATTTGCTATTTTTTCTCTTTAGGGGCCGTCCATAAATGACGTCACGCGTTTTTTGACGATTTTTTACCCCCCCCCCCCCCCTTCGTCACACGGCGTCACAAAAAGTCAGACCCCCCCCTCAAATATGACGTCACAAAGCTCTGCCCCCCCCCCCCCAAATAAAACATGCTTCAAATCGCTTTAAATTATTGTCATTGTTGTGCGTATTTAATGTGGCGCTGCACTCTGATGTTGTAGGAGAAAACATTTATTAAAAAGTCTATTTCATTAAGTAGAACGTGTCTATATTTAAAGTTGCGCATTTTGATGTGATGTCACATTTCTCACCCCCCCCCCCGTCACAAATGTCTGACCCCCCCCCCCTAGGTGCGTGACGTCATTTATGGACGGCCCCTTAAACCAAAGTCACATATACGCACACATTTTACATTTTGGACTAAAATTGGGGGTGGGGGGGGGGCAACTGCATACATTTATATTCATTTGTAATCTCTGTGTGTGGCTAAATGTGATGTATTACACGAGTTACAGGGCGATGAAAGTTATTTGGGCCTAAGGACAGGCATAGGCAGATTAATTTCGTGTCTGACGAATGCACAGAAGTGGGGAAGCTGGCTTAAAATAATGTGTATTTCCTGGATTGGTAAAGATGCTTGTTGTCTGCTCGTATTAAAACACTAAATCGTTGACTATTGTTAAAAATATTACAATCAATAAAAAAAGTTATTTTGGGTGAATATTGTTGCTGAGGAGCAGTTCTGTTCACGTGTTAAGATGCTGATTTTATCTCAAAGTAATTCCCATCCGATATTTGAAGGGGGTAATTGATGAAAGTAACCCTTGAGCTAGTACCGATTTTAGTACGCAAAATTCGTGATCTGATCCCATCTGTGAAAGATGTGATCCCTGACATGCAATACCCCGGTGTCTACAAGCTAAGTTGTGTCTGCGGCAGGAGTTACATTGGGGAAACTAAGCGACATGTCTCAGACCATGTTCGTGAACACAAGGCAGATCTCAAACAAGGGAGGACCAATACCTCTGCCGTGGCTGATCACTGCTTGAATGCGGTGGGCTCACACATTGTTTTTTCCGAGACCAAGGTGCTCTGCGAACCTTCGGGCTACCATCAAAAATTCGCTCATGAAGCCATCTAGATATATAAACACAGACACAATTTCAACCGAGAAGATGGGTACAAACTGAGCAATCATTGGAAGGACGTTATTAACCAGTTGAAGTTATAACTGGCTCTGATGTTCCCTTCCTACCTGCCTATATCAGCAGTTATTTGCAACTGAGTTACATTCACTAACACAGCCACCGTCGTTTGCTTGCTCCGATGTGGCTGTGGTTTTTCCGACCTTTTTCTGATCTTACATTTACATGCAGTCCTCGATGTGACGGCGCACCACGGAGCTTACATTGACATGCTAATCACATTTACATGAAAATTTCTCACCCACTTTGTGTATGACTCTGGGGCCGTCCATAAATGACGTCACGCGATTTTGACCCCCCCCCCCCATCGTCACAATCAGACCCCTCTCAAAAATGACGTCACAAAGCTTTGCCCCCCCCCCCTCCAAAATAAAACATGCTTCAAATCGCTTTAAACTTTTGTCATTGTAGTGCCTAATGTGCCGCTGCACTCTGAAAACATTTATTTAAGTCTATTCAATTCAGTAGAATGTGTTGTCTATATTTATTTAAAGTTGCGTATTTTGATGTGATGTCACATTTCTCAAACCCCCCACCCCCCAGGTGCGTGACGTCATTTATGGACGGCCCCTATGCCCATCGTAACATCAGCAGCTTCCCTCCGTTCGGCCTGATGACGATTGCTTTCGTTGCGATCGAAACGTCATGATCTATTATTTTTTCTACCTACGTGGCTTTACCGAAAGAACCAAAGAGTATGGATTCCTGCAGTCACGAAAGCTTGAACTCAAGACCAATCTCTATTCTTTTACCAGTTGCTAAAATATTTGGGAAAAATAATTAAAATTATAAACTGTTACATAAAAACTCAATTTCCTGCACAGTAAACAGTCTGGTTTTAGAGGAATACTGCACTACCACAGCTATGATGGATGCATCACATTTCCTCTTCAGTAACCTGGATAAAGGCCACGACGGCTGTGCGCCGTTCCTGAACTTGTTAAGGCTTTGCCACTGTTTCCATTAATATGCAACTCACAAGATTCGGTCAACTAAATATGTTCAGACAATACAATAAAATTGTTTCAGAGTTACCTCTCAGACCTTTCTCACAGGCAACCTGCCGGTGACCGACTGGAGCGGCTGCGGCGCACACATTTATACTTCTTGGAGGTCGGAGGGAGTGAGATTCAATAAACTTGGACCATTGTTTGAGAAAAAGAATGGACATTTACAGAAACATTGAAACGATGTTTATTCGCACAATTCAGAGGAATGTCATTGTTTTTTGATAACGCAGTAAAATTTCACCCAAACGGGTATTTTTAGTTACACAAATGATCCTTAAGAACATGTTAAGATTCTGCAGAGATCATAAATCCTTCCTTGAAGATTTGCACCTGCCCTGAAACCTGCCCGACAAAGGAAACCCATTGTGACAGTCTAAAATGGAATTATTATTAAACAGTTTCCCATCAGTGCAACAACAACAAACAAGCACAGCAAGGATTCACCGACGTTCTTGCCGCATAAACATTTTACGACTTTTTCCCCAGCGGTATCATCAATTCTTCAGCTATCTCTTTTTCCAGCAGTCACTTGGTCATTTTTTTTAATGGTTCGTTTAAACGTCTTTTAAAATACTGCATCCCAATTTAATATTTCCCATATTGCACACGTACATTAGTAAAGCACGCGAGAGAAACAAAACCTGAAAGTTTAAATGTTAAAATATTGTAATGTCAAATTGAGAAAAAAAACTGATGTGGATCCATTTTTCCTTTTAAAATGTTTAAACTGTTTTAAACGAATCCATTACATTTTCACGATGCCAAATTAAACGATAAAAGGGTAAAACAAGCAACGTTTTTCACGACTAAAACATAACATTGCCACTCAACAAACTTGTACATGGTAAATGCCAAATTTTTTTAGATTACAAAAGTAGTAAAAAAATGCTGAAAATGTATTACCTATGTTACACAAGCGTATATATAAATCAATGTTTATCATGTACAATTAAGCATACCACTCTTTATCAGATTAAATGTGTAGCCCTCATTGAAGTACAGCATTTAACGATGAGTCTTGTGTTTTCGCTATACATAAACAAAACATTGTTTAGAATATCAGAACAGATCAGGCAAATGTACATTTCAGAGCAATAATCCAGGACCACTTCCTTCCTGGGTTGAAATGTGGACAGTCACCCATTGAATGATCTTTCAAATGTCAAGTCCATGGTTTTAGCCGAATCAACAAAAACCAGCACGATAAAACACTCACAAGTAAACTTGGTTACCACCTCCCATATTTGTTATATTAATCTCTGAAGTCTTAATTATTTAGCCGATGTCACATGACTCTCTTTACGAGGCATCAAGGTCCATCACGTGGCGCTGATGAAGGGGCCTCCCTGACACCACCGCATTGTGCACTGCTCACTATTACCATCCTCTGAAAAGGGGTTTTGTGATCTCACAATGCCAACAACGCAATCTGGATACTAAGCCCAAAAGTCTTAATCAACCGCATCTGTTACCTTGGTCCTGTTACCAAGACCAAGCACACACAGCTGTAGGAATGTGTTGTTCCTTCCCAGTGCTTTACCAGCATCCATCAACTAAATATCTCCGTTCTTGAGTTCAAGAGCTCCGTTCTTATCTCTACCGCATTGCCCTGGACAGAGCTGCATGCCTCTTGCCGGAGTGGTGTGTCCAATGTACATTTCTGAGAGAGGAAACCGTTTTTGTTACCAGAGTGAAAAAAGGTCAAAGGCAAAGTTGCAGTTCTGAAATTGGAGTTCCGGCAGAAGGGCCTCCCGAGTCGGAGCACTTGGGAGCCCCTCTACAAGATATCTGGCCTGCTCTTTCACGCTGGCCAGGTGGACTTAGAAGAGGCGGGCGTACCTACACTTTGCCCCACCACACGTGACCTGCCAAAAGACTAAAATTCAAGTACATCGCAAAACAATGGTTTGTAATGTGCGGGGAGCATAGAAACATTCAGTGTTGCCTCTGGACGGCGACGTCAATTTTTGTTAGCACAGTTAAATACTTTACAAATTGGTTGGTATAGAAACTGAAAATTTTCACCAAAATGAGGGAAAAAAGGTGTGCAACGGATTTTGTCAGTGGGAATTAGTAACGGGGAATGTACACTGTAATATTTATATTTTACTCTTGGAAATATCACTTTAAAAAGTCCTAAAACGTTAAACTTTAAAAGAGTTGAACAATGGAGTATACTGGACCATTTCCAGAAGAGACTAATGGAAAAAGTTTATTCCAGCTTTTGTTAAAAAGAGCCTATCCCTAAAAGTGTTAATCTGTGCTTTGTAAAAATTGGAAATTTTTGAACTGACCTTTGTAACGGCTCATCTTGAGATAGGGCCTTGGAATGTAACATTCTGTCCTGCTGCTCCTAGAAACTCACTGATGCTACTACTTGGCAAGCAAGACTGCCCCAAACAAAGCATCTATAATAACATTAAAACATTGTTTAAAATACAGTATTAATTGCCCATTGAAATGTTCGTGTAAAAATTCAACAATGTAAAAATTGTATTAAAAGTGTAATATATTGGGTTGTTTTACCTGAACATGGTAAAAAGATTACAAACTTCAAAAAGTAACAAGTAATGCCCCTTTAGAATGTTTTTTACTTTTACTGCCATTTGTCGATTCCAAAATGTAGTAATATTTGGTCTTCCCCAAAAAAAAAATTCTAAAATTGGTCGTACAAAGTTTTTAAAGCACTTCCACACGTTGAATTTAAACGCATTAAATACAACGCGTGGTAGTGTGGGCCTTCCCAACAAAGATAAGATTTTTTTTTTAAGTTGACTGTCCAAACATCTGTCGGCCTGCATCATTGGCTAAGATGGAATTATATGGATGGACATCAGTGATCATAAAGCAGCAGTGGCCAGCTCTGCACAAAACAGCCAAAGTGTTTGCATACAGCCGTACAGACTGTTGGGGCAGTATACTGCGAGCAAGCACCTACACACACCTACGAATGTCTAGGTTTGTGCGGTTGTGCTACGCTGCTCTCCAACGTGTTTATGGGCTGCGCCGCACGTTGTTCGGCACGACCTCCGACATTTCGCTGCACGTGTTTGGGAACTCGGAGCGACGTCGATCTCCTGTGGCGAAGCTCCCCAGGCACGTGGGAGCGAAACGTCAGGATCTCGTGCCGAAACAGCACGCGGTGACAACCTGAAAACACGCCAGACACGCACGCACGCACGCACACACATACAGACAGCGCACAACATAAAAGTGGAGAGGCGCCGTGTGCCGACGTCACACGAAGAGGAAGAGCTTGAGCTGCTTGCGGTGCAGGCGCTGCGCCAGGTTGGTGACGCGGTGCAGGCGCACGGCTGCCGAGTCGCCGGCGTTGCACACTCGATACAGGTGGTAGCGCTCGGCCAGGCTCAGCGCCAGGTCCATCTCCTTCGGCGAAATCTCCCACAGCATCTTCTCCGCCAGCAGCGAGCTCTTCACCTCCACGTAGATAATTCTCTCTCTGCTGCTGGCGGCATCTTTGCAGACGACGTCTGCGGACATTGCGGGGGGGGAAGGGGGTGGCCGGTGGTCAATGGAGAAATAGAGCAGAACACGGGTGCAAGTGTGACAGGTAAAGGTGGACCTTTGGAAAGTGCGACGTTTGCTCTGCCGCTGGGCCACGGTCTGGGAATCGGGATCACCCCTTCCACCGACCGCCGGCACTCTCGTCTGGTGACATTGGTGGCCATCGCGCCCACCTGCCGGGTTTTCTGATAAACAAAGGTCCCTGGCACGGAAACGTGGAGTTGCAACGAGCGGCTTCAATCTACCCACCTCCCGCGTTGGCGGCGCCACCGTTGGCGCGGTGCTCGTCGGGGAGCCCCTCCTCCTCACCGCCGCTCATGTGCACGACGAAGTCGTACGGCAGATCGCTCTGCCCGTGCTCGCTCGTCCACTCCACGGCTGTGGGCCGAGGGCAGGCGTTCTGGTCGTCCTTCCAGGCCAGCAGGAAGGCGAGCACCAGCTGCTCCCCCCAGCGTCCTACGGCTCGAGCGCTCTCGCCGGCGTGCTCCGGCGGCAGCACCAGCTGGTCGGGCAGCATCTCGGAGGAGAGCGCCAGCTCCTCGCCGGCACCGCCGTCCAGCGGCCAGCGGCCGTGCTCCCACACGGGGACGCCGAGCGCCAGCGGCGGCGGACGGCGCTCGGGGTCGAAACGGCTCCAGGGCCGTGGGAGCGTCGCGACAACGGCGACGGGGGCAGTGGTGTCGCCGTCGGGGCCGATTCCTCCCCGGGTGGCCTCCTCCTCGCCCCTCTGCCGGGCACCGCCATCTGTGGAGCTGCGAGAGGGTGGCGGGAATTGTCACGTGGTGAGGATTTAACGTAGATTTAGAATAGCTGTAGAATTGTGGGTAAAAGCTTTACGGCTACTGGTAGTGTTGTATGCTGAACTTCTTTCAGACCGTACGTAGCCAACTGTGCTAATCGGAGGTGCGGGGGTAGGACAACAAACCAAACGCAAAAACAGTTTGAAAGAATTGAGTTTTCAATCTAGATTTTAAAAAGTGTATAGAACCAGTGGCTTCCTTATATCGGAAGGAAGAGCATTCCAGATGGCCGCAGACGTGCAAACTGCAGCTTGAGGATCCCAACCGTTGGTGTCAAATAGAAACTGGTTGAACAGCAAAATGCGTGTTTGCCTCTGAGCTATACTTGAATTAACGATGTCCATTTCGCCTTGATGACGGTATTCATTGCATTCAAGAAAACACGTAACAGGTGGGCCGCAAAAAGTCTACTATCCCCACCCATCAACCGCATCAGAAAACCACCAGGCCGACGCACACAACTTCATAAATGGAAAAGTACAGACGAGCCACAGGAGTGCGATCGTGGCCATACAACCCAAGCTACGGACCACACAAGTAAACCACCGTAGATTTGAAGCTTTCGTGACTGCAAGGATTCATACTCTTAGTTTTTTTTGGTAAAGTCACGTAGGTAAAAATAAATAATAAAAATAATAGAAATGATAGAAATAATAATAGAAATAAAATTATAATTAATTTTACGTGACTTTACCGAAAAAACCTAAGAGTATAAACCACCGTAGTCTGTTGCTCCTTCAACGGAAGGACACAACCACACCAACTCTCTCTCCTGAAGCCTTCTTCGTCGTGGCCAGGAGGCCTCGACATTGACCATCGTCTCACAAACGCATTTGCTGCCACCGTACGCAAGGACAGAGCGGTTGCGCCCGGCGGGGCGGCCCTCACCCAGACGGAGCGCCGTCCACGCGCTGCGGCGGGTGCTGGGGAGGGCCCGCGGAGCCTGCAGGGCGCCGCTGGGCCCCGGCTTCCGAGTCGGAGAGAGCGGACGGGGACCGAGTGGCCCCCCGGCTCGTGGACTGCGAACCCTCTGGGTCCTTGGGCTCGTCACTGGAGCGGCCGTCTGCGCTCAACGACGCGGGTCGCTTCAGCTGTGCCTGGCCATCTAAGAAAAAAGGTGGCGGGCGTAACCATCAGCAACAGAGCCCAGCGGCTACAAGTGATTGCAGAATGAGGTTTAGATTTAAGCATTTGGGATTTCAGATTTTAAGGATAATTTATGTAAATTGTTGACATTCGGATCATTTACGTTCTTCCAACAATGCTGACAGTGCCATGTGACGTAATTTTTGGCAGGATAGGCCAGTGGACATGATGACGGTTTTCGAATCTTTCTAAAATAACTTTTTTTGGACCAACCAAAATTTTATATCTGGGCCTGATTATCTGCGGATCAGCCGTGATGGACGCAATCTCTCATTTGTGGAATATACAACATTTTGCCGCGTATCATCTAAACCGCGCCGCTAAGATCAACGAGGACCCGTGCCGGTGGCTGTACCGGCGGCAGCAGAGGGCCCATGCGGGTGAACGTCTCCCTCTTCGCGCGAGGGGCCGCTCCCCGACCTCTGTCCGTGTGCCGGGTTGGAGCCCTGCGGTGCGGCGCCGGGCAGGTGTGGCAAGGCGCCCCCAGGCTCCCCGCCCTGCGACGTGAGGTGGCGCTCTGTGTGCTCCTGCGGCGTGTGCTCCGTTTGCGGTGAAGGGAACATCTTTTCGATGTTCTCCATTAGTGTCTTGCGAGCGCACGCTGGCGAAGGGAAAGGACAAACAGAGTTAGCACCCGACATATTCCCTGCTGCAAGTCAAGTGGCGCCCAGCAGGCAGAGAAAAAAGACGCGATGTACAACAGGGACACGTTCGCTGTATTTAAAGTTTTCCTAAATTGAGGGTATTATTTATTATTGCGTTTATTTACTCAGCAAAGCCTCACTGCGTGAGTCTCAAAACTGTTTTTCAGGAGGGCCCTGTCAAGTTTTCACAGTCGGGGGGGTAATGGTTCTATGTGGAAATCCAAGTGAAAAATGTGTGGTCAAGTTTTCAACATTGTGATAGTTTTGTATTTTTTTTTTTATCTTTGAGAAGAAACCAGATAACTTATGTTAGCCGTGGCCGGGAATTAAACTCAATTCGACGGGTTTCACGGTACCGTGCCCTAACCACCGAGCCACCACTCTACCATTTACACACGTGTTGGTAACGTAACGCAACATCACACGCCGGTTGTACTTTTGTGATGGCAAAGGAAGGAAATTCACATCTCTCTGTCTCGCTCAATGTCTCTCTCTGCGTGTCTCACGTACTTGGCGCCGAGTTGGTGTTGAGGGCCATGCTGGCGCGGGGTGGCCAGCAGGTCAAGCTGGGGCCCTCGTCCGTCTCTTCCTTGGGCGCTGCGACCACCTCTCTGGGTTTAGGCTCCGGGCGCTTGGGCGCTGCGGTGAGAAATCAAACCCCAGAGAAGTGAGGTCACAATGAGGGGTTTCCTGGAAAGCTTGAGGACCCACAGTAGTCCATTGTCCTGAACGAGAGGAGGGAAGATCAAGCGAACTGAGGGACTGAATTATTGAGCCTCTGGCAAGCGGATATTCAAGTGGATTGTCAAGCGCTTCAATTGTTCCTATTTGCTGACAATCTACTTAAATTGCTGAAGAGCAACTGGATAAGATCGCAACTCGAACCACGCTCGGTTGAGCAGGGAAACGAGGACGTGACTTCATCCACAGGAGCCTCTGTTTGGGATTTCTGGTCAATTCCTCACCAAATAATGTGTTTGTGGGAGCAATTTGGCTTACCTGAGATCTCACTCCTATAAGAGAATAAAAATAATCATACAATACTGTATTGTATTTTTTTTATTTCTCAGGAACCTACTTTCCCCATGCTGCCATCTACTGGCCACGAATGTGCCTGATGGGTGTGATTTGTGAGTGAGAGGAGTACAGTTGGTGTGGCGAGTGTGGCTGGCGAGATGAGTGTGGTTGTGGTCTGGTGAATGCAGTGGTTGAGATGAGTTTGATTGGTGAGATGAGTGAGGTTGGTCCAGTGGATGAGATGAGTGTGGTGAGTGTGGCGAGTGGCATTGGTGTGTTGAGTGCAGTTGGTCAGGTGAGTGTGATTGGGGTGGTGAATATGATTGGGGTAGTGAGTGAGGCGAGTGAGGTTGGCCCGTTGAGTGCAGTGGGTGCATTGAGTGCGTGCAGTTTGTGAGATGAGTGTGGTTGGTGAGGTGTGTGGTGAGTGTGGTGGTGAGCAAGGGGACCGCACCTGGCAGATTCTCCTCCACGGCCGGTTTTGGCACCATCCACCTGGGCTCATCCTCGGGCAAATCTTCAACGCCTTCGCCGGCTAGAAACCTGCGTAGGTTGTTGGGGGACTGCGCAAGCACAGACACGCACAGCAATTGGGCCGATTAAGGCTTGGGTAGCCAGCAGGAGATAAACGATGTATTGGGGCATTCACAGAAGTGGCAGTCGTAGGGAGGATCGCATCATCAGCAAAGGTGGCCCAGTGGCACAGAGGTCAGAACATTGAATTGACATGACCGACACCCATCGCACGATCATTAACAATATGTCAACCGTCGTGCGACAAACGCAGCTCTCTGCAGCAGTGCAGCTGGAAAAGTGCTGCCTCCAGTTTGTGAATCAGAGGTCGCTCAGAGCGATCTCAGCAGTTTTGCGCACTGCTCTGCGCGAGATCCACATGGGATTCTTGTCTCCCCGAGGCACGGCTCCGACAGGACAATCCGGATAACAATTGGGGAAAGTGACAAAGATATTGAAAAGTATCGTATCAGCATAAAGATTGAATCTGGGCTCACTTTCTAGCTCGCATATCTATAAACGGTAAATGAGCACAGGAGGACTGTTAGAGACCATAGAGGTATCTGCTGGATCCTTTGAGGTTTTATTTCCCTCAAGTAATCTATGAAATAGCCACCACTTCAGTGCTAATGCCACATGCTGGCCATCTGTTATTATGGTCAACAATGTCAAGGCTTTGATTGATCGATACAGAGGAGCATAATTGTTATCCGAATAATCAAAGAAGTCACTTATTGAAGAAGCGGGCGTTTGTTCGACATCCACATCCGAAGCCTGACTGCTTGAGAGTTTAGAATTCAGTTTGGATACGAATAACATGACAATTCTCAGGTCTTAAAGCAAGCAGGCTGTAGGGAGGCCTTCAAGAGTGCAGGAACAATTTTTAGTTCAAACTCAAGGTTTAATTTTCGTTTTATAGAATTGCCTGGGTCACGAAGACGTCAAAAAGCAATAACATGAAATAAATTAATGGCAATGAAGCAAACAAAAATCAGCACAAAAATAACCACGTTGCAGAAGCTATTGAAAATCCCGCACAAATGGAAATCAACGTAAAATTAGGTACATTTCCAAAAATCAAAATTGGCTCTGACATTACTTTAAAAAACCCAATCAGTGTAAAACGTCTGCCACTCGGTCGTACTCGGTTGCGTTGTTGAGTGGGTTGATCGTTGTGAGGTATAAGCGGGCTATCCCTACGCCGCCCTCTCCCCCCCCAAAGCATTTAAAATGTTTTGGCGACCAACCTGGTTGTTCATGGTGGTCGAGAGTTTGTGGAGGAAGTTCTCGAGGTCCCGCTGACAATCTTTGTCCTCGCAGCTGAACAACCGAGCCAGCTCCCTAAACACAGACAACGATTTTGATTTAAAGCTTTCGTGACTGCAGGGATTCATATTCTTGGTTCTTTCGGTCAAGTCCCGGTAGAAGGGAAACAATAAAATAATAAAAATATAAAACAATAAAATTCTCACGACGTTTCGCCCTTCCTGATTTTAGACGAAAAAACCGCTACTTTTTTCTAATTTTCTTGCTGTGTTTTTCACACCTCATGATGATTGCTTGTGTTGCAGTCGAAATGTCGTGATAATTTTATTGTTTTATATTTTTATTATTTTATTGTTTCCCTTCTACGTGACTTTACCGAAAGAACCAAGAATACAGACAACGATGTCGCTTTTATACCACGCCCTTCACGCACAAGAGCATCTCGTCGGTGCTTTACACTTAAAGCTCAAAGCGATCGTACAATCAACCCAGATTCTAAAATAAAGATAACAAGCAAACATTTGTTTTTAGACGTAGGCTTTCACAAAATACATTAAGATTCATAATTGTTTTCGTTTGGGTTAGATCATCGTGTCAGTGTGATGTTTGGAGAAAATGGAGAAAAATGTTGACTCATGCAGCCAGCTATGGCTACAGGGTTTGGTGGTACATGTTGTTTATGTCGTTAATTGTGAAATTTCGGTCACAGTTCCTATGATCACTGTTACATTGCTTTTATGGCTTTATTTTGGTGATTTCAAAAAGTGTTTTGGTTTGGCCATGTTTGTTTGTTGTAGTACGGAGTTAGACCGATGGCTTTAATCTAAGTTGTCTTGTGGTTGTTGTTGTTTGACTTGCATCCCACTGGGATTTTTGCACACAGCGTTGGTATTGCTTTTTCTGGAAGTTTTTGCTGTTTTTTCCTGGATTTTTCTGTTTGCGCATAGTCACTTTAAGATGTTTTCTTGTTCATATTTTAGTTTTTTGTTTGTTGCGGTTGCTCCCGATTCAAGAGCCGAATGGCTCGCAGGGCTATACCTAATAAATGAAACTGAAATGTAAAATAGAACTGTAAAGCTCCATCACCCAACGAAGCCCATAAAACCAATTTGACTCATGCCAAAATTTGGAAAAAAAAAACATTTCAGCAAACCGGAGGAGGAATGCTGAAAATGGAGCAAAATGTTGACAATTTTGCTCGCTCGACGTTTCGCTGGAAATGTGTTAACATAGCTCAGCTCTCAGATCATGTGACTTGGAATAGGGTTCCATAGGGAGCAGAGCAACGCAAGTCCCTCGCCCCTCCTGATTTTAGACGACTTCTAGGAACCAATCTCAAGTTCAGCATTTGATCAAGGCACGGCCAACAGAATTAAGGTACCAACAGTTCCTGTAGGTGTGAAGAACCAAGCCCATGACGGCCATGTAAGTAGTAAACATAATAAAAATACAACACACAAGCAAAATAGGATGCCAGTCACTACTACATGCCAAGTAAATTTCACCATGGGGTTTGTGCCTGACCACGTTAACATTTGGATTGGTAAAAAGGTGGCTGTGGGAGATGGTCAGAGCACAGATCTCAAGTGCAACGGATTAACAAAGTGGAATGAATGCGTTTGCCACCCGACGTGCTGCTCGGAGTGAGCGACGCTCCTTCGCACACACAGTGTTGCTGCTGGTGCTGGAACACAAGCACCACCAGCTGCTCAATAGAAGCCACATGGGCCTCCCCTACAGAAGAAGATCCCAACCCCACTGGCACCGGCCAATCGGCAAGGAGGCTCTGTCGCAGACCCTCCCGTACCATATCCGTCCATGACTTCTCAAACCCACGTTGTGTACATGAAGGCTCCTCGATGTCAACTGTCACTAACTAGGTCTGGGCATGTTGGACATGTAGCCCACACAATAGAAAATTGCCCTCATATTCATTGCAATGCGGATATGCCCGAGATGGATTCTAGGCCGACCCTACTAAACGTAAGTAGCTTTTGCAGTCGTTAATGAAGTGAGGAGAGAGAGAGCATGACTGTGGCCATGTGGAATGACAGGCCGTGCAGCGCCCAACACATTGTTATGCAGACGACAAAGTGAAGATACCGAGCGTTAATCAGAGGGAGACATCAGAAGACAAATATAAGTGCACTGCCCAGGTCGTCACATCTACAGCAGGAATGGACAACCTAGGCTAGTTAGTGGGCCACATGGGCAGCCCTCCTTCGCCTGAGTGGGCCGCAAGCTTGACATGGTACTTGTGCACTAATCGTGGCCCCCCCCACACATCATCCTGGACACACTGAGACCAGGCCACCACGAGGGGGCCGTGGGCCGTAGGTTGCCTACCACTGATCCACAGCCTCTCAACAATTACCTTGCTACCTATGGTGACTGCAAAGAGGAAGGTGTGTTTGTGTTAATACGACGTCATGTCCTCACACTGTACCAACTGAAGGCAGAGGCAGTGAACACGTGTCACCATCCCCACTCCTGGCCCTGCTTCGCCTCGAGATAGATTCAGATCTAGATTCAGATCTAGATTCAGATCTATCTCGGGCGCCACGGTGGTGAGATGTTAACTACCTCGCTTGGTATACAGGAGGTCGTGGGTTCGATCCCAACCCTGACGACTGTATATTGGGAGTTTCCATATTCTCCCTGTGGTCGCATGGATTTTTCTTCAGGTCCTCCGGTTTTTCCTTCCACATTTAAAAACATGCGCTTAGAGTAACTGGCTGCTGTAAATATCCACATAAGCCACTTTGTTAAGCTTCTGAAAACAAGCTAGAGCTAAGTGAGCCTTACCTGGTAAAATACATTTTTAGTTTAGTTTGAGATGTCTTGTGCCATCAAATCGCAGTGTGGTTCTGCCTTGGCAAAGTATACTGCCAGTGGAAAAACCAACGGTGCGATGAGACTCCCGTGCTCGCTCAGCTCGAATTCGCCAGTCGAAAAGGGGAATCGATAAACGACGGCGCAGGCAGCCGCCATAGACGGCGAAGGAGCAAACGCGGTTCCTCACTTGAAAATGTCGACGAGCTCGCGCACGGCGTTGTCCTGCACGTGGTCCTTCTGGATGCAGAGGTCCCCGGTGTCCTGCAGGCGGCACGACGCCTCCACCGTCCGCACGAGCAGCGAGCCGTCTGAGCCGTCAGGGCCGCCCGGGAGCGTGAGAGTGTGCAGCACGTACAGCTTTCCCACCTGTGGAAGGCGGAGGAGAACTTCTTTCACACCGTACGTAGCCAACCGTGCTAATCGGAGGTGCGAGGGTAGGACAACAAACTAAACACAAAAAGCAGTTCTAAAGAAATGAGTTTTCAATCTATGGGGTGTCCATGTGATGATTACATTTGTAGAATTACACAGATATTGTTTTATACAGTTTGTCAATTCACTGCTGGATGAAGGCCTCCCCACACAGCATTGTCGAGCATGGCGGTTGTGTGACCATACTTCACCACTACATACTTCACAACCACAGTTTTTTTTGTGTTGTTTGCTCCAATAACTACGTGACTTTACCACGTAGGTTTTGAAATAATACTCTTTTCATGCAAATTCCACGAACACATTTGTGTATAACTTGAGAAGGTTATAAATATGATAATTACATGTTTATTGAGCATGATGATAAAACAAATGCTGCTGGATAGTATTGCTCTTGAAGAGCAATAAGCCAATGAGATAATTATATGAAACAAATAAACATCTGGAGATAGACGGGAGTACTTGCTTAAATATGCTTTAACCCAAAATCCTCCACAACAACACGATGAGTTTTGAGTGCACAGACGAAGGGGGTTGTCATAATGAATCAAATATTGGTCCGTGCGTCGGTAAAATAATATAAACAATGGTGTGTATGCATGTTTAACTTCTTTCGCACCGTACTAATCGGAGGTGCATGCGAGTGCCTTCTTGAGCCACCAGAGGCCACCTCGCCAATGCCACACCCACTCCTCAAGAGGAGGCCACGCGTGCTGACAGCGTCACGGTTCACATTTTACAACTTTGATAATTTCTCGCAAATTACCTAATTGGGTGAAGCCACATATCAGCAAGGACTTCCTGTACTATGAAACTACTGCAGACTATAATCATCTTGAGCCATAAGGATGGCGCGAATACCAATTGTACCGACGCAGCGTAGTTTTCCTGATTGGGCCGTGCGCGTTGAGTATTTATTCCCTTAAGCTTTCACCACGCACCAATGCTTTCACCACGCGCGACTGATTTTGGGGCCACCTTCAGGAGTTAATTCAACTCCTGAGGTTAATTCAATTGCTGAAGCTAATTTAACTGCTGAACATGCCCACAGCAAGTAGTGCCTGAAAAAACTCGAGAGGCACAACCCGGAAAGCCCACACTTGGAAAACGAACGGACGCGTCGATTTGATGGCGCACGCGCACATGCGCGCTCGCTCACTCCCCCTATCCCTACCTGGATGAAGTTCATCGTCTTGAGCGTGGCGGCGATGTTCCGCTGCAGCGTCAGCTCGTCGTACACGTGGCGGAAGGCGTCGCCGCGCGACATCAGGAAGGCCTGGACGTGCGGCACGAGGTGCCCCACCAGCAGCCGCAGCGGTGCGCACGGGCGGTAATTCTCGGTCTCGAGGCGCGTCCTCACGCAGCCGGAGAGCTGGCCCACGTCGCAGATCCGCAGGAAGAGGTCCCTCATGTCAGGGTTCACCTTGACTGTCCGCATGTGCAACCTGTCGGCTGTGAAACAACCCAACAACAAACTTTCCTCCTGGTTTTCCTCACAGAGGGCCAAAAAAGGCTTGAAATGCCAAGCGGCCAGCAAAAAACTGCACAGACAACACGAGTCAATAACATGTTTCGTACAAACGAGCGAAAGGGGAGGCCAAGCGAGCGGTGAACGGCACTCACGTTGTTTGTTCCTCTGACTGGCACCGACGTCGGGAAGGCTGAGGAAGCAAACCTTCTCCTCGTCCCGGAAGAGGGCCTCCAGGTTGCGGTCATCGGCAACGAGGGGCCGGCTCTCCAGCGACACCCAGCGGTTGCGCTTGGTGGGGAAGATACGCTCCTTGGAGAGCGTGGCTGCAGAGGGGGTGGGGGGCGGCGGGGTGAGGGAGGAGCAGACACCGCATCAACACCAGGCCCCGCCCCAGGTAGGGCTGTCATCCCTTCGGCCGGTGACAAGGTCGAGCGGTGGCATATTAGCCGCCTGTTGCAGAGGTTCCTGACTCGTATCCGGCAGGCCGCCCTGGTTAATATTGTCGGTGTATTAACTGAGAAAATACGTGCCGCCTGCTTCACAGCGGAAGTTCAAGATCTGGTGACTTCATTCTGAGAGTAGGAAGCCATTGCGAATCGGTGTCATGAACAAATTTGCCCAAAATTTAAAAACTTGGCAGGACCCTCCTGACAAACATCTTGAGACTCAAGAGGCTTTGCTGGGTAAACAAGTGCAACAATAATCTATATAAAAAGGGAAATTTGTGAATATGTGCGTCTGTTCGAAATGTTTAGCATACTTCCCGACATGCAACAAACTTGAAATGTATGTATTTTGCATGCCAAGTGAGCGGTGACATCACATCTCTGTCACGTCACCCGCATGCGGAAGCGTTACGCAGTGTACCTGCTGACGTCACGCACCCCCCCCCCCCCAACCCTCCGCATAGGCCGTGTATTAATCCAAGATAAGAATCCAAGTCCCGGGCGAAGCGGTAGTAAAGCTAGTCATATTATATTATAAAAAAACTTCGCAGGATGGATTCCCGCCTGCATTTCTGGCTCGCGCACAGCCGAATATGCTTGCACGGTGGCGAAGTCACCCGGATCCCACGGTATTGAGCCAGGTTTGTGCATCGAACTAACGGCACGCTTCCCCCCCCCCCCCATCCCGACCGTGGACCCAGCGCACATGCGATAGAGGAGATAGCGGGGGATAGGAAGATAGACATACCTGTCAACCCATACAGTTTACCCGTATCCTTGCACAGGGGAATTGAGTTATCAGGCCCATACGGTGCATACAGCCGTTTCAATACGGGCAAAAAAAATGTTTTGTCTATTTGTTTGTGTTTCTTCCTTGTGATGGAACTTTGTAGGATGGACGTTGAGATTTATAAGGGCACAGGGTGACCAATAAGGTCTGAATTGGTCTGTGATAAGTTGGGCACTGCTAAGGGGTTGATAGGTATGGATCGAGGAGGGGATGTGCAGGAAGGACAAGGAGGACGGAGGAGGAGACTGAGAGGAACGGAGAGGGGCAAGTGAAAGAGTGAAAGGGTATCAAACGGAGAGGAAAGAGAGAAAAACCGAAAGAGCAGAGCGAGGGAAAACGACGAGTAATGGGAGGGAGGATTACGGAGAGGCAAGAGAGATTGAGACGGGAAAGGTCGAGGTGGGAATAACGAGAGATTGAGGGTGAAAGGTGAGAGATACAAGGAGAGATGGGGATGGAAGATTAACACGTAGGCTTTTACGGTACTCGGATTGTAAATGTTGTGGATTTGCTCTGCAACACACAACTGGTGTGCTGTACTAGAAACGAATTGGCACGTTCTGTTTACGTGACAAACCTTACTAATTTGTTGTGTCGGGTGGTGGCAGGTTTAACGACCTAGCCCAAAAAAACACCTGTATAAGGGGGAGGGAAGTGGGTGAGATACATAATATATCGTGATGAAGTCCAGAACTCAAGAGATAGGCAGAAAGACAGAGCTCTATAAAAAAAAAGTTTTGCTGGCTGGCTGGGACAGTCACGTCCAAAGGATGTAAACATAATAATATAATTTTGATTTAAAGCTTTCGTGACTGCAGGGATTCATCTTCTTGTTTCTTTCGGTAAAGTCACGTAGAAGGGAAGTAATCAAAAATAATAAAAACAAAACATAATAAAACAATTCTCACGACGTTTCGGCTACAACGCAAGCAGCCGTCTTCAGGTGAAGAATGAGACACTACCAAACTAGGAGCTTATATATAAGCTGCATTGGGGGTTGAGGAGCGCCTTAACAAAAAGAATGTGCATGTGAAGAGGGATTTAGCATATTCATGGAAAATGCGTAGGCGTTGGGCGGGGGGGTGTCAAAGTCATATTATGCCCATGCATTATGCAGGATCAGCAGCAACCAAGGGGGGTGCAGGGATTAGCAGTAACAAAGGAAAGGAATGTTAATGATATGTAGCTGCAGTTACTCAACAACCACGTAGAAAACTAAAGTATAAACTACATAAAAAACTAAAGTATAAACTGCATCGCACCATCAGTATACTTACTATACTCTATAATAAGCTGAGTTACTAACAGCAAGTAATACATTACAATTTTACCTCGTAAAAATTCTATAATATGCTTCCATCTAAACCTTATTCTCTTACATCACACGAGCATATACCGTACTATATACTGCCATAGATAAACCCAACATTAAATTATATACTGTATTGCTGTAAACCAACCTATATCTTATACATTTAATATCACACTATGTATTATTCTACACACCCTAATGTGTATCGAAATGGTTTATTACGTCTTTCCAATGATTGCTGAGCCAGAATCCATCTTCTCGGTTAAAGTTGTCTCTGTGTTTGTATATGTGGATCGCCTCATGAACGAATCTCTCATGATAGCCAGATGGCTTGCAGAGAACCTCTGTCTTGGAGAAGTCAATATCATGTGAGCCCACTGAGTTGTAACAGTGATCTGCCACGGCTGAGGTGTTAGTCCTACCGTGTTTCAGGTCAGCTTTATGTTCACGGATGCGGTCCGAGACATGTCGTTTGGTTTCCCCAATGTAACTGCTACCACAGAGGCAACTTAGTTTGTAGACGCCAGGGTACTGTATGTCTGGAACCACATCTTTTACAGACGGTACCAGATCACGGATTTTATGTACTGTGTTGAATCGGACCTGGATCTTGTGTTTAATCAGGATTTTGGAGATCTTTTTTGTGACCCCAGCAATGTAGGGTAAGGTGATGGTCTTGAAAGGCTCCTCAACAGGATCCTTCTTGATGGTTGGAGTGATGGCTTTGCGGATTGTATAGTCGGAGTAACCATTTGCCTTAAGAGCTTGGCGTACGTGTTTGAGTTCACTGGAAATGTGTTCATGGTCGGAGATGCATTGGGCTCTATGATATAGAGTCTTGATGAGGGAATTCTTCTGAGATGGATGGTGGTGGGAATCCGGTTTTAGATAAGCATCCGTGTGGGTGGCTTTCCTGTAGACAGAGTGGCTCATTGAACCATCAAGTCTCCTTTTGATTAGGACATCCAAAAAGGGTAGCTTGCCATCATTTTCGACTTCCATGGTGAATCTGATGGCTGGGTGTATGGAATTGATGTGGTCGAGAAATTGGTCTAGAGCAGGCCGGCCATGTGGCCAGATGACAAAAGTGTCGTCTACGTACCTCTTCCATAAGGTCGGGCGTAGAGTGGCAGTCTGGATGGCGTCCGTCTCAAATTTCTCCATGAAGATGTTGGCTACAACCGGAGATAGGGGGGAGCCCATTGGGGTGCCCTCAATTTGCTTGTAGAAGGTTCCATTCCAGGTGAAGTATGTATTGGTTAAGCAGTGTCTCACCAGGGGGGGTACCCCAGCATTCAGTCCTTGATGAACCAAGTCTTCAATGATTGCGATGGTGTCAGGCACAGGTACCTTGGTGAACAAGGTACCTGTGCCTGACACCATCGCAATCATTGAAGACTTGGTTCATCAAGGACTGAATGCTGGGGTACCCCCCCTGGTGAGACACTGCTTAACCAATACATACTTCACCTGGAATGGAACCTTCTACAAGCAAATTGAGGGCACCCCAATGGGCTCCCCCCTATCTCCGGTTGTAGCCAACATCTTCATGGAGAAATTTGAGACGGACGCCATCCAGACTGCCACTCTACGCCCGACCTTATGGAAGAGGTACGTAGACGACACTTTTGTCATCTGGCCACATGGCCGGCCTGCTCTAGACCAATTTCTCGACCACATCAATTCCATACACCCAGCCATCAGATTCACCATGGAAGTCGAAAATGATGGCAAGCTACCCTTTTTGGATGTCCTAATCAAAAGGAGACTTGATGGTTCAATGAGCCACTCTGTCTACAGGAAAGCCACCCACACGGATGCTTATCTAAAACCGGATTCCCACCACCATCCATCTCAGAAGAATTCCCTCATCAAGACTCTATATCATAGAGCCCAATGCATCTCCGACCATGAACACATTTCCAGTGAACTCAAACACGTACGCCAAGCTCTTAAGGCAAATGGTTACTCCGACTATACAATCCGCAAAGCCATCACTCCAACCATCAAGAAGGATCCTGTTGAGGAGCCTTTCAAGACCATCACCTTACCCTACATTGCTGGGGTCACAAAAAAGATCTCCAAAATCCTGATTAAACACAAGATCCAGGTCCGATTCAACACAGTACATAAAATCCGTGATCTGGTACCGTCTGTAAAAGATGTGGTTCCAGACATACAGTACCCTGGCGTCTACAAACTAAGTTGCCTCTGTGGTAGCAGTTACATTGGGGAAACCAAACGACATGTCTCGGACCGCATCCGTGAACATAAAGCTGACCTGAAACACGGTAGGACTAACACCTCAGCCGTGGCAGATCACTGTTACAACTCAGTGGGCTCACATGATATTGACTTCTCCAAGACAGAGGTTCTCTGCAAGCCATCTGGCTATCATGAGAGATTCGTTCATGAGGCGATCCACATATACAAACACAGAGACAACTTTAACCGAGAAGATGGATTCTGGCTCAGCAATCATTGGAAAGACGTAATAAACCATTTCGATACACATTAGGGTGTGTAGAATAATACATAGTGTGATATTAAATGTATAAGATATAGGTTGGTTTACAGCAATACAGTATATAATTTAATGTTGGGTTTATCTATGGCAGTATATAGTACGGTATATGCTCGTGTGATGTAAGAGAATAAGGTTTAGATGGAAGCATATTATAGAATTTTTACGAGGTAAAATTGTAATGTATTACTTGCTGTTAGTAACTCAGCTTATTATAGAGTATAGTAAGTATACTGATGGTGCGATGCAGTTTATACTTTAGTTTTTTATGTAGTTTATACTTTAGTTTTCTACGTGGTTGTTGAGTAACTGCAGCTACATATCATTAACATTCCTTTCCTTTGTTACTGCTAATCCCTGCACCCCCCTTGGTTGCTGCTGATCCTGCATAATGCATGGGCATAATATGACTTTGACACCCCCCCGCCCAACGCCTACGCATTTTCCATGAATATGCTAAATCCCTCTTCACATGCACATTCTTTTTGTTAAGGCGCTCCTCAACCCCCAATGCAGCTTATATATAAGCTCCTAGTTTGGTAGTGTCTCATTCTTCACCTGAAGACGGCTGCTTGCGTTGTAGCCGAAACGTCGTGAGAATTGTTTTATTATGTTTTGTTTTTATTATTTTTGATTACTTCCCTTCTACGTGACTTTACCGAAAGAAACAAGAAGATAATAATATAACTGAGACATACCGTTTTTAGAACAGTATTTCAGAATAACGGAAGAGGGGAGAACATGTGACTTAATAATATCTATTTAATAATTTAATATTATTATGCAAATGACAAAAACCGGGACTTTTAATGTCCCAGGACGACTTAAGAGATTTCCCAGGATGACAGCTGCCTCCTTCTGAGCAGGGCCCCCCAAACCACACAGAATCATCTCTCCCCTTTCATTAAAATGTTGCGGTTAGATTTTTTTGAAATTTTAATTTTGTATTATTCCATTAAATCACGTTTAACAGTAAGAGCTGAATTAGATGGGGATAATATGATTGTGGGACGTACGGAGTACCGAAGCGACTCTGACCTTTGAGGTTGTTGCAGTAGTCGGGGTTGACTTCCATGGTCCGAGGGGAGAGCACGCATTTCTCGGCTGCACCACAAACAACACACGGCAAAAGCAACAACAAACACAACGCGTCAGAGGTCTCACTGCTCCTGGTCTCTCGTACGTGTAAAGGAGTCCAGCGCGAGCGTGGTGCTGCTTCAATTAGGGCCATCTTTAATAAGCCGGCAACACGGGACATAAATATTAATTCTTTTGGGGAAAAAAAAATTGCCCCAAAAAATCCGTTAACCAGGCTACACGCGCCCTGCACGAATTGCAATTTTCAGCATGCGGTTAAATAAATACATATGTCCTCACGCACACTGGCAGTCCGCAGCCAGTGGTGTAAATTCCACATTACTATGGAGAGGACCACAGTAATGTGACATTCAGTCACACCATAACAAGCATTGGGCAATGTGAAAAAACAACTAATAATATGAGCTTTACCAGTTGACCATACAATAATTCGGCCAGCAGAGTACAGGGCAGCATCATCCATTGCTGTACCATATTTCTACACCCCCAGAGCTATGCGCTGCTGCCTTAACCAAACCCGTAGCAAGAAGGGTGGCGGCACGCAGTCATGATCCCGACCCTGACGCCTGTATATTTAGAGTTTGCATGTTCTTCCAGTGTCGAGTGGATTTTTCTCTGGGTCCTCCGGTTTTTCCCTCCGCATTTAGAATTATCAACATGCATTTAGAGTATTTGGATGCTATAAATGTCCACGCGATAAACCACTTCTCGTTGAGCTATCATTTGTGGCCAGGTCGCTTCTCAAAAAGAAGCTATATTAGTTCAGTAGGCCTTACCTGGTCAAATACAAATAGTTTAATAGTTTAAGCATTGAGTCAGAGCGTGGTGGCGCCTCACCTAGCGTGGCGTAGAGCAAGGAGACGTCTTGCAGAACTTCGGCGTTTGGCAGAGTGCAGCCCTCGCACACGAGGCACAGCAGGTCGGCGTACTGCTTCATCTTGGGCGTCGCAGACACCTTCAGGGTCTGCACTCGCAAAGAATACAATATTTAGAAATACTTTTTAAAAAAACACGCTTTAATGAAATGTACTGTCTGAGCTGCCCCTCCCCCTGCCCCCTTCCCCCATCGCCCCTCCCCTCCTTCCACATCCCACGCCCCTGGGCATGGCTCCCCGAGGCTTGCCGTGGTGATTTACAGGCAACGTCAGTTGAGCGTGGACAATTAGAGCCGTTAAAAAGATCGCTTAAAAATATATATTTAATTTTTAATGATAGAATATAGTAGTGTCATCAGTATTACATAGCTATACGAAGTTTTAAGTCGATACGACATTGGGAATACGGTTGAAATTGAGTTACAAGATTTTTGGATACGACAACACATACAGTAAGTTAAATAAAACGTGTAAAAAGTTTTCAAATATATGTTTTGGATTTTTATGATAGAATATCGTGTTGTCATCAGTAAGACATAGCTATACGAAGTTTGCAGTCGATAGCACATTGGGAAGTGTGTAAAAATTGAGTTACAAGATTTCTTTTTTGAGGATACAAAAGACAAAGTGAGCTAAATAAAAGTGTGTAAAAAAGATCCCCGCCCACCCACCCACCCGTACAGCCTTAACAGATTGTTGGGGCGCAAGTGCTGTAAGTGAGTAGCACCCATGAAGGCTAATACGGTGCCACGGGGGAATGGTGTGCCCGCCTTTGTCTCCCCAGTGCACATGTTTTACCCCCTGCACTGGTTAATAATTTTAAAGTCGAGTCGAGCTCGGGTAGGCCGAGGAGTGGTTCAGATATGAAGACTTCTGGAGGTGAGTGGTGTTCGCGAGCACCTATGAAAGTCGGCATTGCACACGAGGGGGTGGATGGCTAATACGGACACCCGGCTAACTTTTTCTCCCCAGTGCTGTTTTTACACTGCACTAGGTACTCATTTTAACGCTCAGTCAAACTCGATAAGCCCAGGACTGTATAGGCACCTACACACACAACATAGATTTTAACATAGATGTTGGGGATCATGATGTTAACCACCTCGCCTCATATACAGGAAGTCGTGAGTTAGATCCCGACCGTAACACCTGTATTTTTGGAGTTTGCATATTCTCTCCCTGTGGTTGTTTGGATTTTTCTCCGGGTCCTCCGGTTTTTCCCTCCACATTTAGAAACGCGCATCCAGAGTATTTGGCTGCTATACATGTCCACGTGATAAGCCACTTCGTTGAGCTGTCATTTGTGGTCAAGATCGCTTCTGAAAAAAATCTACATAACTCAGTAGGCAATACCTGGAAAAAAAATAGTTTCAGTAAAAAAAAAATGGCTTCCCGGCAGCCCACGTTACCTGCTGGAACAAATCGGCCATGTTGGTCCAACGGCCGTAAAAGAGCTGGAGCTGCGGCGGCGCCTCGTGCTGCAGCGACGCGTAGCGCAGAAACAGCCGGGTGGGGTCGGCCCAGCACACCTCGTGCAGGTAGCGGAAGCAGCCCTGCACGGCGCCGTCCCCGCCGTCGTTCCCCCTGCTCTCCCCAGATTCCGAATGCTGCCTCCTGCCGGCACAAGGGGTGCGAGCGTCAGGGCTCGCGGGAGCTCCCGCACTACGACACGGGCTTACGCGCGTCGAGGCTCGTAACAACGCGAGTGTTTTCATTGTTTTCCAACGCCATAGTCAATCCTCTCCAGGATGAAGGCCTCACCTAAGCCATGGAAAATCACTCATGATCGTGAATGCCTAATAATCCTGTGAGCGACTGCGAGTGACTGACTGTGAGCGACGAGCGTAAGTAACCATCAGTGAATGAGCAACTGTGACCACGACTACGAGCGCCTGCAAGTGACTGAGCGGCCGTGAAAGAGAGCGTGAGCGACCGGGACCATACCGAGTCGCGTCGGGCACAAACACGGCGGGGTAGTGCCGGAACAAGTCCTGCAGCTGCTGGTTGGAGCACTCCGCCTGCAGGTACTCGTACACGGCGTGGATGTGCTCCGGCGAGGTGCAGAAGGGCACTCCGCTCTCCGTGGAGACCCCCTCCTCCTCAACCGCACCCCCGCTGCACCAACGCTTCAGGTGCTTCACTAACTCCTGCGCATTCAGCAACATACGGACGCCTGTGGCAACGCAGAACGGGGGGCGAGGAGACGGGGATGCAAAAGAAGCATTCAATACACATACATCTAACGATATTGATTCTATAATACAGAACTTTGGGTTAGATCGCGTAAATATGTGTGTCATTAAAACCCGTCACCACCCGACACAGCCAACTAGTAAGGGTTGTCACGTGAACAGAACGTGGCCAATTCGTCACTAGTACAGCACACCGGTGTGGAGAGCCAAGCCACAACATTTACAATCCGAGTACGACGTTTCACCAGTAATTACAACTAGCTTCATCAGGCGACAGTCAGATTTGTGGAAAAGTCTTACTGTTTCGTTCCTTATATAGAGGCGTAGATGTGTTGACCACCCTTCTGTGCTCTTGCACAATGTGGGGGGGGGGGATTTCTGAGGCAACGTACAATATGCATGTGCATTATGCGAGCCCTTTGAACTTGTCCTTCCTGTCTATTGAGTTGATTATAATAGCCCTACCAACAGTAAGACTTCTCCACAAATGTGGCTGTCGCCTGATGAAGCTAGTTGTAATTACCGGCGATACGTCGTTCTCAGTTTGTAAATGTTGTGGCTTAGCTCTCCAACACACCGGTGTGCTGTACTCGTGACGAATCGGCATGTTCTGTTTACGTGACAACCCTTACTAGTTGGCTGTGTCGGGTGGTGGCGGGTTTTAACGACATATTTACGTGATTTAACCCAAAAACTTCTATTATGGATGATATTGGTCACGAAAGCCTACGTGTTAAACTGATATTGATTCTGAATTGTCATTAAATATCATTGAAAAATCCCAGCGAGTATTTAGACCTTTTTCAAAAGTGAACTTTCAGAGTCGAGCTGCACATTTTTCAAATGTTCCTGCATGAGAGAAGACACAGCCATCTCTGACCCTTAACACCGAGAGAATTCCTCTCCGCCCAGATTTCCTCCTCTTTATCCCTCATCTCCTTCCCTGTCTCCATCTCCTCTCCCATCCGTACCCTCCGTTTCCTGCCATCCCATCTCCACTCCCATTCTTGCGCCCCTCTCTCCTCTTCCCATCTGCCTCTCCCACCCATGCTCTGCACACATATCTCCCTGCCCCGCTGTGCTCTCTGCTCTCCCCCCCGTGCCCTCACGCTCACCGAGGTCGCCGGCCAACGTGCTGTTCGCCGACATCTCCACGGCGACGTATGCGGCGTGGCGCCCGAGCAGACGCCGCAGGTTGTTGGCGCGCAGGTAGAGGTCGCGGGCCCGGCCGAACGAGGGCGACGTGGAGCTGGACGGCCCGGCCGCCTCAGCTGGCAGCCACGGCAGCGTCGTCAGGTAGATGAGGAAGGACGAGTCCACCTCCTTGAGTGGCCGCCCGCCCGAGTCGAGCACGCGTGCAGTCTTGTACTGCGAGTAGCGCGAGCTAGCGCGCACGCACGGTGGAGGGGGGGGGGGGAGGCAGGAGAGCCGGAGATCGTAACGCGAGGGTCCTGCCGAACTGCGGGCAGAAGATTTGGCGTGCGCAGCCGATCCTCTAGCGTCAATGTCTTTTCATCAAAGTGCCGATGCGCGTTAGGGACGTGGTGTATTTACAACAATTTGCTGCAGTTAAAAAAGACTGCACTTGCACATGCTGCTCGGGACGCGTGGTATTGAAACGTGTTCATTAACCACCCATCATTCATGTCATCACTACCACCACCAACCACCCTCCACTATCACCACTGCCACCGGCATCACAAAAATGCCCTCCTCGCCAGATTCGCTTGCCTGGCCGCACATCTCGCGAGCTCTTTAAATCTTTTGAAGGAGCTGCACTGCTTACCAGTGCATAAGAAAGTCCAGTTCAAGGTCGAGGTACTCACTTACATAGCAAAGGTTAACCAATTACAATGCCATCCACTCGAATGTACCATCACCAATCCTATGCTCATCTGCTATGAACCTGCTGCTCTGTGTCCACTCGAGATCCACCGAGCTTCAGACAGCAGCCCCGGTGGTTTGTAGCAGTCTGCCAACTGAAGTTCACTCAGTGATGTTTTCAAGACTGTACTAAAAACATTTATTTCTCTTCTGTTTCGCAAAACTTAGTTCAACCTTCTCAGTGCCTTCTGCCCTTCAACTTCAACTTTTTTCTGAATATGGCGCATTATAAATACAGTATTCGATCGATTTATTCGACCATGACCATCAACACCATCATCACCACTGCCACACGGCCCTGCTTACCCATCATGCCTTGTCACCACCAACACCACCATCAAAGACAAAGATCTGCTGTATCGCCTTAACAGACTATTGGGGCAAGTAGTGTTAGCGAGCACTTATGAAGGCCAGCAATGATTTTACAAAGTGCACCAGGTACTCATTTTAGGCCGAGTAGACCTAGAGAAGACCCAGGAACGGTTCAGATAATCGCCGCTCGTGTTGGACACGAGCGGAAATCGAACTTAAGTTGCTCGGTTCATAGCGCAGCGCGCCGACCGCTACGCTACCTCATCGCTACCACCACCGCCGCCTTCGCTGCTGCCTCCGCGGGGCTCCGCTCACCCCTTGTCCCACTCGCCATCGAGCAGGCAGAGGAGCAGCCGGCGCTGCGTGTCGGTGCGCGCGTTTCCGAGCTGGGAGGCGGTGAGCAGCGCGTGCAGCTCGGCGCAGACCCAGTCCTCCACGGTGTAGTGTCCGTCCGCCACGGGGGGCAGCGTCGCCGTCACGCCGGCCCACGGTGACGCGTCCTGCGAACGGGAGCCGCGGGGGTCAGTTGGGGCAATTATTAATGAAACCTAGTGAGCTACAATCATTAATGAAAACTCGTGAGCTACAATCGTGAATGACATCTCGTGACCGGAAGCCTCATTGGGTTTCTTCCTCCAACACGTGGTCACTTTTCGTCACATGAGATGCAAAACCGAACGGTGAAGAAGAAAAAGAAAACATTGAGAATGTTTATTTGGGCTAGGCCACGTAATGATCTGACGGAGTCAAACAAAATAAGTTGTCGTGCGTACAAACATTTACCGCTCCAATCTTAACGACCGTATTCGCTCACCGGGGTTAAGAACTTTTCAATTAGAAACGCGACATTTCTCTTCATAGTGCATCAAACATCTTCAAAACGGAACCCTGTCACCCGACTTGGCTTCTTGAATATGTGTGCTACGTATAAATTGGCACAATAAATGTCAAAAAAAACTAATTTAGTCATATTTTGGGAGAAAATCCTCATACAAAAAAATGTAAAGTACCTGCCGAGCCCAATTTAGGACATCAAACTAAATCCAATTAATATTTTGTTTAGTTTTGATGTTGTAGTACTGCTCACCAAAAAAGGCTTCACTAAAAATACCCCATCAATGGTTGACTACATGCCCCATGCGTGCCACAGACACACTGCCCACCAGATCCTGCTGGCTGTACGACCTCCGCTCCTTGCGCACAATCGGAAGGTCGCGCACACCCAGCCTTCCCAGGAAGTCTCTCCAGCTGTTCACGTCCGACTGTCCCTGCATGTACACGGGGTGCACCAGCAGCCAGTCGGCACCTGCATGCACGCACAGACATCACGCACACACATACATACACACACGTATAAAAGATGATTAACCCAGAATCTCGCATGGGCAAAATGAGAAAAAAAGACATATGCAGTCGCCTCTTCATTACTCTTCTATTTCTCCAAGCATGGTTTTAATAATCCACGAATTTCACTCATCAATTCATCCACGAATTTTATCTCATCGATTCCCGGGTTAAACCATCACACCACAAGTCACGGCAAGACAACCAACCACTCACTCATCCATTCGTTCGCCCTCTCACTCACCCACCCACCACCACACTGCAGGTCACAATAATTATCCTTCTGCTTCTTCCCTCGCACTGCCCCACTTTGGAATTCCCTCCTCTCATCACCATTTCATTTATTGCAATTTTTATAATAACCTTGCTCAATTCAAGATGCGTATTATCTCTTATCTATAACAACTGTTTGCTGCTGGCTGCTTGGAATTTTGGGCATGGGCTAAACAACCGTGATATAAAAATCATGCAGGTGTAGACAAATTCGTGAAGACAACTGCCATTCTCCACTAAGTGGTGGTAACGTCACCACAGCGCTTGTGGCACGCTAGGTGCACTTTGAGGCCATGTGAAGTGTCAAAGGCCAGCTGGCAGGAGCTCACAGAACAGACCCATGTGTCATGGGTTGACCTGAGATGACCGGCAGATGCACCAACTGTGCTCCACACTGTGCCAACTTTCTGCGTTTTAGCTAACCGTTTATATGCTCATTGTTGCGAGCGTGGTTTCGCTGCTCTCTGTTGTTGCAGGATGGCGACTGCCTCCAACTCCCCAGCAGCATCCTTCACAAACCTTCCCCAGAGGCCAATCTTGACACTGCCAATACTAGTGATTGGCAAATCCAATGAGTTCCACATCCTTCTGTATCACCCCAGTCTATCTCTTTTCTAACCCGTGCCATGCCCGTGTATCCCCATCTATCCAGCCGAATAGAAGCTGCTTGGGAATGCGGTGGATGGGCATGCTCGGCTACATGACCCAGCCAATGCAGCCTCGCTTGCCAGCGGAGCTCACTGATGGGACTGTTCAGATCTTTCAAGGATCTGTGAGCTCCTTACACAATCCATCCTGGTTAAATCCAGGATGGATCGTAGGCAGGCTAGCCTGCATGTGTCAAACCGGCGCAGATGTAGGGGTGTTAGAGAGAGAGCCGTTATGCATGGCAGCTTATGGGAAACAAACACAGTGGGCGGGGCTACGTGAGTGCACGAGGGGGTGCTCTCAACGACGTCCGCACCGGGCAGCCCGGGGCCCCACCCCTTCAGCGGGGGTTGAGTATAAAAGGGGATGTGTCAGAGGGTTCGGGGGGAAATGTTAAGCTAACGAGAAGACTGAAGACATCTTAGCTAGAGCCCTGGACTCCCCTAGTTCGACGTCCTTATCAGGGCCGAACAGGATCGAGCCAGCGGCGTGGTTCCGAGAGCCAGAGCCGGTGCTCTTGTCAGAGCAGGTTTGGGACTCCGGGTACTGGGCCCGACTTACCAGTGTCGGGCCAGATAGCCTCCCCTAGCCCGTTAGTGGAGGACTAAGAGGCAGGCTAGGGTAGCTAGCGTGTGTATTCCCAGCTAGCCGGGTGAGGGGGCCGATACCCCCTCGAGTGTTATATGCCCACTGTTGTGCTGTGAAATAAACCCGTGTGCCTCCAACTCCGGCGTCAAGAGTCGTCAACGGTATTACACATATGCAAGCATCGAGAAGGGAGGGCATAACTGTGGCCAAGAACACCTAGTATGGCGTGACAGACCGGTATCTTTTACACAGCGTTATGCAGTTAATCAAAAGATGCCGCTCGACTGATTCGGACTTAGACCTCAGTTGCCAAACTGGAGCTGGTCATCAGCACACTGCTGAAGTTCTGAAACCACATTGGGACTCTGCAAGCTTCTCCTCGGTATGTCTGGCAAGGTGATGTTGAATAATTCTTGGGAGGACCTTCCCCAGAACACTGAAGAGGGAGATGCCCCTGTAGTTGTTGCTATCAGTGCAGTGCCCCTTTTTAAAAATGGGGACCCCACTAGGGCATCTTGGAAGTCTGCAGCTCACTAGAGAGGTTATGTCTCCCCGGCGCTTGCCCTGGTTTCAAGCTCTGGATTTCCCTTCGCACTCTCAACAGATGGCACATCAGCCAACCACTCACAAGGAGCGGCTATACTTCCTCCCAGCAGGGTCAAACCCACATTGCCCTATTATGTTGTTGAGCTGAGGGGTTTCCCCTGACCCAAGACCTCACAAAAATGTTAAGCAAACCTGCGAACCTGTTCTTGGGAGTCGGAGATCGGATTGCCGTTCTTTCCCTCAATGATGGCGATATGTGTGGTGCTGCAAGTAACTTTTTTATGATGTTAAAAAGTTATTTATTATCGCATGCTACCAAGGCAGTTTCCATTTATTCAGCAACTCGCGACCACCACTCATCCTTGCAGCGCCACACGGCTCTCCGAACCTCCGAGCGAAGGCTGCAGTAAGCCTCATTCTTGGACGTGAGATGTTGTAGATGGTGGGAGTGGGCCTATCGCTTACTTTCGACGAGCCGGAACACCTCTCTGGGTGCTCCGGTTTCCTACCAAATGCTAGCACTCATTCGTTGGCTGAATCATTTTAAAACATGGGGAATTGCAGAGGTTGGGAAATCGTTGGCGTCAGCTCACCGCTTGCCTGCGGTTCCTCGCACCTCCAAGTCATTCTCTCCCACCGAGAATGAGCGTATACTGCGAGGCGCATCCCAAATTCACCCCATTCCCCTCGGCGGAGCACCCTCCCCCTTGTTCTATTGCAATAGCCACCTGGCAGGTTGGTGGGCAGGTCCAACTTGTTCCCATAGAACGTGGAGAAGTACACGCTGGTGTCCACCGGCCGCACAAAGGCGCCGCTCGAGGTGAGCACCGGCAGCGTGGCGCGCAGCTCCGACAGGTTGCAGACGGACGCGTCGTGCTCGCACTGCGCCTTCACATACGCCAGGTAGCTGATCACCACCTCATTTGGCTTGTCCTGTACACAGGGGGGGGGGGGGTCACACAGACACAAATGAAGATAGCAGGTAATTTATCGAATGGAGCGCATTTGGACCTTGCCGATGCCACGCATGGCCTACTAATTTTCAAACAATGTCACAGGATCTTGAACTTCCACTGTTGATGCACCCCTGGGCAGCCGCTGGACCGTGAACCTCTGTGACAAGGGGCAAATGTGCAACCGCTCGGTCACGTCACCGCTCCCCCCCGGGCTGAAAATCACCGACGAATTCTTATTTAAACTTTTAACCTGCCGCAGCATTCGCTCACTCTCGAAGAGAGTGAACGACTCAGAGGAGCGAGCAACCAGACAATAAGCAGAAAGGTAGCCACGTGATGAGCCAGTGCCAACAACTGCCCAAGCTCTGCGGTCCTCTATATATGAAGGGGGTATCGGCCAATGAAAAAGTGTTTGCATTTGGGAGGAAACCGGAGCACCCGGAGAAAACCTACACGTGGGCGGGTAGGATCCAAATTTGCCATGCCGCCTTCTCCTGGCAAGTCGGGGTATGGCACCTCATCGACGCCCACGAGAAGGGCGATTCATATTATTTACACCAGGGGTCGGCAACCTACGGCTCCGGAGCCGCATGTGGCTCTTTACGGGCTGCTTCTTGACGATATGTACGTATGTACAGTATGCATTGCGGCTCTTGAAATACTGAATTTTGTACCGAATTGGAAAGAAATGGCTCTTCTTGTTATTTTGGTTGCCGACCCCTGATTTACACGATCCACCACCCTCGCCTCTACAGCACTGGATTACAGGCATGCGAATCCACCACCGCCCAAGTGATGATGATGATGATGATGACAGAATCAGAATCTTTCTTTCGACTAACAAAAACAATTCTCCTTCCAACCGGCGCACAATACCTTCCAAGCACCGCTTTCCAGGATTGGCTTGACATGGCGAGCGATGACCTGGGCGGGCGTCACGCGCCGCACGTGCAGTCGCTCGAGAAGACGCACGAGCTGCGAGGAGCACAGCGCGTCGACGCAGCACAGTAGGTCCGGGTGCAGCACGCACAGGTCCACCTTCAGCAGCTCAACGCCTGCACGGTGAGGAGGGAGAGAAGTGGGGGGGGAGGAGAATGTGAGGGCTGCACGAGAGACTCGGGCATGCCGAGAAGTGCGGTGCAGGAAAACCTAAATGCCACGGGAATTTCTAAATTTTATTTGTTAAAATATTCTACCTGCTGCTGGAAGGGCCTCAACGAGAAGGAACCCTAGAGATCCCGTCTAAGAGGGTATTTGGCCTACTCTTCCATGAAGGCCACACTTTACCCCGCCACACGTGACCTGCCGTTTGACTAACTGTGGTACGGCCGTTCACACCGCTGGGCGTTTATTGGTGGCAGTGGGTGGGGATTTAAGAACCTTGTCCCATTGTTTCAACTGCCGCACCGGGGGGATGGAATTGAACCGAGACCTCTGAATTGCAAGTCCAAGGAACTAACCATGATATGATGGTGGCATCCATATTCGTGTAAGGCTTGCAATTAAAACTTGACTGCCGTATTGTCATATGTATGTATATACAGTATACAGCAGTAGTGTAACAGTTATTGTGCTGAGCTAAGAAGCCGGTGACCAGAGTTCGATTCCCGCTCACAGCCAACACCTGTGACAATCATCTGAATCGGTCCTGGGCCTCCCCTAGGTTGACTCAGCCTCAAATTAGGGCGATGTGTAAACATCGCCACTGGGGAAACAGAGGCAGCCAGGCATGGTGCTGGCCACCCACCCCCTCGTGTGCCATGCCGGCCTTTCTAGGTGCTCGCGAACAACACTTGCCCCAACAGTCTGATAAGTATGTTGAACTTCTTTCGCACCAGACGTCGCCAACCATGCTAATCGGAAGGACAACAAACTAAACACAAAAAGGCCTCTGTCTTTATATATCCCAAAGAACCAATGTAACAAGACTGTCACTTTATAATGAAGTCAACTGACCGTGCATCTGGACTTTCTTTTGGTTGGCAGCTGCACCCTCCTGCCACCCGGGAGGGAAAAACACCTCCTGGTCGGCCAACGCCACCATGCGCCCATCGGCCAGGGGGATGATGGGAAGGGAGCGCAGTGCAGCGTGGGTCTCCTCCTCGCCGTCCGCTTGCTGCTCCAGGCAGCGGTAGACGCAGACCAGCAGACGCGCCACCTCGTCCAGCGGGAGGGCTGCGGAGGAGACGGTGGCGCACATGGCACGCAGCGACAGCAACAACAGCAGCAGCAGCAGCACCGTGCAGTCAGATCAACAGCGCCTCCATCAAATCACACGGCAATATCTATGGGATCTTTCTTCCAGTATTTAAAAATTATGAATAGGTTTTACCCTTTCTGGCAATAAAAGAAGCATTAAAATTTTGACTAAAAGCTTTTGTGACTGCAGGAATTCATATTCTTTGGGTCTTTCGGTAAGTCACGTAGATAGGTTCAAAAAAAATAATAAAAAACAATAAAAAAAAAAAACTAAAAAACTACAAAGTTTCGATCGCAACACAGGAAAAAAAAAATATGGGGGCTCCCTCTTTTTTCTTCCTGATGACGAACGCTTGTGTTGCGATCAAAACTTCGTAGTTTTAAAAATCATTTTTGTTATCTTCTTTGAACCTATCTACATGACTTTAACGAAAGATCCAATGAATACAGGTATTAAGATGTTCCAAACACCAAATAGGTACCTTTTGGAAGGAATCAAGTCTGCATTAACTGCACATACTTGTGGCAAAACATACACAAGTACTTGTGGCAAAACATACACAAGTATGTGTGGTTAATGTTTGAACATCACACGCCAATTATTTTATTTTACATCATATAATGCCGATAGCTGAATATATATGATGTATATAACCCAGGCAGAGCAATGCTGAGTTTTGCCAACTTATCTGGGCGGCGGTGGCGCACACCTGTAATCCAGCACTTTTTAAGTGTGGAGCTGTACCCCTGGGCTCGCCAGATGGCCACAGTGTGGCCTCCACTCGTGTGTCTTTACGGGAAAGCATCGCCCCCTCGCACATGTGGGTTTTCTCTGAGTGCTCCGGTTTCCAACCACATGTTAGCACTCATTCATTGGCTGAAACATCTAAAGAACTGCAGAGCTTGGGGAATTGTTGGCACCAGCTCACCGCTTGGTTGCCTTCCCGCTTGCCGATGGTTCCTAGCGCCTCCAACTCATTCTCTCTTATCAAGAGTGAGCGTAGACTGAGAGGCGCATTACAAGTTTATTTTTTTTTATTATTGCCTTTGGTATAGCATGCCCAACATAGGCTGGATTAGGCTATGTATGCATAGTGACAAGGAGGCGAGGGACTTATAATTTTGAGAACTGTCTGCCCAAGAATAATCACTGCCCCTGCTGCTGCCAGAGAGGTGACATTCGACAGCTCTCGTTAAAATTGATAATTTGGAAATTGCATCTCGGCTTCTTGGTGAAACCCACAACTCAACCCCCACACGAGGCGATGTCGGTTGCCCCTTCCACTTTGTTGCATTCTGCTGTTCAGAATTCTCTTCCCCAGCTACCACTTCTTTTCCACAGGCGCATCTAAACCATGTCAGCGCAAAAGCCCTCATGGTACAGCTGGTGTTCCACTGGCTATGTTTGCTGTTCGGAGCCAGAACCAAAACATCTGAATCTAGCTTAGGACCAGGCAAGGCTGATGACGCGTTCTATGCATGTGACATCAGCCAGTAACACTGCGAGGATGCAGCGTCACCGCGTCATCTACAGGCGACTCGACCCGTTCATTGCGAGTGACGTCAGCGGCACGGCTCTGGTCCCGCGGTGCACCGGGATCGACGCGGCAACAGCTCTGAATGCGCCAGCGAAAGAAGAACGGTGGCGAGCACCGCACTCAATACGCACCAAGTGCTTGCCACAAATGAACCGCAACACCTTGCCGATCTCGTCAAGGAGCATAAACCATCATGCGAACTCATCCTCGCAACGGCTTTTGGCTAGCCATTGAATAAAGATGGTCACCGCATCACGCACGTTCAGATGCGCTTCTGCGGCCGTCTGGAACACTCTTCCTTCCGAAATTAGGAAGCCATTAAATCTAGATTGAAAACTAACTTATTTCAAACTGCTCTTTACATTTAGTTTGTTGTCTTTCTCCCCGCACCTCCAATTAGCACGGTTGGCTATGTACGGTGCGAAAGAAGTTCAGTGTACATAGAGACCGCCGATGCCGTACTCACCCTTCCTGGCAGCGTCCGCTTCCCGCAGGATGGCGCGTGCCACCGCGAGTACGTCGTCCGCGCTCAGCGTGTGCACGCCCAGCTCGCGCGCGAGCGCGGGGCTCAGGGCGCCGCGCGCCACCGCCGGGTGAAGGTACGCCAGGCCCAGGTGCTGCGCCAGCAGCGCGGGCGACACGACCTCGCGCACCAGCTCGTCCCGTGCCACCGTCGTCTCCGACGGAGGGCGGAACTCCAGCGGCTCGCCTGGGAGAGTGAACGCGCGCGGAGGGGTTGGGGGTGACGTTGGGGCCAAGGCGATTATAGTCAGACCCACTAATGGGGTTAAACATTGTTACGGTTAGACGCATTTTCGGGTTGCACCCCGTGTTGTTCAGCACGATGTTTGACATTTTGCTACACGTGCCGAAGTCTTCAGCTGTTGAAGAGACTCCCAGCAGATGATGGAATGAAACGATGCGACACATCGGAGCACCGGACAGCTTTGTGACCTCGCGGTAACGGAAGGGCTGCAGAGGTGAAGGTTACCAGACGGCCCCTGGATGGGCAGGCAGGGCGTAGCCTTGAGCTGCTGGAGGATCTGCTTCACAACAGGACGGAAGAAATCGAGGATCTCGTCGGGAAGCGGCACAAAGCGCAGCAGCTGAGACAGGCCCTCCAGTATGTCCAGGCTCGAGTGGTGCTGCAAACACAAAGACAAAGATACCCGATATAGACGTAACAGACTGTTGGGGCAAGTGCTGTTAGCGAGCACCTATGAAGGCCGACACAGCACATGAGGGCATGTTTACACACCGCACCAGGTACTTATATGAGGCCGAGTCGACCTAGGGGAGGACCAGAACCGGTTCAGATAATCGTCGCCGGTGTTGGCCATGAGCGAAAATCGAACTCAGGTCGCCGGCTTCGTAGCGCAGCGCGTGCTAACCGCTATACCACCACTCCCCACACGAGACGAGCACGTGACTATCGGTGTAAATGGAGTCTGAGCACAAATAAACGTGCCCATGCCCCAAGTACAGCTGCTACCATTTCTACGACAGAGCAAACCCAGGCACATTTCTCACCGAGCCCAGGTCTATTGTTAAAACTGTGCAGTTCACAGTGATAAAATTCAACCACAGCCATACCCGGGGGTACGAGATCTCGGCACAAATCAATTCCTGCTGCCACCCGAACATTGTCCGGGGGTCAAACGCGGACAGGTGGCTGCCCCAGTCGCAAGGCCACATCTGCGCCGACTCACGGTAAACGCGTGCAGGGCCTGCAGGAAAAGCCCCGGGATCTCGGAGCGCAGCCACTGGTTCCACGCGCTGTCTCGGTCCACGTCCTCGCGTGACGACGGCACTTCAAAATCACCTGACCGGAAGGAGGGGGTGGGAGAGAGAGCAAGAAGGTACGAAGGGGAACCTTATAACTCTTTCACAGCGACGCGTTCTTCGCGTACGTCACCCTGCAGCCAACCTCTCTGCTCTCGTGTGTGAACTTGGGTCAGTTTGGTTCAAACGTTCAGAATGAATGGGGCATGACCCTGGCCCTTGTGCAATTTATTATGTTTTCCATGAGATAATACCAAACACATTATTCGTGTGTGTGGCCAGCAAGCAAAACCTACATTCTCTCAAGTCATATCGGGAGCAGTCACAGGTGGGAAAGCATTGTCGAATTCCTTGAAAGGCTCAACTCTCTCCAACTTATGTTGAAAGCATTAACGCATCAGTTCTGCCCGTACCCCTTTGTGCCTGTACTGGGGGCACACAGACTGTCTCGTAAAGATGATTGAATGTCAATTCATTGCTCATGTAAAGTCGTGTTGCCCGAGGGTAAATGGGCTGCATTGATGAAAGGGTTGCCCGAAACGGATCCAACACTAGCGCTCCAAGGATGACGCCGTTTATGCGCGATGTCAGCCCACTGCGTCACATGTCGAACGATGGCCCGGAACGCATAGTTCCCTCTTGCTCATTAAATATTTCAAGCGCAGATTGAAAAGGGTCAAAGAATTCATGGATGCGTGCGATTTTTTTACACTTTTATTGAACTTCCCGCATTTTATATATTCTTTGAAATCTTTGATGGTTAATATCTTCGTCCTTACCAAGCCTAACGAGGTAAAATATTTACACACAGACTCATCTCATGTGACAATTCGAAAGGAAGCCTCCCATTTTTTATTGAAGACATCAAATCTGATTAATTCTGGGATAAAAATAATGTATTTTTAAATTCTAAGTGCAAATAAAAGTGTGTGCATTTAAAAGCTCGTTTTTTTACCTACTTTTTTAAAAATTCTTCGTTAAACGCTTGCATAGCTTTAATCCAAAAATTGGGTCAACAATTGCTGGAATTTTAAGCCTCACCACTTTTATGTAAGGAGGCACACGTAGGCTGGCTTCCCGAAGAGACCAACACGTTCAAAGCAACCGATTTCAACCACGTCTCACCTCTAAATTTGAATAAAAATAAACTAGCAGAGTCACGTAGGGGCCAACTGAGATTTGATGAAGCAAGAACGCTCACAACCACCAACATCCCGTGTGGGCTGATCTTCTTGGTGTGCTACAGCGTACGTGTGCATAATGCCGGAGTGCCAGTGCAGTGGGAAGTTCACTGCTCTACAAACCCAGAGCCATGGAATTCGATTACAGGTTTTTTTTTAAGCATTGGCTTCAAGCATCAGCATGTGAATGGAGGAGCAAGTGAACAGGAGGTGAGAGGAAGCGAATGATGAAATGGTTCGGATGAAAAAGGAGGAGGTGTTACGAATGCGTTTGTCCATCTAATTTTTGGCGAGGTGGATGCAGGGCGAGCGTAGTCGGGCAACGCACCCTGAATGATGAAGCGGAAACCGTAGCTGCGGAGCGGCAGGAAGGCGAACACGGGCTGCTTGTCCAGGAGTGATGGCAATCCCCCCGAGCGCTCGCCCGGCTCCGCCTGCTCCAGAGGGAACGCCAACGCCAGCTCCGTGGCTTCCACGTTCTCCTTCATCTGACGGAGCACACGTGGCAACAAAGGCAAAGGATTACTAGCCTATAACCGACTGTTGGGGCAAGTGCTGTTCGTGAGCACTTATTAAAAGCCGCCGTGGCACATGAGGTAGTGGGAGGCCGGCACCATTCTTGGCCACCTTTGTCTCCTCCACGCTGATATTTTACACAAGTGCTGTTAGCGAGCGCCTAAGAAGGCCAGCACTGCGCAATGACTGACACACGCCAGCGCACAAATGCATTTCATAAGAATTCGCCAAGATAAAAGAGTGCCGGTGTAATTGTAGGTCTTGCGCCGCTACTAGAGCTTGCGTGTTGTCCTTCCTCCACACCCCCGATTAGCATGGTAGGCGACATACAGCGCGAAAGAACATTACATTTCCAAATTGTACTATTTTGCTTTATTAAGTTTGTTTTCGCTCTCTCTGTGTGTCTCTGTGTTGTCTCTCTAGTAATTCCTGCAGTCACGAAAGCTCCAAATCTCTCATTGACATGTTAATTTCTCCACCCCCCCCTCTCTCTCTGCCCCCCTCTCTCTCTATTTAAGGCCTCGACACAGAGGCGTTGTTTCTCTGTGTGCCTATGTGTGTGTCTCGCTGTGTGTTTCTGTGTTGTCTCTCTCTGCTTATGTGTTTGTCTATGTGTCTCCTGTTCTGTTTTGTCTCTCTCTCAAATTTAGCAATCTTTGGAAGAACATAATCAACCAGGTAGGGTGTTTGGCTGTTATGTTAGCTGACTCTCTGTGTTGTATTGCATTATATTTCTAAGTTCACTAGCTTTGTTTTTTCATTCATTCGTACCTGATAATGATTGCTTGTGTTGCAATCTAAACGTCGCATTCCATTATTTAATTTATTTTCTTTCTACGCGACTTTACGGAAAGAACCAAAAAGTAGCGCGAAAGAAGTTCAACATAGATATAGACATGTACATTGACACGGAGCACGCAAACGGCACGCGAGCGGGAAGCGTAGACGGCACCTTGGCGGCGTTGAGCGTTTTTTTGACGAGCAGCCATCTGTCGCAGCCCGTCGAGTGCTCGATCTCCACCACGCCGTCCCCAAGCTCCCTCTGCTGCATGAACTGCACGCTGCCATCCACCTGCAGCTCGCGAGCACACGGCGGCGAAGCAACGACGGGTCACGTGTACTTTACACAAATAAATACATAGGGAGAAGGCGCGGCTACAAAATCGCTTGGTCGCTCCACTGTTGGCAGTTTGAGGGATAATCTAGAGCGGTGGTTTTCCAAACTTTTTTGGAGACTGTATCCCCCTTGATCATTGGTTTTTTACCCTTTTATCATCTGGCAACAAAACTGACACCCCAGACAGGTTTTCTTAGAGCCTAGTCTCACATGGTGTTGGACCAGATGACACCAAAAGGCGCACAACTCAAAGACAATGCACCATCAGAGTGAGAGCTCAGGGTAAGCATTTACACCATTGGAACCTCCTTTGCCAGTAGCAAAATATGATAATTGGTTATCATATATAAAAAAGGTGTCAGTTTTGTTGCCAGATAAAAGGGTAAACAACCAATTATCATATTTTGCTACTGGCAAAGGAGGTTCCAGTGGTGTACCCCCCCTTGTTGAATTTTGTTCCAACCGTACGTGCCCTTGCCTGACCCAACATGGCTCTGAGAAACCAATTGTCCATTTTGTGAGGTATCCTAACTAGCTAGTAATTGCAAGAGAATAAAAAAAAGTAACCCGTAAAAACAAAGTTTTTCACTATAAATCCTTTATATGCGCGTGGCATCGGTTTTATTTTATTATTCATTTCTGTTTTTCTTGAGTAAGAGTTTCATTTTTTCACATTGGTATTTTAAATTAAATATGAGATTTTTTTTTTTCTAAAAAGTGGAAAATTTTGGAAAAAAAATTTCACGAACATTAATTGTCACGCACAACGAGTCTGTGTGGAAAATGTCAGCTCGATTGGATCATGGGAAGTGGGTTAAAAAACGACCGAAAGATTTGCACGGTCCTAAGCAAGCAAGCAAACTTAATATAAAGGATATAAAAATCGAATCAACGGACGTCTTTTGTTCGCGCTCGCTGGTTACTCTTGGAAACCCGCATTGTTTACGATCAATGAGTTTAGAAAGGATTTTTATATCAATTAAGGTTACTATATGGATTTAAATATTATCGTAGTTATTTTATATTGGCAGATTCATACATGATTATTCACCAATAACTCTAATGTATGATATCATTTCACACAATTATAAATTACTTCACGTACCCCTCCCCCCCCCGAGACAATTGCCACGAACCCCGAGGGATCCACGTACCCTCCCGGTTGAGAAACACTTCTCTAGAGCCCCTCTAGCGGGTATTTGGCCGACTCGTCCACGCTGGCCAGATGTTTTGAAAGAGTCGGAGCGCTTTATCCCACCGCACGCAACCTGGCGATCGACTATATGCGGTGAACCCATTCACGCTGCTGAGTGCACAGAGGGGCGCGGGGAGGGGGAGTAGAGAACCTTGCACCATTGTGTAAACTAATACACTACAGCGACAACAAACCCTTCGAGAAGATTTGCGTGTTATATTATTTTTTAAATGTATGTAATTTTACTTCAAAAACCGCCTGTATCATAGGGCTACAAGGCTGGAATCTGAATAGTCAAATTGTACTTACTTTTTAACATTCCCCCGATTTGCTAAAAAAACTAAGTGAATTGGCAAATTTTTGCCGACATGACAACTTGATTTGATTGGCTCCGTCGAGTGTTGGTGGGTTATAGTTTAAAATGTTGACATTATACCAACACGACGATTCATGAACCAGCAAACAAGCGGATACTTGACACAATTTGAAACGCAACAAACAAGCGATCCTTCAACTAAACCTGTGCATTGCTGGCTCTGATTGTTGACGCCCTTTGACTGGCCGAGTGGGCTATCTGTCCTGGCATGGTGGTGTGGGTACGTGGTTTATATTTGGAGATTGCATGTTCTCAGCGTGGTCGCGTGGATTTTTCTACACGTCTACCGGGTTCTTCCCTCCACATTTATAAACAAACACGCGTTTAGAGTATTTGACTGCTATAAATTTCCACGTGATAAGCCACTTTGTTGAGCTATCATTTGTGGCCAGGTCGCTTCTGAAAAAGAGCTACATAGCTCATTAGGCCTTACCTGGTAAAATAAAAACAATTCTTTCATTTAGTTTATATGTGGAGATGGCTTGTGTTTGTGAGGTGCGGAGGAATGGGATGGTGTGCATTCAGTTGGTGTGTGTGTGTGTGTGTGAGACAAGATGCGTCCTCTAACAATGCATGAGAGAGACACCCAGAAGCGAGTCGCGAGCGGCAGGCAATAGTTAACCTGGCCAGCGGTGGTTGGGGTGGGTGAATCGGATCTGGGTGGTTGAGCGAGAGGATAACAAAGCATCAAGGGGCCCGGTCCCGGTGCTGCGTCGTGGCAATCGTGCGATGTCACCTTGTTGACTATGGTGATGACCCGCAGCCGGTGCAGGAAGAGCAGCAGGGAGGGGTGCACGTCACGGAACAGGTTCCTTGTCTGGTGGCTTTCCGACTTGAGAGGCAGAACGATGCGGGTCATCCAACTGCGGAGACGCAATGCTCGTGGTCACGCGTGGCTCTCCCAGCAAATCAACTGTCGCCCATGACCAACGCACCCAGGATGCGCCCAATCTCGGATGCTAAAGCAGGGTTGAGCCTGGATAATACTTGGATGGGTCACCCGCCCATCCATAAAACAGACAGGTGGTTATGGCTGCAGAGGTTATGGACAGTAGAGGGCAGTGTAGAAAAATCCATAGTTGTACTGTACCACTATCCTCCCCGCCCCCCCCCCCCCGTGCATGCTCCCTGCCTTCACAAACCCGCACTGACTAGCGTGGTGAAGTATGGTAAAATGACCTCCACAATCCGCAAGGCGTGCAGAGGTCAACAAATCTTGTCGCCAGGGACGGTTGCTATAAAACTTCCCCAAGGTACTTGGCAAACGTTAGGGAAGCATGTCACGTCACCCTTTTATTCCCTGTGCCCACAGCGCCAGCAGCCACCCACCTGTCCTCCTCGCCAGGCACCCCAGTGAGGTCCAGAGGCCGCCGGCAGCCCACCTCCTCCTCACCCTCTCCCACCTCGGCCCGCCCTTCGTCCACCCAGTGCGGCAGGATGAGGCCCATGGGGCCACTGCGCCGGTCGAAGCGAAGGTGGAAGCCGTTGGAGTGGATCTCGGGCCTGTCCGTGACCTTGAACACCGACTTGAATCCTATGCCCTTCTGCCCTGTACTCGCGGCGGTGTGGAAGAAGAGTGCACACGACAGCTGAATGGGTCAGAGGGCAGGCGAATGGGAGAGGAACAGTCGAGACAGTTAACGGTGATCGCATTCGCACGCGTGACGGCTGTGTACGTGTCAGGATGGACTCTGACATCGCTCACCACTGACATTAGTTATCCCCGGTTTGGAATCAAAAGCGGGTTGCTAGGTTCAGAAAGCAGCAAGCATGCTCACCAATGTACCACTGTACCACCTCATTGTCATCATTTGTAGAAAGAAAAAAACAAAGATACTCCATATAGTCTTTGTTGACTTTTGGAGCAAATGTTTGTTAGCAAGCTCCTATTAAGGTCGGCATGGCACACGAAGAGGCGGGTAGCCAACAGCACATCAGGCTGCCTTTATCTCCTGAGCGCTGATATTTACACACTGGACCAGGTACGCATTTAAGGCCGAGCAAACCTATGGGAGGGCACAAGAGCAGCTCAGAAATACATCGCCGATGTTGGCCGCGAGCAGTAATTGGACTCGGGTGTTCGGGGGCCGGAGCGATGTGCATGCAGACCAATGCACTGCCGCTCCCCACTAAAGAAATCACAATCAACGCATTCTCATGCCGCGCGGAATTCGAAGCGCGCGACGGCGTGAGCGATCGAGAGGGCGATGGCACCGTTAACGTCGGCACGACCTGGCGCCATTGACACCGGAGGGAGAGGGGGGGGGGGCTTACCGATATAGCCGTACTTGTGCTTGCCCTTGGTGCTCTTGCCAATGTCGCAGATGTAGCGCACGTTGCGCTCGCTGAAGCCAACCTCGTTGTTAAGCAGCGTCACGCGGTCGTTCTCCACCACGAAGAGGAGGCTCGGTGGCTGCGCGTCTGGCCCGCTCGGATAGCTGTTGTCGTCTGCGTTCTGAAATTTAAGAACAATTTCACTAGGTAAAGGCCCACTAAGCTACATTGCTCTTTCTCAGAAGCAACGTGACCATAAATGACAACTAAATGAAGTGAATTATCACGTGGAAATCTATAGCAGGCAAATACTCGTTAACATCTCGCCACAACGGCGCCCAAATGAATGCGCATGCGAGGCCACGATAACGACAACAGAAATTCGAGGAACATCTCAAAGCAGGAAAAAGTCATCTAACATTTCCAAGGTGGATACGTAAAGCTGTCAGGTTTATCGATGATCCATCTATCACCGATTCACTCTTCAGTCACTCGCTCACGGGCGGTCAGTCACCCCCCGCTCACTATTCTATTGCTCCTGCCATGGTTATGGTTCATGTGAACTTCAATCATCGATTCCTCCAACAATATTGAAGACTTAGTTCATCTCCTCTGTGCTTATTTAACCACCACCACACTGCTGGTCACAACACTTCTCTTTTTGCTTCTTCCCTCGCACTGCTCCACAGTGCAATTTTCCCTCCCATTGTCTCTTTTCGACAAGTTTTTACAAGAATAACCTTGCTTAATTTAAGAAACATATCGACTCCCTTCGATAAACACCATGAACAGTGCCACGTGTTACTCGCCGCTTGGCATTTTGGACCTTTGAGCCTGTGCTCGCTAAGTGCGATACTTTTTTTACATAACATGAGAGGGTCTGGAAGATGGAAGTCCATGACAGAATACACTTGGCAAGAGCCAAAGTATATACAAAAAAAATCTATAGTATTCAGAAATTGATGATAGATTTCCTCTTTAGCTCACAGTATGATAAAAACGAGGACAGCCCTTCGTCAATGCCCTGCGAGGTGAAGTCCTCCCCCCACACCGCATCAGTTTTGGTGGTTGTTTGACCATACTTCACCACAGATGATCAGTGCGGATTGGGGAAGGTAATGAAAGCACACTCATACGTGTGCGTGTGTGTATGTGTACAGGAAAGGGTGGTCTTGCACAGATGCCATATTTTCTGTCCGTCTGCTACAGCAGAGGTGTAGGGAATTCCAAAAAGACCTACATCTCTGCTTTATTGACCTGGTCAAGGCCTATGATACCATCAAAAGGCCTAGGCCCTGGGTTGGTTCTTCGTACTTTCGGAGTCCCTGACCCTCTGCTCACGATCATTAAGGACCTTCATGATGGTGAGCGGGCCCGGGTAAAACAACGTGGCCGGGAGTCAGAGCCATTCCCTGTACACCTTGGGGTGCTACAGGGTTGTCCTCTGGCTCCCACATTATTTAACATCTATTTTGACCACGTAGTTCGTGAAGCTTCCAATAGCTGTACTGGGGGAATTTCCATTTGGTACAGATATAATGGGAGGCTGATCGCTGCCCAAGTGCGGTCAAGGGATGGCTCCCTATTGGTCAACCAAGTTATGTGTGCCGATGATTTGGTAATTGCTGCTCATTCTGAGGAGTTAGAGACGCTACTGCTGAAACTGGAGTGTGCCACTAAGAGGTGGGGCTTTACCATCAGCCCCACCAAAACTAAGCACCTGCCTGGTATTTTGTACCATCGGACACTCCACCCCCATAACTCCCAATCGCTGATGGGGCAGTTGTGGAGAGAGTGGAGAGTTTCCCATACCTGGGCAGTGTGCTCATGACCGGCTCCGGTTTGGCAGCAGAGGTCTCACTCCAAATCAGTCGAGCAGCAATATCTTTTCATCGCTTGCGTAATGCTGTGTGGAAGCTATCTGGTCTGTCGCTCCACACGAAGCTTTGGGTCTTCTCAGTGAGGATCATGCCCTCCCTTCTCTACGCTTGCGAAACGTGGACCCCCCCAAATGGAACATCTTTGCCGGTTAGAAAAATTTAGGCTGGCCTGCCTATGATCAATCCAGGGTTTAACCAGCCTGGATTGTGTGAGGAGCTCACAAATCTTTGAAAGATCTGGACAAAGTCCCATCGGTGAGCTCCTCAGACAGGCAAGGCTCCATTGGCTGGGTTATGTAGCCAGCATGCTCAGCCACCGGATGCCTAAACAGATTTTGTTCGGCTGGATAGAGGGGGCTAAATGGGCGTGGCACGGGCTAGAGAAGAGATGGAGTAACGTGGTACAGGAGGACGTGGAGCTGAGTGGACTTGCCATGACTGATACCAGCAGTGTCAAGATCGGCTGTGGAGGACGCTCGTGAAGGACGCTGCTGCTGCTGGGCAGTTGGAGGCAGTCGCCCTCCAACAACAACGGAGGGCGGAGGAGCGACGCTCACAACGAGTGGAGCGCCGGGTGGTTAAAGCACAGTAAAGTTGGCACAGTTGGGGGCACAAGTGGTGCATCAGCCAGTCATCTTGGTCATCTCAGTCAGTCGACCCGTGGCACCTGCTGGGTCTGTCCCGTGACCTCCTGCCAGCGGGCGTTCGACGTTCGACACTTCACGTGGTCTCAAGGTGCACATAGCCTGGCACAAGCACCGTAGTGACGTCACAGCCACTTAGCGGAGAATGACGGTCGTTGTTGTTGGTGTGTGTTGTTGGTGTGTGTGCTGGTTTGCAAGAGCGCAGGCAGAGCGTCTTGCCTGCACGAGCTCCAGGACGAAGTGCGTGTCTTTGCTGTAGAGCTCCGAGGACAGGCGCTCGAGGCTGCGCCCGATGCGGCTCTGCTGTACCTCCATGAGCCGTGCTGCGTCCTCGCTCAACTCGACGCCGATCCCGAACTCGTGCCTCCTGCACTCCGCCGGGAAAGACAGGCAAGTGCCCAGGGATGCGTTCCCCCATTAGCAAAAACGTCCTAATTGCATGGCCTACGATATACGGTGGATATACTTGCTATTAATGGCTGCCGGGAGCTTCCGGGCTGTGGGAAAAAATATGGCCCAAATTACAACGTTTTGGTGAAATACATAATATTTCGGATTAATCAAATAACTGGAAGTGACATTATTAATGACGTCACTATATTAATAATCATAATAATGTGCGTCATTAATGCGGCGACGTTTCCGCGCTTTTCCTGCCAATAGTAATTTTTAATTATCCTAAAATCTAAAAAGGATACAACATTTTTGATAAAGATTTCAAGACCCTAGTTTTTATATCAGAAACCCATCCTGAATACTCATACGAGGGATGTTTCTCATGCCACCTTTTCAGATTTCAAGATTTTTAAGGACAACTACAGAACAATTTCGAATTATTTTAACTGTGGGACCATTTACCGCGTCTGCTAACAAGAGACGTCACCCGATGTCATGGTAACCCCACTATTGTCAGAAGCACAGAAGCGACATCATATTTGCCACGTCATTTTCTGAGGTGCTTTTGGATCATCCGGATACATCTGACCATTAGCAGAGATCGTGTCTGTGGGATTTTTTGGCCGAAATGTGATCGGCAAAAACCATCCACTTAAGAAATGGACCCCATTCAGATGTAGCAATGAAGAGATTTTTGTCTGTTTATTGACATTACTCATTAACTGATTTTTGTGTTTAATTTGTTGTCCTTCCCCCGCACCTCTAATTACCACATACGGTGCAAAAGAAGTTCAGCATATGTACTTGATCCTCTGCAAAAGCGCAGTGCACTGTCCAGCTACGTTAACTAAGCCACAAATCACATGACGCATATCATCATCATCATAATGTGGACTGTAGTAATACCGCCAATTACTTACCCAGGAAAAACCATTGTGAGTCTCAAGAAACCTTTTTCACACTGAATTGTTTGGCCGGTCCTACTGCCGAGTGTACGGCTTGTTCGGTTGCGATGCGCGCTGGCGTGGAGGCAGCTCCTCACCGGATGTCCTCCACGATGGCTCTGCACGGATCCTCCACCGTTGGGGGGATCTCCTCCGCGAGTGGCGCCTCCTCCCCCTCCTCCACGTCTCCGTCGGCGTTCGTCGCCTCGGCTGTCCCCTCACCCTCGGACGCGGCTGCTCCGTCCACGTCGGCCACTACGTCCGAGGCGACCTCCTCCACCACCTCGTCTTTCTTCTCCTCCACCTCGTCAGTCTTCTCCTCCACCTCCTCGTAGGTCGAAGGCGCAAGGGCGAACTTCTGACAATCCTCCTCTTCATCCCCTGGATTTCAGTTTCATTCGGTTACAATGTCGTCATCATCATCAATCATCAACAACCATGGTCTGAGCAGCAGGCATGCAATTACACATCAATCCATGCATTTAAATATAAACTTTATGCTTATTATACGTCCATTGAGGAGTCCTTTTGAGAATACATAGGTTCCGGTTTATGCAAATCATATTCAAATGATATGTTACACTTACGGTAATGATGACAAACATAACGGTGCAAGGAGATGGGGAAACAATGAGCAACAATACAAACGAGACGAAAATAAGAATCGACTCCTGAATCAAATCACAACAATCCATAAAATCACTCAAAAAAGGAGGGAGGGGAGGGAGGGAAAGTCAGGTGGAGTCATTGGTTTGGGGGGTTCAGACAATGAGCTCTTTACACACGGGGACCTGATTTCACCTCTTGTGAAAGCACGACTCTTCCACCCAGTACATCTTTTTGATGCGGTGCACTGATGCAAGTGATGCACGAGCTCTGTGAGCACCACTGCTGCCCCCTGAGTGCGGCTGTATCAGGGTCATAGCTACCGGACGAGTCGGAGGTCTCTTCATCCTCGGACTCAGAATCTGACTTGGACTCGGACTCCACGGATCCGCTCTCCTCCTCCTCCTCACTGCCATTGGTCAGGTCAGAGTCTGAAGCAGCAGCAGCAGCAGATTTGAATGCCTGACAAATGAAAGACAAAAATAACAAAATAAAGCGAGATTATTTTACACATTTTAAATAACATTGTTTTCCAAGTGTGTGCCACATTATATTTGCTCATACACAAGCGTGGCGAGATACCCCCCCCGGCGACCAGCAACAGCGTGGGAGGCGGCGCTCGTCGTCCGGCAGCTGGAGCGATAGAAGGGCCGCGACGTGCACACACACACGGGCGCGCATCGACATACACGCACCCCCGCACACACGCCAGACGCGCCCACCTCGTTTAGAGCACGCATCGCGACGGGACGGAGCGGCGCGCGTGGCGCTGCGTGGGGCTCCGCCTGCATTCGGCGCTGCAGCTCGCGGCTCCACTCGGTGATGCCGAGCAACAGGCCCAGCTGCTGCAGGCGGAGGCGGTCACGCGGGTCCGTGGCGACGCGCCCCAAGAGCTCCCGGGAGCGCGTCTGGCCCAGGGCGCGGCCGCAAGGCTCCAGCAGCACCTGCGGGCGCAAATGCGCAGAAGGAACAACGACCCCCGCTCGGTAAGCCTGGTGGACGCTCGGAGCAAGTAACACGTCAATTAGGACGTGTGGTACGTGTGCCATTCTTATAGCACAAAGGCTATTGTGACCATGACATTTCCATCTAGAGTGACATTGATTTGTTTCAGGCACTATTTATTTACTTACCATGTTTTCAGTAAATTCTCGTGGGTTTCATGTAAAAAAAAAATGTTTTTGCTCACAATAGTTTACACATTTACTCCATCCTGCAAGGTACTGTAATTGCCACCACTGCCTATGGTCTTGGGATGTGGTTATTTTTGTAACAGGCCTACTTGGCTCACTTGGGTCTTACCAGCTGAATTAATAATCTCTTCCTGCAGCACTGGTTGACAATCAGTGACAATATTCTTGGTTCTTTCGGTAAAGTCACGTAGAAGGGAAATAATAAAACAATACAAATAAAACAATTAAATTCTCACGACGTTTCGATTGCAACACAAGCAATCATCATCAGGTATGATTATTGCTTGTGTTGCAATCGAAACGTCGTGAGAATTTAATTGTTTTATTTTTATTATTATTTCCCTGCAGTCACGAAAGCTTTAAATTAAAAATCTGTGACAAGTTACATACATTGACCAGAAATCAGTTGAACGTGGGTGTATGGTTGGGAAGCTGGGTGTGTGGCTGAGTGGCAACACTAAACTGCGGGGAGCGTGTCGTAGGAAACAATCTGGTGACAGTGTACTGCCGAATGGAGTTGATGATGACCAGCAGGGGCAGAGCTGTCTCTGTGCAGTGGTGTAAACATTGGGAATTTGGCTGTAGTTACAATATCTACGGTTTTAGTGAAAACACGGTCCAGCTTGACAATGGACTTATGTAGGTGACTGTAATAAAACCCCCTGTTCAACAGGCTCCTTACCTAAAACCACTCTGGTGTCTTTGCTTGCTTCAAACCACACACAGGCCCGTGTTGTATTAGACAAGTTTTTAAGTATTCAGACATTATTTCCTGGCATGCCGTAACAGCCTACACATTCCTATAGGCCTTCTCTACGTACTGAATAGTTTGTCTAAAACATTACCGAACAAATCCAAAGTTATTTTAATGTTCCAATCTCTTCTGTACAATACGTTTGGCAGTGAAATGTGTAACGTACAACAACCCCTATCTCTCCACTCCTTAGCAGGGTCAGCTACTAGATCGCCTGCCTTTGCCGCCGCACTTCTACTTCCGATCGTCCACGGCATATCTTCGCTCTTCTGTCAGCCTGCATTGCAGCTCATGGTAGAACTCTCTGCAGCGGCAGTAGAAGCGACTCGCAACCTCCTTCTCCTCTCTACACCAAGGACCAGGACCGGCCTTCGTTTCTCTGTGGCAGCCCCCGCCATCTGAATGCTATCCCACTGCATATGTGCAGTATCAAAAAGAGCAGCACTAGCAGCAGCACCAGAGTTCAATCTACACCAACTTCTAAGAGACACTTGAAGGCCTCATCTCTCTTGCCTGGCTTTCGAGCGAAACACCGAGTTTGGCTCCGCACCTCAGATGTCCTGACATATTGTGTGCGTGATAAATTGCATAATTAAAATTATTAAATCTGTATCAGTGGAGGTCACCTATGCTAAGATCCTGGGGTTTCGTTAAACCAGACTTTCAAGTGTCGTGAGTTCATGGTTTTTGCTCGGTGACCAAAATAAAAAAAAGATATTTTTAAATCGTTGGTTTTGGAAAAAATTCTGGCTCTAAGAATAAACAGAAAAATTACCATCTCGGTTTGACCTCCACACGAAAAAAAACCACATCTCTTGTAACAACGCATGGGAAAGTGCCGCCATTTAGGTGAATCAATAACTCAAGAACAATTACAGAAAATATACGATGTAAAGATTTTGGAGGCCAATGGGGAAGTGATGAAAATGGGGATGATGATGAAGCTCATCCTCACCTGTGGAGCCAAAGCCTTGCACAAGCGGAGAGGAATGCGGCACAGGCAGTCCAAGACGAACCTCGCGGCCAGCTTGCCCGACGACTCCTCATCCTCCATGCTGGACTCTGCACACGCACCAGGCATTGGCACGATGCTCAAATTTAACCAAAATTATCCCCTGTACTCAAGATTCCCGCAGCCTAAATCTTGACTGAGAATATGGGTACAAACTGAGCAATCATTGGAAGGACGCTATCAACCAGTTTAAGTCATTACTGGCTGTGATGTTCCCATAGTACCACCTTCCGATGCTCGTTGTGCTTTACGCCCATTTCAAACTTGCACTTTCACAGGGTTCACACTAACACAGCCACTTCGCGCGCCGACCCGTGCGTTGCGGCTCTGCGATCTCCCATTAACATGCTAATCTCCCATTAACATGATAATTTTCACCTGGCAGCCTCTTGATTGGTGGAAAACCAATCACCGTCGGGTTGGCTGCCCACAACTTACATTATCATTGGCTGCTGACATTTGGGCTACGCCCATTTCAAACCCTTACAAACAGTTTGCCTTGGAAGCTAACCCCCTTTTTCCTGGAGATGACCGCTTGTGTTGCGATTGAAACGTCGTAGTTTTTTGTTATTTTCTTTGAACCTATCTATGTGACTTTACCGAAAGACCCAAGAATATTAATTCCTGCAGCCTCCAGAGATAATTATCGTGAGGCACAGAGCAGAAAGACGGCAACACTGTGTTGGATTATAACCCGATCTCTAATCGCATTCATAGAGATCTAATCACACGTGTGTGTATGTTGAACATCTTGCCCATATTACGCAGTCAACCGTGCTAATCGGAGGTGCGGGGGAAGGACAACAAACTAAACACAAAAAGCACTTCAAAATAAATTAGTTTTCAATCTAGATTTAAAAGTGCATAGCTCCAGTGGCTTCCTAATATCGGAAGGACGAACGTTCCAGATGGCCGCATAAAATCCGTCATCATCAGCCGCGATCAATCCACTGCTGGATGAAGGCCTCCCCGAGTCGTCACCGTACATCACAGCCACACGATGCAACAATCCATGCGACTCCTGCCCACGAGCCGATCTCGGCGCTCCATCTCTTTGGCACACGACCTCTCGGGAGTGATCCCTCCTTCGGCTGCCAATCCTTCGTTAGTCTCAACCGGCCATCATCTATTTTGGTGCCGTGTCCTACCCAAGCCCACTTACTTTTAATAAAAATGAACGTGAGGTCTCTTAACTTGCGATTGTTCTCCGATCCATATGTTCCTCACTGTTCATAAATGTAATTTCCAGCATGGACCTCTCCATACTTCGCTATGAACTTTAAAACGTTTGTTTCATTCAACGTTTGTTCCTGATCCATATGCCAGGGAAGAGGTCATACGCAGCGATTGAAAACTCTCGATTAGGCACATTGATATATTTATATTAAACATAAATCCATTACATTTATCATATACAAGCAGAACTCTGTTATGTATTTCCACATAAGGAAACACATGTTGCAGTCCATCAGCCTGTTGGTATTTCAGATCGATATTAACCAGCAGAATTTGTTTCAGCAGGGAAACTCTGGACCAGTTTTGACGATCAGGGCCTCATCAGCAGTCGGACTTGTTTACTCGAGTATGTAACACAGGTCCAGGACATAGTCTTAAACAACGTAGTGAGCCCCATAGGTATGCAATCAACATGAAAGCTATTATTATGCATACTTACAAAAAAACTATTGTTTAAAGCTCACCTCTGCCCACCGCCATAGACGCAAGGACAGATTCCATCCGATTGGCTAGCAGGGCCAGGGGGGCATGTCCCAGTCCATCGGCTGTCACCATGGAGACCAGCTGCCCGGCGACGACCACGGGGTCGTGGCGGAGGGCGGCCTCGTCGAACTTGTCGGGGGAGGGGTCGGGGTCGAGGCGGAGCAGGAGCCCTGGTTTCATCTCCAGGACGAGGAGCTCGGAGAAACCTTTGTGGACAGTGCGGTGCACGCAAGAGGACATAGGATCCCATTTTACACTGGCATATCAGAGCTGTGCCAGGGTGGAGGTGCTCATGGTATGGGGGTGGTTTTTCGCTGGCCCATTGCTGAGCTGAGCTGAAACCAAACCGTGCTACGCTGGCCTCACAAGACATCGGAATCTGGTTCGGAGCCAAACCAATGACGGGGGCGAAAGACATTAATTGTGCATGAAATTAGTCAGTAAAAGGACGTGATCAGGTCATCTGCCCATGCCTTGACTTGTCATTCATTTCCTGCCATCTCATCGGCGTAATATGGCTTCTGCAGTGTAAATACACACTGGGCTGGCTCGACACAGCTATGATGCAGCTCAGTTGGTCAGTTGAAAAGAGATATTAGATAAAACACTAAAGAGGTCACGTGCTGTATCATGGTCTGTAATGTTAGATAAACGAGCCAGCACCAGTGAACACTTGTGTCACATCATAGGTGAACACTAATGGCTGAACAGGCCTAGTCACTAGGCTACTGAGAAGATTACAGATGTCCAACTTTGTTTGAGCCTCAATCGGTGGCAACCATATTGCCGGCCCAGACAGACCTCGGCCTGAAACGAAGCCCTGGGAAAAACACATACCACTCTTGGCCAGCAGCTGGGCCACTTTTCCCGAGTAGCCCCTCTCGATGAACTTCTTGAGAGCTCCGAGCTGAGGCTCAAAGAGCAGCTCCCAGTGTGACCACGTGGCCAGGTCCTCCAGGAGAGGCGCACCGAGCAGGCAACGCAGGGCCTGCTCCTCCCCTACGTCGCCTTGTAGGCCCACTGTGACACGTTCCAACAGGAAGTCCTGTCTGAAGGGATGGAGTGACACCCATTGATAACAAAATCAGGAGCAGCACCTACAAGAGCAATGGTTATGGGAGTGCAGCTATTCCAGGAGTCGGCAACCAACAACAAGATACATTTTCATCGAATTTGGAAAATAACTCAACATTTCAAGAGGCGCAATGCACTGTGGTGATTGTGATACAGTGGTCCTTAATAACATCACCAGTCTTTAAAGACTTAAAGCTTTCATGACTGCAGGAATTCATATTCTTTGGGTCTTTCGGTCAAGCCACGTAGATAGAAAAATAATAAAAATATCATGACGTTTTGATCGCAACACAAGCAATCCTCATCAGGTGGAAATATATATATAGCGGGAGAGCTGCTGAGGCAGGATGTTATATAGATTTGAGAGGGGTTTAGCCCAAGGGTAAGTGGGTGGGGCTACAATGGCCACCTCCACAGCTGCGTAGTCGTGGAGGTGCATCAGCTCTCCGATCTTACATTTACGTGCAAATTCCATCTCTAGCCCCGCCCACTTACCCTTGGGCTAAACCCATCTCAAACCGATATAACATCCTGCTTCAGCAACTCTCCCGCTATATATTTTTTCCACCTGATGACAATTGCTTGTGTTGCGATCGAAACGTCGTGATATTTTTATTATTTTTCTATCTACGTGGCTTTACCGAAAGACCCAAAGAACAGCCTTTAAAGAGCCGCATGCGGCACCGGGAGCCGCAGGTTAGCAACCCCTGAGCTATTCGATTCTTGTGCATAAGGGCAACATGTTCAGGAGCCAGATGCCAATGTCCGAGGTCTGCTGGTCACAACGAGAGGGCTTCAGAATAAACTTTGTGCAGGTTTACTATTCCTACTCCGTTGAAGACAGACTACAGTGGGTTACTATATCATGCGTATCTTGGGTTGCATAGTCTTAAATCGCACTGTGGCTTGACTTAATTTTCTATTTATGAAAGAGATGTGAGCATTGGCTTGTCGCTGTTATGATGAGGTTGATGGAGGAATGTCAAAGCCAGGAGGTGCAATGTGTGGGTATCTAATGAGGTGTTTATTCTGGACGACTGCGTTATTATAAGATGGTGACAACCGTCATCCCAAAAGGGGGATCGGGACCTATGTTGGTGGCAAGGTACATTGTTGAGGTCTCTAAACAATACGGGCGCAGTTGAGAGTGACTGAAGAAGGAAACATTTATTTTTCTGTCACACACAGTTCAGCATTTGCCTGGTCAAAAGGAATCAATGCACCACTTCCGTCATGGACGAGAGATGATTGTTGTGAATGTAAATTTTTGCTACTTCTCTTCTTCTTTCGTATGACTGATGTAGATGCAGAGCAACAACAACAATTTCACATTGAGGTGGTAAAGCCAGGAGGAGCGAGCGGAGTGCATCGTTGTGATGTCTCCTTCGTATTTGTGGATCGGGGCATTGCGCCGTTTCACATTGTATGATCTGTTCTGGATGACCAGTCGCACACTGGAGAGTTTTTAATGTTTTATTTGTGCATCAGGTATCCACATCTGCCATGGTTTGTGCGAATGCGGTTTAAGGGTGGACCATGAGCTTCGTGGAAGATCAAAGCCAGGGATCTTCTGCGTTGGGTCTTTCACAAGGTGTTTGTCAGTTCTTTTGAACTTACACTGAGAATGTCGACTGTCTGCAGTGGTAACATGAAACTATGAAAATAAAAAGGGATAAAAATTAAAAAAAGTTGATACTTACACGTGCAATTCAATACATGAATTGTCAGCTTAATAAATATGAATCGATTTCACCGATGTATCGCGCTGTTACTACTAACTAGCACAACTCTTTATTACGATCTAAGCATGTACAGTAAAATATAAAATCAAAATATATCTCCTGTATTAAGGCGGCATTAATTGATGAAGGCTTATTTAAACTGTGTGCAATACGAAGCAACTTCAGAATTCTTTCTGAAGCATTGCTGCAATGTTTGGTGCACTGCGATACAAACGAGGCGATCCGATTCCTGCCATGGCTAACGTCAGTAATTGATATCTGAACCAGTGCTGAGCCTAATCCCCACCCCCTGCAACAACAATCCCCATGACCAAAGCAACGTGGCGAGGCCTTCATCAGGCAGTGGATTGCGCAAGGGGTGTTACACACACAATCTTCAGTTTGGCTCCCCAATTCCATTCCCAATGACATATTGGTGTGGTTCACTGAGCCTTTGATGTGAAAAACTAAAGAACCCTAAGTGTCTGTCGCCAACTCCCAACAATTTTGAGCAGCGACCCGTGGCAGTCAGGCAGTTCACAAGGTGAGCAGAGGGGTGAGGAGGGGGGCACTTTGGAAGGGGCTGCCAAACCTCGAGTCGCGAGCACACAGCGCCGTCTCGTACAAGACGGCGCACCGATGGACACCGCCGCCGCCGCTGCCACCGGGCTTGGCTTTCTGCACCAGTTTCACCAGGTTGGCCACGGGGCCGTGCCCAAGGTTGCGGCAGGAATGCACGCCGTAGTGCTGCCCCACAGCGCAGTCCACGGCCGGCAGCTGCAGAGCACACGGCAAACAACAGAGACCTGGAACCCTCTCTCTTTCGTTTGGAGGCGGCCGAGTTTCTAGCAGCCCTTTTCCGCTGGCGTATCCGATCCGTGTCAGCGCGAAGGCCCCCCACGGAACGGGTGGTTTTCCACTGGCTATTTGCCGTGCCGATATAAAATCAAACTGTAATACGCCGCCCTTACAAGACTTTTCAAAATGGTCTAGGGGCCAAACAGGGCCAGAGGTGGTGCTAATAATGAAGGGTCCATTGCGTACGACGTGAAAAGCGTCAATGTGACTGCACGAATTTATGGAAAGATGGCCGAGTGGTGGTTCTCGGTTCAAACTCAGGATCTGCCCTGGTTAATTTTGCCATGAACAAAGTGGTCTGTTTCACAATGTATTATAATAATCCCGTGACACTGTATTTAAAAAAAGAATTGGCCACGTGTAACCGGATCATGTTCCAAATTTGCCAAATCCGATAAAATACTTGAACATTACTTTATCGGGGAAAACCACGTAAGAAAATCGAACATCGCTGCCTAATGGCAGATATGTCCATTCACAGGCCGCTAGTGCACGCACCACGTGCCAAACAGGAACAGCTGCCATTGGGGAGGCTAGACTGCCGCAGGGCAATGGAATGGTTGAGATGAGACGTTGCTGTACGGCGCTTTGAGTTGCCGAGTTTATTTCAGCGAGCGCCCTATATCTACAAATCCTGATCCCCATCTCCGAGCCGCCCCGGTGGGCCCTGTAGTGGCTCGCGTCTCACCGCTGCGGTGTCGAGGCTGCCGCACTGGCGGATGAACTCCAGCAGCTCGTCGCGCTTGGGGCAGAAGCTTCCCGCCGTGGCTCCAGATCCGCCCAGGGCAGAGATCACAACCCCAGTCTCCTCCAACAGCTGCCACAGACACAACAAATCAACATCGGTTGGTTGACACCGAGGCGATCGCAAGGCAAACACCGGCTTAATGCTGAACGATACGCATGGAGCTGCTTCTCACAATGCAGTGCACGAAAACTGATAAAATATTAGAGATTTAAGTTTGAATATTAAAACCAAATCCGTTCTCAATTTTTGTTTTCAAAATGTCAAGAGACGATAATCCATTCGGAAATCTTGCATAGCCATGCAAACCATGTCTCATTAAAATGCTCTGGGTGGCCTTGTATCTTTTACACAATAGGAGCCAATGCTTTCACATTAGCTATGAGATTGCTATGAGATTGTGCGGCGCACGAGAGTCAAGCTAAAATTATTATTCTCAGAGCTGGAATTAGGAAAATAAAGTGCAAAACCCAAGTTTAATAAGATTGATGTTTTGTGCAGTCGCTGGTGACTGGGCTCGGACGATCGACTTGCTAGACTTGAGACCTCGGTTTCATCCCAAGCGGTCAAAATCCAGATTCAAGTCCAGAACCTCATTATTGCCTTTGCTCTCCGAGCCACTTGGTCACTTCGCATATTTTGTGTTTTGATATATTTTTCCTTAATGTTACTGCTGTACGCTCACTTTTAAAGGCGAATTTTCAATACCTATTTCTGGGATGTTTGCCAAATTCCTATATATGTTTAAGAGTGACAAGAGAAAACCCATGCAACTTACTTGAAACGTGTATGTGCTCTGCATTGGCAGTGATTCAACATATTCGAGTTATCGACAAACGAGTTTTAAGTTAATAATATTAAACTAATATTAGCGCGCACAATTTTGGAAACGAACTTAAGTTTGCGCGCCACTCGGAGGCGGCAAGTAGACTCAAACTTCGCACAAGCAGTGTCGCACACCTACTTGCTGTACTGCCTCTTACCAGCTGGAGGCGGGTGGGCTCACGCACGCCACGTACGCACCTGGGTGTTGCGATGCAGGATGTCCAAGAAGGAGCCGAGGCCCAGGCTGGGGAGGTCGCGCGAGTCAAAGTGCTCGGCAAGCTGCTTCTCCACGCGTGACAGCGCGGGCAGGCCCAGGGGCTCTGCCATCTTACTTGCGTGGCTCAGCAGACGGACCAGCTGCTCGGCTACCGCCTCTGCGAAGGAGAGGAGCAATACCATTGTAGAGAAGACAACGATGTTGTAACTCACTCAAATAGGCTCGACAACTGCCACTCCCCTCCCCCGTCTCATCTACGGCCTCCCGATAAGTTTCATCATCACACTCCAGATGACAAAAAAACTGTTTAATACTTAGGCCTTTGCAACCAATATTATTCGCAATAGAGATTTTTTTTTTGGTTAGGTCGCATGAAGTGCATATTAACGCGTATTATTAAGTGCATATTTACGTGATCTAACCCAAAAATCTCGATTATGGACTCAAAAATCTGCTGGAAGACTTCTCACTCACTCCCACATGCAAGACAATATCGCCCCAATATTTCAATTGTTCAACTATCCCCCAAACCAGTCCAGGATAAATTTCAAGTTCACACTCAGCATTCTGAAGGTCCTCCGTGGTCTGACCCCTTATGTACAATACAAGAAACTACATTTTATTCAGATTGTGCTTTAGATATCGTGTCATGAGACGGAGGATCCACTCAGATCTCTCACAGAGCAGCGGAACCTGTCGTATTGGAGAATGGCCCACAGAAGAGAACATCACAAAGCTATCTCTGACATCGCTTCTAGTGACCTCTGGTCCACACAGTAAAGGGAAGCACATTCCATCTCACTCTGAACATCAGAGTAATGTCCATCGCATGAAAGTTGAGCCGATATTGGACTTGGTCATATTGAGTGCACAGCCATTTATTTTTTATGTTTTGGGTGTTTTTTACAGTCATTAATGCCCGGGCTGAGATAATCAACTGGCTGCACTTGACAAAAGCAAGTTTTATCAAAGGCAGTTACCCGGATTCGAACCCCAGGTCTCAGCCGTTTCCAGCTCAGCGCTAACAATCACTCTCAGCCACCCGTGCCATCTCGACATCAATTTGACAAATCAATGCGTCATACGCTGAACTAATGCCCACTTGCAGCCCAGCGCTGCATCACCTTGTCCCACACAACCACGCACCTGAGATTGACTTATTAATAACTCATGGATATTCCCTTCAGCCCAAATTAACAATCTAAAGATAGCTATACATTGTTATTCTTGGAAATGTTTGTTACAAGTCACATGCTTAAACTGAACAAGTATGTGCTCCAGTGAATCTGAAATCTACATGATCACCCTCAACAGTACAGTAGTTGCATATCTTTACAACAGTGGGTGGAGTTTGATTGATGGCGATTGGCATGGCTCTGCTATCCACTTAGGAGGGCCGAATCTTCTGCTCAGGAGCAGGAAAGTTTTATCACCAAGCACGTGCATTGATCGGTCGATCATTAGTTTTTGGCATAGAGATCCGCAGAAAATAGATATTTTTGGATCATCCGAGATATTTTATTATCTGCAGCCATCCTCCCTGTCATTAGCGTGGATAATCGAGAGTCTATTATATATGCAAATTTGTCTCCTTACTCTCCGGAGGAGGCGGCGGTCTGGTGTCGGGAGTGCTGATGTTGCCGAGAAACGCGGCCGGTTTCTCCTTGACCACGAGGTCACGAGGAGTCTCGAGCGAGCCACAGCACAGGGCCAACTGAAACAGCTTCCGGGCCAGCGTGTCCCCTTTCACCTGCCGCAGGAAGTCCTGCACACACTGTCGGTGGAGACAACAAAGGACCCAAACCACGTGCAGCCATATCACACTCTTGGGACAAATAGAGGGTGATGCATGCATAGATGTCCTACCGATTTCATCGTGTGACTGAATTTTGTAAAAGCGATGACCCTAAATATTATAGATGAGAGTGTTAATTCAGTGGTAGAGAAAGTCTTTTGATACTGGTGGAAGTATCCACAGACTTGAAACGCATGGCGATTATCACCCATTAAATAATTCCAAGGACAAATGTATTATGAAAAATCTAAGCAGATACATTATTTTTCTCGCACGGTAAATTTGTTTTATGTCCGAATGCCACTGCCCCCACCTTCTTCAGCTTATTCACAAAGATGTCCTCGGCGTTCTGGAAGACCTGCAGCACAATCTCGGCCGCCGGCTGTGTCGTGAACTGTCGGCGGAGATCGGCGCTCGTCCCTGGCAAGGGGAACGACTCCATCAAGTGTTTCTTGATCTTGTGTAGCCGGCCCTCCACCTCCTGCTTGATGTCAGTCTCGATGCGAGCCAGCCCACGGTCCATCACCTCCCGCTCGCCTTTCTGGGCCTTGCCGATCACCTAAACAAACAACACAATGTGAGCAACTGTGGTGGCCACAGGTGCGCAGGGCAGTGCTGTAGTTGCAATGATGGAACACATGATGGACGAGTGGTTCAACGGCGAATGCGCGGTGTGCTGGCAATGCACGATTGCAATCGAGAGATGGGTTGGTGGATCATCCTAGCAGCAGTGGCTTGTGGCGAGCCAACAAAGTCAGCACACCACTCGATTTCAGATGCAATTCTGTGGCCAACTGGAATGCACTTCCTTCTGATATTAGGAAGCCACTGGAGCTATGCACTTTTAAATAAATTGAAAACTCATTTCTTTAGAACTGCATCTTGTGTTCAGTTTGTTGCCCTTCCCCACACTTCTGATTAGCACGGTTGGCTACTTACAGTGCGAAAGAAGTTCAACATAGTAGTAGGTTTTTACCCTTTTCAACTGGTACAAAACTGACACCTTTATTCAAGGCATCATGTTTGCAATAACCACAACACAAGTAGTCAAAAATGCAAACAAAAAGAAGCAACTCTGATAATGATAATGATATGCACTGTCCTTGAAGTTGATTGGTCCACACCCGAGACGGCTTTCTTTAGAGCCTAGTCCCCATTGGTGTTGGACCAGATGACACCAGAAGGCGTACAACTCAAACACAGTGCAATATCAGAGTATTGAGAGCTCGGGGTAAGCATTTACACTATGAGATCTCTTTGCCCAGTGGCAAAATATAGTAGTAGGTTTTTACCCTTTTAATCCCAGAATTTCTGAGTATTTGTTTAGATTTGCTCATTTCGATGGTGACACCGGCACAAATGTCCTCATTTATGAATAACATCACGGGATATTTTTTACATTATTTGTGAAGCATATGGAAATGCAGTTTTGGTTAATACACCCACAGTATTAACTAGGGCGACTCCTGGGCTCGAATCGCGAATCTCTGAAACAAGCGACAAATGCACAACCACTCAGGAAAGTAGATTTCTGGAAGAAGCGGGACATTAAAATAGGCCTCAGCCTTCAATACGATATATATTAACATATACTTACACGAGCAGTTACTTCAATGCTCATGTCACAGCACTGCACTCACAAAACTTAAGTCCTGTAGTAAGTCTGTCTCAGACTGCATGAAAAAAGATACACCCTATTCACTTGAGAGGGAGACGCGGTGTAAAACTTCTGTGCCTGAGCAACTGATGATATCTCAGCATTGTGGCCGTGTAAGGCAAATGCAAGGTGGGGGGGGGGGAGTGGTAAAAGGCATGCAGTGTCACTCTCAGGTCGGAACACAGCGCCACGTATGCTTTGGCTGTGCGTCAACAATTCCAGAACGCATTTATACGTACTTCACGCACTGAATAATACAATTCACGCAGTCAACAAGCGACGCAATGCATACACACACACACACGCTCGTACACAGCAGGCACGGCACGTACGGAAATTCCCAGGGGCATGCTTGTGATTCGGATGCCCAGATCGTAAATATCCGGAGCCCCGTACTGTTCCATGAGATGCTTCAGGAAGTCCGGCATCTCCAAACGTGCCGTCACTCCTTTGCCTCGGGAGCTGCGGCTCTTGGCCATGAAAGTCCTCAAACTCTGCCGCAAACAACAACATGAGCACGTTACGCAGAGCGCATGCTCGGGGAGCAACGATTCGGACTTGATTATTCATCCTCAAGCTCGCGATATGCACACCGGATCGCGTGCATAAGAATCGATGTTTTCGATTCGTATACGTTGCATGAAATTGGTTCACATGTTCCAACACCCACCCCCACTCCAGCCACTAGAGCCTGCTGCATTCACCACGTTTTTAAAAAGGCGTTGAATCTTGAGTTGATTCACGAGCACTCAATCGCGATAATCGATTGAGTCGCGACAGGGGTGGTTGGGGTGGGCGCGTATGGCTTCTGCTTACATCTGCAAGGAATGACTTGCCGAGCTTTCATATAATTTAATAGACAAAAAATGCATGTGTCAGTAGCACTGCAGCCTTAAAAGGGGAAAAAAATACAATAAGCGACGTTTTGGGCAATGACCCTTCTTCATATTGCATAGAAAGGCCAGAACAATTGAGTGGACAATAAGAATTGGAGACTGCACTTCACAGCGATTACCGTTTCTCAACAGCTTTTAGGTAACCATTTATATGCAAAATAAAAAAAAAACGATCAAAAAACATGTTAAGAAATCATACCCAGCCCCATGGTGTAAAGTGTAGCCTCCAACTGCTTATTACCCACTAGATTTCCGTGGCTTATGTTCTATCAAGCAGGGCAATTGTCCGAAGATTGTCTATTAGCACGTGAAATTTTTGGGCCACAGTGTTACCGACAAATGTGTTGGGACTTTAATTGTGCTTGTGCACTGCTGCCAACGCAAATCATATAGGTTGTAGGTTGTGCAGCCCTGCAATTGCATGCGAGGGGGTGGGCTGGTGGGGGGGGGGGGGGATGGTGTTGGTGGGGCCGGTGGTGGTGGTGGGGCAGGCTGGTGGTAGTGAGGCGGGGGGAGGGGGGCTGGTGGTGGTGGGGCGGAGGGGGGGCTGGTGGTGGTGGGGCGGGGGGCTGGTTGTGGTGGGGTGGGGGGGCTGGTGGTGGTGGGGCCAGCGGGGGCTAGTGGTGGTTCATGCCAGCGGGGGGCTGGTAGTGGTGGCGCGGGGGGGGGGGGCTTGTGGTGGTTCGTGCCAGCAGGGAGCTGGTGGTGGTGGCGCGGGGGGGGGGGGGGGGGCGGTTGGTGGGGCAGGATGGTGGTGGGGCAGGGGGGGCTGGTGGTGGTCGGGCCAGTGGGGGCTGGTGGTGGTTCGTGCCGGGGAGGGGGGGGGCTGGTGATGGTGGGGCAGGGGGGGGGGGCTTGTGTGATGGGGCGGGGGCTTTCTCTCAGGCCTGAAAACTCCTACCACCTATTAGAAGAGGTGGACATACCCACACTTTACCCCACCACACAAGACTTGCCGATCGAATGCATACCTTCCGTCAATCCATTTAAACTGCGGGGTGGACACAGGCATAGGGATTTGACAAACTTGCCAATTATTTCAACTACTGTTCCGGAAGATGGAATTGAATTTGGCAGCCTCAGGATTGGCAACTCCAGTTTGCTAACCGTTACACCACTGCAGGGCTCTCAAATCATTAACAAAATAAGTTTGAAAAAAAAAACGATGGAAAAGGGTTAAGTGGGCAAGACCTGGAGGATATCCACGGTGGTGATCTCGTAGATGTCCTCATCGCGGAGTGAGTGTGGCACTTTGAAGAGGCGCTGCACCAGAGGGTGGCGGCACAGCGGTCCCAGGCCGATCTCGCGAAAGAACTGCTTTTCCTTCAGGGCGGCCAAACACTGGCCCAGCTCGTACAGCGTGCTGATGCATCGCACTTTCTCGAAGGCCTGCAAAGCCCACCCCACCAAAAAAAATACAAACTCAGGGTGATGTTTACACTTAAATTTGATGGCTCAGTAGTCTTATAGCCAAGGACCCATATCTAGCAGAGAAGGTCCTTGCCTCTAAACATCAGGCAGTCCACCAGCATTGGTTGGAGAACGCTTGGGCCTGCTCATGAGACAATGAATGTCAACACCGGTCCAGAGAATGTTGAACTTCTTTTGCACGTACGGCGCGGGAGAAGCAATGGTGCTAAGATGCACTCCCAAAAGGCTGTGCGGCCGATGGGAAGCATAAAACACTTCTGTAATACAGTTCATGTTTTTAGATTCGTATACATTAAGTAATGGGTTCACATCCCCTTGTAGCCACTAGAGCCGCAACTCCCAATTACAACAATTCATCGAATCACCGGCGGTGACGATGCGAATCACTCCGACACAAGTTTGAAGCCGCACTTGGTGTTGTACTTCTTTCCTTGGAGTCCGCTCATGTTCATGCTACTGTTATTCAATTATCACGTTGCCACGTTCGTACGTTCACGTTTCTTACAAATAGTTTTCCCTGTTGAATGGATCACCAAACCCAAGTGACTGTAATGTTACGGTCAAAAAACTGATTGGGTGACCTCTGGGCGCAGCATGACCTAGCAAACAGACGACCAATCGAGTGAAATAAACATGGGAAACGCACCTCAATGAACAGGTTGACTTCCCTGTGTGTTCGGACAAACTCATTCATCACAGGCAAAACGAACATGTCCCGAATGCCCACGTCCTTCAGGAACTGCACCTGGAGGTGTTGGCACACCAATTGAATCACCTAGCAAAAGAGAAACACAGCAGAGATGACGTGAATACATCATCGCCATGCAGCAGTCTACGCCCGTCAATTTCTCACAGCGGTAGTAAGGCCCTTAGGTGTTTTGGAGTACAAGGCAGGTGCAGGTGGGTGAGTAATCATTTCCTTCCCTCCCGCCAATACTTATTTCAGGCTGTGTTGACATGGCAGTAAATCACAGGAGATAATGACACAGGTTAATTGTCACACAAGCAAATTAGGAAGCTGCCATGCTGTTAATAGTTAGTATACTGAACTCACAGACCAGAGGTTGCAAAATGGGTACACCACAGTTAGCTGATGCGGAAAGTTGCGTGTGATGCAGCAAAGTGTGGGTGTCGGCCAGCTCTTCCAACACATCTGGTCAACATGGAAAAGTAGACCAAATACAGTACTCGTAAAGTTCGCTCTCATGAAGGTCCTTCCACCAGCGGTGGTGTGACCAAGCAGTTGCAGAGCCACACTTTTATATAATTCAGGTCAAAGCCAGGTACACATTGGAGGATAAACATCCCATGGAGGTGGGGAAATTGTTATGCAATAATGTCAGGTCAAACTTATCTAGGATATTTACAGGTGCGTTTTATTCATGCCACACAGGCTAGAGAGTCCAGAGTGAAACCTCGGCCACTGGCATAGTGAGTCATGGATTGAGAGTCACCCGGACTACGGGTTCTTGTGTTTGTTTATGGTTGCTATACAAGCCATGTGATCTACACCACGAAGAGAGTCTAACCGGATTACATTCATGTGCACAGGCAAATCAGATGTGAATATAAAATAAATAAGGTCTACTCAAAGACCGCACTTTAGGATTTGGCACACTCAATAACATTTAAATTGATAAATGAAGGTCAACAAACCATAATCAAATGGGTAGTGCATCGATGTACCAATTGTGGTTACAGATGACTTCAAGAAGAAAATGCTGAATGCGGTTTGTAAGCGAGTTTAAACATGCATCTACACCATTTAAATATATTTTAAACAACCCGTTGCAAAAATAATTTGAAATGTAGCACTGTACATCGGAACAATTTGAAAGACGTTAGAGATTGGAAACTGTCCAAAAAGCGATAGGGGAAAAATAAATATATGTTTTCATAATACAGGTTTTTTGGGTTAGAGCGTGTAAATATATAAATGTGTCGTTAAACCCACCACCACCCGACACAGCCAATTAGTAAGGTTTGTCACTTAAACAGAACGTGCCAATTCGTTACCAGTACAGCACACCGGTTGTGTGTTAGAGAGCAAAGCCACAACATTTACAATCTGAGTACGACATTTCGACAGTAATTACAACCAGCCTCATCAGCCGGCAACCAGATTTGTGGAAATAAATATATATTTTAATATATTGATTTAAATCTATATTTAAAACATATAGAGAAACTGGAACATTATTACAGAATTGGGTGGGACATATGTCGAAAAGAGAATGACTCCAGCTTAGCTTGCAAGAACTAAGAGATACTGTGGCCAAGTGGCCTTAATGACAGAGACAGGCAGATCAAATGTTGACGTTGGAATGAAGACAAATGGACGAGGAAGAACACGGACTGCATTTCACGCAGCCCCATCTCATTCACATCGCCAAGTGTGTCTCGAAACCTTACCATGCCTACAAATATTAACGGACATCGATTAAAGTGGTCCCATTAGATTTACAATTAATCTGAATCTTTAGTACACATTTAATGCCTAGGAATGTAGAGCATGTTGTAAGAGAATACAGGTCGTTTAAACAAATTCAAACATTGGTTATTACAACCAAAGCCCTTTGAAGAGTCGTAATTTAAAATCAAATGGCAGAGCAAAATTTTTTAATTAATTTAATTGCTTCCATTCTAACATTTCCGAACCTGTGATGGGCTCATTGCTTGCAGATTAAATACTCAACACGAGTCATCATTATTGAGTTCTTGCGGTTTCAGTGGCACATATCCACATACCGCAAAATAAAACATCCACAAGTTTTCCATCGTCTGTTTTGCAAACTATCGTAGCTTGATAAAATATCTTAAAAGTATATCATTCCTGACCGAAATGTTAACGATTAACAAAAGTGCAAGAATTAAGGTTGTACATAAATAGCTGTCGCCCATAAAATGAGTGCTTCACTATAGATTATCGGAGTAATTAATAGAACAGCAGTTATTTTGAGGTACATTAAATTCATGTTATTGTTTCTAGAACTTTTGGCAGCATGTGTGTTATAAGAACTATAGATTGTAATCATTAAATACTTATGGCACACTTAAGTTGACTGAAATGCGGTTTACGTAATCTTTGGCTGGCTGGCCAGCATAGCACAAAAAATATATAAAATGATGATATACCATTTAAAGTTATGGCAAACTAACATCGTAAAAATTGTCATGTCATTAGAAATATTAGGGTATCGAATTGTATCACCTAGTAGAAAATAGTATCAGCTAATCATTTCCCTTATCGATAAAACTTTGTGGGGAAGATAACAGTGGTTAAATTTCGATTTAAAGCTTTCGTGACTGCAGGGATTCATCTTCTTGGTTCTTTCGGTAAAGTCACGTAGAAGGGAACTAATAAAATAATACAAATAAAACATAATAAAATAATTCACGACGTTTCGGCCACAACGCAAGCAGCCGTCCTCAGGTGAAGAACAGGTCTGTCAGAAAGACTTCAGACGCTGTCTTTCCGACAGACCTGCTCTTCACCTGAGGACGGCTGCTTGCGTTGTGGCCGAAACAGTCGTGAAATTATTTTATTATGTTTTATTTTTATTATTTTATTATCTCCCTTCTACGTGACTTTACCGAAAGAACTAACAGTGGTTGTCCTATGCAGAGACTCAACCCCTCCCCAACCCCCCCATCATAGGAATGTGGAATTTCCATGACCGGTTCAGGATAGTAAAAAATTTACCCGTAAAAACAAAGTTTTTCACTATAAATCCTTTATATGCGTGGCGGCTAGAGTCCTCTCGTCCTCTGGCTTGAGATGGCTGCCACCTATGGGTCAGATGATTGCCTGCCACCATTAAGCAATTGGTAATTAAATATAATTTATTTTTTCCTATAAAGTGTAAAATTTTGGAAAAAATGTTCACGAAAATACAGTCACGCACAACGAGTCTGTGTGCAAAATGTCAGCTCGATTGGATCACGGGAAGTGGGTTAAAAAACGACCGAAAGATTTGCACGGTCGTAAGCACGCAAGCAAGCAAGTGAACTTAATATAAAGGATTTAAAAAAAGAAATGAGCACCGTATCTCTGTTCATTTGAGCAGGAATTCGCTTTTCGATTTCACGACAAAAGTGGGAGGCTTCTCACCTTCTCTGGCGACACATGCTGCTCAGTCTCTCCGAGCGTCTTGATGCAGTCAGCGGCGATCTCGTTCACGCGCTCCACGCTCATGTGCCTAGTTGGCCTCCTGCCTGGATCCACTCTGGGGCTCCCCTGCATCACGCCATGGTGGACCTGTCGCATGCTGGCGTGGTACCTGTCCGCATCTTGCTTCTCGGCCGCGCTTAGGATTTTCTTGGGTTTCTTTTGTACCACCTCTTTTATTTCCGGCGTGGCCAGCAGCTGCTCTCGATTCTGCGGTTGGGCCATGGCACCCAATTGTGCAGTCGGCAGCTGCTGAGACGCAGCACCACACTGCGAATCGACGTTCTTCACGGGCGAGTTCTGCTTGCTCTGCATTTCCTTGAGTTCACTTTTGCTCATGCGCAGGATGGACGGCCATTCTTGTGAGGAAGCGGTGGCGGCAGCAGCCATTGCTGCATTTAAAAAAAATAGGTAGAAAAGAAAGCACGGGTGGTGAGTTTAGCAGACTTCAGGGCAAGCTGTATACGAGTGCGAGCACCAGAGGTCGCAAACGGGTTTTGATTCCTTACCCATACCCGGCCGCACCAGGGTCGCAAATGGGTACCCGTACCTTACCCTAAATTCAGACAAACGGTTACTCACCGGTGACTCACGGCCTACCCGTACCCGTACCCGGCCGCACCAAGGTCGCAAACGGCTACCCGTACCCGGCCGGGTACGGGTAGCCGGGTATCGGGTAGGGTACGGGTATCGGGTACCCGGTTACGACCTCTGGCGAGCACTAGACGAGTTGATCACCGAATTCAACTCCTGGGAGATGGCCGCAGCGGTGCGTGGCAAAAGCCTGAGATGGTATACGGCAAACCCTTCATATATTCGCGGGGATACATTCTGTAAAAGGGCGAGAATATAAATTCCGTGTATATCACTCAAAAGCTCATGAGGAGAAAAGAGCTCGGGGCATAAACTACAATTACGTTTAAACACATCAACTGTACGTAAAAATTAATGACCACATTGTGTAGTATTATTTAACTCACCTTTAATAATGATGAACGTAAACATATTTTTAAAAGTGCAAATATTAACGAATAAATGAATGTTATACTGTATTATTTAAACTTAGCTGAGGGTGAACAGTAACACAACACGTACAGTGCTTGCGACAAATTTGCACCTCACGTGTACAGAGCGAGGCAGGCAGAGCCAGAGGGAGAGCGGCGTTGCGTAGGCAACGTTGGCACCCTCACGATCTACTCCACGGACAAGCTGTGTCACTTGTTGACCCCCACCGCCCCTTACTGGACATCTGTGAAGAGCTTGATAGCGCTTCGGATTTCTCCAGGGTCAATACAGTGTGCACAGCACCTGTACAGCAGGTCCTCGTTTAACGCGGTAGATGCGTTTCTGAAAAGTGCCGCGTGAAGCAAAAACTATTTTCCTAATAAATAATGTCACGCACAGTAAGATGGGGGGGGACAGAGGGGACGCCGCCACGTTACCCTATCATCTCGCTCAACCGCGCAGCTCAAGAAAGTAGTTCGTCGTCGACCGCTCAGAAAGCGCGTTCTCACGGTGCGCTTTCCGCGCTGTGCGAAAAGCATTCCCTAAATTAAAGAAACCGCGTTATAGTGAAAACGCGTTATAGTATGAACACGCGGGAAGCGAGGACTTGCCGTGCAGTACTTGTCATGTAATAGCGAGCTACGGCCGCCAAAATTTATACAGTACGAGCTTTACTACCCAGCTTCGTCCGGGACTTGGATTCACCACGGCCGGCCGCCTTTGTCTCCTCAGTGGCGATGTTCACACACCACGCCAATTACTCGTTTGAGGCTGAGTCGACCTAGGGGAGGCCCAGGACCGGTTTAAATAATTGTCACCGGTGGTGGCCGTGAACGGGAATCGAACTCGGGTCGCCGGATTCGTAGCGCAGCATGCTAACCACTACACTACCGCTCCCCCCACACACACGCGCGTGTCCATTGGTACACATACACGCGCTTGCTGCAGACACACACAACTTTCAGGGTGCGTACGGCAGTAAACGAGTCAAATAATAAACCAATTCTGTGCGAAGAAGACCTTAGACCTGCAACACATTTGTATGGCACTTTACTCGCAGAGGGTTGGGGGGGGGAGGTATGCGTGACATCAGCAGGCACACTGCGTGACGCTTCCGCATGCGGGTGACATCACAGATGTGACGTCACAGCTCACTTGCCATGCAAAATATATCCATTATTGTGCCCCCCCCCCCAAAAATACAAAAGTCTATTTTTATAATTTTTGTGTACAGTCTGGAAAGTACCCACACGCTAAATTTCAAGTTTGTTGCATGTCGGGAAGTATGCTAAACATTTCGAACAGATACACATATTCACAAATTTCCCTTTTATATATAGATCGCACTTATATTGAACTTCTTTCGCACCGTACGCAGCCAACCGTGCTCATTGGAGGTGCAGGGAGGGGGAAGGTAAAACTAAGCACAAAAAGCAGTTCTAAAGAAATTATTTTCTACATAAATTAGTTTTCTTTCGAACTGCAAAGCCCCCCCGACTTTCGAAGAGTACAGGTACAGCACAATATATTCGTAGTGAATATGCAAAACAGCCACAAGAAAAAAACACACCGCACTTGGAAGGACAAAAATAGTAGCAACTATAAATTTAAATGTTATAACTGGTGCTGGGTAAGAGACACCTCATCGAGTGGTCAAAAAGAGCAGTGGTAGCATCTTCCCCAAAGAGTTTGTTCAACCAACCTAACTTTGATTAATTGTATTTTTACCTTTTTATCTGGCAACAAAACTGACACCTTTTTTTTACAAGGAGTCATGTTTGCATTGACCACAATACCTGCGGTCGGAATGCAAAAAAACACAACTCCGATAATGTATGCACTGTCCTTGAAATTGATTCGTCCACACCCGAGACAGCTTTTCTTAGAGCCTAGTCTCACATGGTGTTGGACCAGATGACGCCAAAAGGCGCACAACTCAAAGACAATGCACCATCAGAGTATGAGAGCTCGGGGTAAGCATTTACACCATTGTAACCTACTTTGCCAGTAGCAAAATATGATAATTGGTTTTTTACTCTTTTATCTGGCAACCTGACTTTCTCAACACACCGGAGGTTCACGGGTCTAGCGGTTGCGGTGACAATCAAACTCTGGATAGAACTGATCAAGGCCAATATAACGAAACGCAAAGATGCAGACCCTGCAATTTCTTGCCCACGCCACTGCTGTTGGAAAGGCCTCCACCAGAAGGCATTCTAACTAGCCCCCTCGAGAGGATATTTTACCATAATTTTCCATACTGGTCATGCATCTTTTAAGAGGTGGTAGTGCCCACAATTTAACCCACCCACCCACACACGACCTGCCTATCACCTCACTGTTACTACACTCTTACACTGCCGGTTGGGCACAGGTGCCGAGCGATTTGAAAAATACCTTGCCCATTATTTCAACAGCAAAATATTATCTCAAACGGTTTCCTCTCGAGTGCCGAACCATGATTTAACTGCACGAAAAACAAGTTTTATCTTACATCCAAGACAACGCATCCATTCTCAAACAAACAAGTGTTTAAAAAACGTCCATCTCAATTTTACACGTTGAGCAATCCAAAACAAAATTCGGTACGTATGGTATATGTATATGACAACCCATTGCAACATCCCAATACCTGGAATCTGTGTGTCGATCAACTTCTTCACCCAGGGTGACACACCGTCACCTATGAGAGGTGGCTGCTGCTGCGGCTGCTGCTGCACCGCCGCTGCCAGTGTCCCTCCTAGTGCGAGCCCCGCCGGACTCTGCTGGCAACGCATCTGCACGGCTCCTGCAGGGCCGATGTCCACCATCGAACCCTGCGGGGTCGAGCGCGGGTTGCCTCTGCTCGCCCCTTCCGCGACGGGAAGCGACGACTCCACCTCGAACGACGATCCTCCTCGCCGTTGAAATTCCGCGCCCTCTCGCCGATGGTCGTCGCTTCCGTCCTCCAATTGCCTCCATCTTGCTTTGGGAGGAGGACCCTCATCTTGTTGTGCCGCGGACGGCGGCATCCCGCTCAGTTTAGCGACCCCTTTGGTGAGACAACTGTGGTCGATGTGGCCCCCCAAAGACTTCAGCATGTTCTTTGTGTTGATGAAGCCGTGCTTCTTGGGAGCGAGGCTGAGGTGGTAGCGCTGCGTGTAGTGCGTGCACAGTTCGCCCACTGTGCAGCCCTCGGGCATCTCCGTCAGCAGGGTCAGCACCTTCTGCCTCCAGTCGTCGTCCATGATGGTGGCCTATGTACAAAAGACGACAGCGCAAATGGTGCACGCACACACACGATTACCTCTTGGATCCGTCTTGAGCGGAGTGCGAGAGCAAACAAGGGGGTTCTCGGTCCCCGTGCAAAAGTATCCAACTGTGTGGTCACGCAAACGCAATTGAATGTGGCAAAGATGCAGCCCTCCAATGTATATTCCTCACGTCACTGTTGATGGAAGGACTTCCACTACTGAACGTTTAAATCGAGCTCTCTAGAGGGTAATTGGCCTACTTTATCCATGCGCAGTTGTTGTGCAAACAGGAATTCTGTTCAGGCATGGGCGATTTGCCAGAATAGTGAAGCCATCCACCTGCTTCTGGTTTTAAACTTCCGCAAGTTCCCGAGACAGCCGATCTCTCTCGATATCGACGTGGTATGCATTGCGTAAAATCTGTACCAGGATCAAGACAAACACCTGTGGTATGGTGCGCCACCCAACCCCTACACCTGCCGTTACCAACTCGCACTGACCATCACATACCTGTCAACCGCTTATTAGTTGCCTACCTTATTGCAGACCAATTCAGACCTTACTCTTTGGGTATTTCGGTAAAGTCACCTAGGTATAAAATAAAATAAATCACGACGTTTCGGGCGCAACACAAGCGTCTGTCATCAGGTGGGAAAGCATGGTCTGCTGCTGAGGCAGACTGTTTGAAAAAGGTTTGAAATGGGTGTAACCCAAGGGTCATAAAGAAGTGGCCGGGGCTAGTGATGTTAATGTGAGAAATTATCATGTTAACGTGAAATCGAAGAGTGGTGCAAATCAAAACGGCCCCCTAGACGAAATAACAGCTGTTATTTCCAACTCTATGTGTGTGTGTCTCTCTCTCTATGCCTCTCTCTTAGATCTCTCATGCTCACATGTCCTTTGCATTGCACTCTCATGCCTTTGGATTGCACTCTCTTACTCACATGCCCTTTGGATTGCACCCGTTGGGTTTCACTCATGCCTTTGGATTGCACCACTCTTAGATTTCACATTACCATGCTAATCTCTCACATTAACATAGCCACTTCCGTGCCCTCGTCCAGGAGGCCGCTCTCCTATCTTACAGTTACACGCTAATTTCTCACATTGACATCACAATCCCCGGCCACTTCTTTATGACCCTTGGGCTACTCATTTCAAACCTTTTAAAATAGTCTGCCTCAGCAGCAGGCCACGCTTTCCCACCTGATGATGGACGCTTGTGTTGCGCCCGAAACGTCGTGATTTATTTTATATCTACGTGACTTTACCGAAAGAACCAAAGAGTATGGATTCCTGCAGTCACGAAAGCTTCAAATCAATTCAGACCTTATTGGTCACCCTGTGTCCTTTAAATCTCAAGGTTCATCCCACAAAGTTACATCACAAGGGAGAAACACACACAAATGTGTTTTGTTGTGCCCGTTTTGAAACGGCTGTACACAGTATGGACCTGAAAACTAAACTTCCCGGTACAAGAATAGGGGGTAAACCATATGGGTTGACAGCTATGCATTATCTATGTATCTCTGTGGGTCTCTATGTATCTCTATGGGTCTCTGTGGGTCTTTATGTATCTCTATGGGTCTCTATGTATCTCTGTGGGTCTCTATGTATAGCTATGGGTATCTGTCTATAATCATACCTGTCAATCCCTTATCAGTGCCAATCTTATTACAGACCAATTCAAACCTTATTGGTCACCCCGTGCCCTTATACATCTCAACGTTCATTCTACAAAGTCCCATCACAAGGGAGAACACAAACTAAGACATTTCCCCTCCCCACTCAATTCCCCTGTACAATAATAGGGATAAACCGTATGGGGTTGGCAGGTGTGCCAGCGTGGTGAAGTATGGTCAAACAATCCCGCCGTGACACTCAACAACGTTGCTATGTCTTCTTGGTTCTTTCGGTAAAGTCACGTAGAAGGGAAGTAATAAAATAATAAAAATAAAAGTCACGTAGAAGGGAAGTCATTAAATAATAAAAATAAAACATTATTTTTATTATTTTATTACTTCCCTTCTACGTGACTTTACCGAAAGAACCAAGAAGATGAATCCTTGCAGTCACGAAAGCTTTAAATCGAAATTTAACGTTGCTATGTTTACAAATCGTCTTTGCATCAATCGATCCGCGGCGCTTTGATCAATCAACTGGCAGGATGACGGCCTCACGAAACGCGGCGAGTCGGTGATAACGAAGGAGGTAATCGATAGCGATTGATGATCATTTGTATAAGAGATAAAAAAAAACTAATTTTACTCTTAGAGCATTTCTCACGCCACTGTTGTTGGTCAGCTCGAGAACACATTCCTGCGGAGGGAGCTGGTAGGAACGTTGGGTTGCTCGGTCAATGGCCTGCAGGGTCAACGGTGGCGTGGTGTATTCCACAAATATGCCCGACTGAGGGCGGGCACAAGCCGGCGTGAGTAGGTTAAACGTTGAGTTTTATAAGGGCACCACGGGGTGACCAGCCCCTCCCCACCCAGCCCCACCCTACCCAGCCCCTCCCCACTCTCCCCACCCAGCCCCTCCCCTCTCCATCCAGCCCCACCCCTCCCATTTTAGATGCACGACGGACGGACACAATAATCCCCTGTGGGCTGGTGTAACCAGGAGGTTCCTACCAGTAAAAGCTTGTGTCTCTCTCTCTCTCTCGAGGGGGGGGGGGGGGGTGTTTGGCCTACTCTTTTCTACGTTTCGCAAGAGGTGGTGAGAACTTCGAATATTTTTAGTTATCTTTGTTAAACGCAGAGAGGATCTCACGCAAACTTGCGACCTGTGGATTTGCAAGTCCCAGGGCACCAAACCGCGCATCGCACATTGCAACCCACGTCCGATAAGTGTATAAAACTAATTATAACACATTTTCAAACATTAGTTATAAATATCCTTCCGACTTCTCATCCTAAAACGTTGAGAACAAAATGTGTAATGGCAACATTACGACGAGATGGCGTGTGACGTGTGCCAAAAAAATAATTTTCGGGTCGTTCCGGTTTGAAAGGAAGCATCGATAAGTACCGAACGATGCAGGCAACAACATCAAACAAACAACTCAACACGTTTGTCAATAACACTCTGGCCTTAAAGGAGGAAAAATAGGCGACGTTTCGGGCCATGGCCCTTCGTTCTGCCTTCCCTCTTTAAGCGCTACGACGAAAGGGCCATTGCCCGAAACGTCGCCTTAGTTTTTATTTTAAACCAGCGGTGTTAATGAAATGCACCGAGGTGCTTTTTCTGTTCGTTATTTTTCTCCACCAGTTGCTCACACACAACTATAACCAACCATTTTTTTTAAAGTCACGACACAACAAAAACAACAACCTCAATCTCCAAACAAAAGGCGGTGGTGACGGTGACGGCGGCGGCGGAGGGTACGAACCATGGCAGGCCAATCTCTCTCTCTGTCTCTCTCTCTGTCTCTCTCTCTCTCGCGTCTTCCTCTTCTTCCTCCTCCTCCTCGTCTCGACAGTCAAAATCCCTCTGCGCCACACAAGGAGGAGGGGAGGGAGAAGCCTCCAAACCACCAAAGAACGAGGGCGCCGTCAGCAACTTGACAATGCCGAGGTGTTAAAACAACTCCCTTCCACCCAAAGCCAAGGCTGGCGAGCCTTTTATTACTGCTCCTCCTCCTCTTCCGTGTGGTCACGAGTGAGGCGAGCGAGGGAGAACGAGTTTAAATAGGCAGACGGCTTCCCCAACCAGCCGCGCACGCAGCACGGCGAAACCCAAGCCGGGCGAAATGTTTTGAGCAGCAGTGACGCACGTGGCCAGCTCAGAGCAGCGAGCGGCTTCCGGGAAGACTCACGCCCCCCCCACCCTCCACCCCTCCCCTCCCCCCACCATCACGCCCCCCCACCACCATCACCCCACCATCACGCCCCCCCCACCCTCCACCCCTCCCCCCCACCACCATCACGCCCCCCCCCCCCTCCACCACCATCACGCCCCCCCCCCTCCACCACCATCACGCCCCCCCCCCTCCACCACCATCACGCCCCCCCCTCCACCACCATCACGCCCCCCCCCTCCACCACCATCACGCCCCCCCCCTCCACCACCATCACGCCCCCCCCCCTCCACCACCATCACGCCCCCCCCCCTCCACCACCATCACGCCCCCCCCCCCTCCACCACCATCACGCCCCCCCCCCTCCACCACCATCACGCCCCCCCCCCTCCACCACCATCACGCCCCCCCTCCTCCACCACCATCACGCCCCCCCCCTCCACCACCATCACGCCCCCCCCCCTCCACCACCATCACGCCCCCCCCCCCTCCACCACCATCACGCCCCCCCCCCCCTCCACCACCATCACGCCCCCCCCCTCCACCACCATCACGCCCCCCCCCCCCTCCACCACCATCACGCCCCCCCCCCCTCCACCACCATCACCCCCCCCCTCCACCACCATCACGCCCCCCCCCCTCCACCACCATCACGTCCCCCCCCCTCCACCACCATCACGCCCCCCCCCCTCCACCACCATCACGCCCCCCCCTCCACCACCATCACGCCCCCCCCCTTCACCATCATCACACCCCCCTCCACCACCACCCCCCCCCTCCACCACCATCACGCCCCCCCCTCCACCACCATCACGCCCCCCCCCCTCCACCACCATCACGCCCCCCCCCCCTCCACCACCATCACGCCCCCCCCCCCCTCCACCACCATCACGCCCCCCCCCTCCACCACCATCACGCCCCCCCCCTCCACCACCATCACGCCCCCCCCCCTCCACCACCATCACGCCCCCCCCCCTCCACCACCATCACGCCCCCCCTCCACCACCATCACGTCCCCCCCCCCTCCACCACCATCACACCCCCCTCCACCACCATCACGCCCCCCCCCTTCACCATCATCACACCCCCCTCCACCACCATCACACCCCCCCCCCCTCCACCACCATCACGGCCCCCCCCCCTCCACCACCATCACGCCCCCCCCCCTCCACCACCATCACGCCCCCCCCCCTCCACCACCATCACGCCCCCCCCCCCCTCCACCACCATCACGCCCCCCCCCCCTCCACCACCATCACGCCCCCCCCCTCCACCACCATCACGCCCACCCCCCCACCACCATCACGCCCCCCCCCCCTCCACCACCATCACACCCCCCCCCCTCCACCACCATCACGCCCCCCCCCTCCACCACCATCACGCCCCCCCCCCTCCACCACCATCACACCCCCCCCCCCTCCACCACCATCACGCCCCCCCCCCTCCACCACCATCACGCCCCCCCCCCTCCACCATCATCACACCCCCCTCCACCACCATCACGCCCCCCCCCCTCCACCACCATCACGCCCCCCCCCCCTCCACCACCATCACGCCCCCCCCCCCTCCACCACCATCACACCCCCCCCCCTCCACCACCATCACGCCCCCCCCCCTCCACCACCATCACGCCCCCCCCCCTCCACCACCATCACACCCCCCCCCCCTCCACCACCATCACGCCCCCCCCCTCCACCACCATCACGCCCCCCCCCCTCCACCATCATCACACCCCCCCTCCACCACCATCACGCCCCCCCCCTCCACCACCATCACGCCCCCCCCCCCTCCACCACCATCACGCCCCCCCCCCTCCACCACCATCACACCCCCCTCCACCACCACCATCACGCCCCCCCCCTCCACCACCATCACGCCCCCCCCCTCCACCACCATCACACCCCCCTCCACCACCATCACGCCCCCCCCCTCCACCACCATTATCCCCCCCACCACCACCAACCCCCACCACAACCATCACCCCCCCTCCACCACCATCACGCCCCTCCCCTCCACCACCATCACCCCCCTCCACCACCATCACGCCCCTCCACCACCATCACGCCCCCCCCCCTCCACCACCATCATGCCCCCCACCACCACCAACCCCCACCACAACCACCAGCCCCCACCAACCCCCACCACCACCACCAACCCCCACCACCACCAACCCCCACCACCACCACCAACCCCCACCACAATCATCAGCAACCCCCACCACCACCAACCCCCACCACCACCACCAACCCCCACCAACCCCACCACCAACCCCCACCACCAACCACCACCACCACCAACCCCCACCACCACCAACCCCCACCACCACCACCACCCCCCACCACAACCTCCACCACCACCACCCCCACCACCCCCCACCACCACCCCCCACCACCACCCCCCACCACCACCACCAACACGTTACAGCTCGGCTCACACGCCTGCTCATTGGTCGGGGGGAGCACGATTGCTGCGGCCCCGTTGGTCGGACGTGATCTGTGTCTCTCTCTCTCTCTTGCTCTCTCTTCTCTCCTCCTCCGCCAATCGACGTCGCGGCCGAGGCGTGGCCTTCTCGGAACAGAAGTGAAGCGAGGTGCTGCTGTGGGAAATTATCTGCAAAGTGCAAATGGGTTTCGTACGAAGTGACACCACACCCGCCCCCGTCGTCACGATCATCATCAAGAGCAGCAGCAGCGTCGTCGTTGTGCTCAGCAAACTTCATCAGGAGCAGCAGGCTATAAGAATGTTTATTTTTCCTGGAGGCATCCGATGAGCTATAGAGCTCTTTGTCACACATGTCCAGTAGGGGTGGGTCAGAACGTTACAACAACAATGCAAAAACACGATAGGAGTGCAAAGTATAGGTAAGCTAAACAAATAATTTAACAAATACAACGTCTTTTTTTTCTATTTTACCAGGTAAAGCCCACTGATGTATGAACTTATTTTTTAAAGCGACCTGGCCACAAATGATAGCTCAATAAAGTGTCTTACAATCATGCTGGATGAAGACCTCTCCAGACAACGATCTTGCTACGGTCTAATAATCCATTCAGCACCTGCAAATGAATATAATGTCATCGCTCCATCTCCTTATCGCTGTGTGTCCGCCTTGGTAAATCAAAATATTTGAAGATATACTGTGAGCTTAAATGTGCTTGATGGTAACTCAGGTCGCCCTTGCAAAAGAGGCTGTGTTGAAGCATGTGTAGTGGCATAGCGCTGGCTGCTGGCAGAAAATGGGATCTGCGGCGTAGTCCTGACATCAGCAGGCCATGACAGACACGAGAAGAGGATCTAGGGGGGAAAGGTCACAGAAGGGGCCCACCAGGAACTCGCTGGTAGGTTCCAGAAAGGGGTCGTGGCTGGGGGCGGAGCGAGGCCACGCTGACAGTATAAGAGGGCCCCATTTGAGGGACCTCGGGGCTGTCGTTGGAGTGGGATGCTGCTTGAAGGCCATTGGCACCGTTCTTCTCGTTGTCCTCACCATTCTTCTCGCCGTCTTCATCATTTTTCTCGTCTCCGTCTTTACCATCGCGGGCCGCCGCCAGTCAGACAGCCTACCAACTGTTCTCAGCGGCGTCGCCGATAATAGATGGACTAAATATTAAAATTGTTAACCCCGATGGTGCTCGATAAATAAAGAAGTGCCTCCAAGTCTTATCGTCTCCGAGTTAGTCACTACACATGTATCTCAATGGGTTTATGCTATCTCCTGTTTGAACTAAGGATACCGACCATCAATAACCTGTACTGGCCAGCGTGGTGAAGTATGGTTAAAATAACTCACTCTACCTGCACACCGTTAGGAGCCTCTTGTCTAGCTGTAGATTAACAGCGCTGTACACAACACTAAAGGCAAGTACAGATAGTCCCCGAGTTACGACGGTCCGACTTACGATATTTCGATCTTACGATGGCGATAGCGATACGACAAAATTGTAAAATATTTTAAATTTCGCGCGGCAGGCAAACACAGCAGCGTACGAGGTACGATAAATGCATACATAAACACATACAGTATATAGTTTACACAGTACGGTATTGTAAATTGCTCTGTTTTGCTAAATTATCACCATTCTTTAAGACTCCTGGGTAGGCGAGGCCATCTTCGACTTACGATATTTTGCCTTACGATGGGGTCGTCGTAACGCATCTCCATTGTAAGTAGTGGACTACCTGTACACAGCATCATTTGATACAGCAGACCGTCGAACGTAATGATCTCATCGAGAGAATGGGATCGGCGAATAAACTTCAGAGTTTGAGTTATTGCTACTCTGCGTTATGTTCTTGCTCCCCTGAGCACCCCGCGTCGTGCGGAGAACAATTCCGTCCAGAGTCGGCAATTAACCAAGATGAAACTTTTTTTTTATAGATTGTGCTCAAAACAAGCCTGCTCAGAATGGCTCGCAAATCTTAGATGGGAAATCATTACGCTTCCTCTCATTTATTAAAAGGATAGGGCAGAGACAAGGAAACGTACGGGGCATAGCCATTAGGGGACGCGATCTTATTATAATTAAGCACTTTTAAATTTCGATATAAAGCTTTCGTGACTGCAGGGATTCATCTTCTTGGTTCTTTCGGTAAAGTCACGTAGAAGAAGAAAAAGCACTTCTAATTATTTTGTGCACGTTAATATCGCATAGTACAATTATACATTACTCTTCATGTCAGTTATCCTCTTTTCAATCATGAGGGTCCTGCATAAGGATATTTTACATTTTGGGCCATGTATTTCTAAATTAGTGCACTGCTTGTGGGAGGAAATTGGAAAGTCTGGAGAAAACCCACGCATTTAGATGAATATTTTTTTTAAAGTTCTGTACAGAGGTCCACAAACGCACTTATTTTATCTTGGTCTTTTCAAAGATTTGACTCCCATTATTTGCATTGAAGGTTAATTTATTTATTATTTCAGGGACAAAATGTTAATTGGGAAAGTAGCATTTTTTGGGGAATGTCCTCGCCAAGAGAAACATTGAAGTTTTAATGAGAATAACAACCAACAACACATCCTTCGGGCATAACCCTGTGCCCGTGCGTCCCTCCAGCCAAAAGTCATTCAGCCAAACTAAAAAAAACAGTATCTCAAATATGTGGTATATCAACCTTTGCCCACGTTTGCTATCCGTGGCATTTGTTTGCATTAGAATAGGAGAAGTTAAGTCATGAATATGGTGTAAAAATGGTAACTATAACAATGATAATGTATTTCCTTGAAATAAATACAAGTCATCGTTTCGTAATTTTAATAGAAAATAATAGAAAATAATAACCGTGCTAATCGGTTGTCAACCTGTCTGAATCAGAGGACCCACTGCCAACCCTCAAACTATTACTATTTCTTTGTGAATACGACCGTAGGATTATTTTTGTAACAGTTCCGTAGATCAGCTCCCACGGGCCAATGACATTTCACGTTTTTTTTATGCATAAATTAGACGAAACCATTGTGAACCTCAATCAGATGCCACCCCCCCAATCTCGATCTTGCGTAATATGATACGGCCCACCTAAATATCATAAATACATTATAGGAAAAAATATAAGTCCCTAACACAAAACACCCTTCCGGCGAAAGTATTCACAATCTCTCTAAATGCAATAACAACATAAAAAATAAATGCATAACTTGGACGAAACCATTGCATCAACCATCACATTCCCCCCCCCCTGTAGCTGGCCTACTTGGTATGCCCCGGCCTCCACCAGTATAAATACAGTGAAGGCGCGCGCGTCGCCTGGCACACAGTGTGCGTTGTGCGTCGTGCGCTGATCTCGCCGCGTCCACACCACCAGAAGCGCGTTTCGTAAAGCTCGCAACGACGCCAGTGCATCCTCCCGCAACAAAGAAGGACGTATTCCGCTGTAAAAGCGGCGAAAATCAAAGAATAACAACCTCGTTGATTTGCCTGTGGCCATGAGACTATGTGGCGGCGGCGTGGCTGCATTGCGGGGAATGCGCGATCAGCTGATGGCCAAGTTACTCCGCCGTGGTGAGTTTTGTTGTCGTTTGCGTGTGTCTCTCTGTGTGTGTGTGTCTTGCCCTGTCTCAATGTCTCTGTGGGTGCATCTACCGGTCAGCTCCGTAGGCCAACCCATTGCACCAGCTGGGTCTGTCTGGAGGCCTCCTAGCAGCGAGCTTTCGATACTTCATATGGGCTTCTAAGTGCACCTAGCCTGGCACAGTCACCGTCACTCAGTGGCGAATGGTGGGGTGTTGGTGTTGGCGGTCTGGCAGTGTTGTGTGGTGAGCGCGCTGCGCTACGGACCCGGCGACCCGAGTTCGATTCCCGCTCACGGCCAACACCGCTGACGATTATCTGAACCGGTCCTGGGCCTCCCCTAGGTCGACTCGGCCTCAAATGAGTACCTGGTGCGGTGTGTAAACACTGGGGGAGACAAAGGCGACCGCGCGTGTTGGCAGCCACCCACCCCCCTCTGTGTGTGCCGTTCCGGCCTTCATAGACGTCCGCTACTCGTTAACAGCACTTGCCCCAACAATCAGTTCAATGCAATACGAGGAATCTTTGTCTCCCCTGTCTCAACGTCTGTCTTTCTTCCAGTCGCCCTCCAACAACACCGGGAACTCGCCAATTATCATTCATTGCTCCATGTATCCTGTGTTCGATCACCACAAACACCGCAGGGCACAACAACTCGCTAAGCCAAGTCGCGCACGCACTCACTCACCCACCCACGCACTCACTCACCCACCCACGCACACATTCACCCACCCACCCACGCACTCACCCACCCACGCACGCACTCACCCACGCACGCACTCACGCACGCACTCACCCACGCACGCACCCACCCACGCACTCACCCACGCACTCACCTACCCACGCACTCACTCGCCCACCCACGCACTCACCCACGCACTCACTCACCCACCCACGCACTCACCTACCCACGCACTCACCTACCCACGCACTCACCTATCCACGCACGCACTCACCCACGCACGCACTCACCCACGCACGCACTCACCCACGCACGCACTCACCCACGCACGCACTCACCCACGCACGCACTCACCCACCCACGCACTCACCCACGCACTCACCCACGCACTCACCCACGCACTCACCCACGCACTCACCCACGCACTCACCCACGCACTCACCCACGCACTCACCCACGCACTCACCCACGCACCCACTCGCCAATCTATAGGTCACAACACTTGTATCTGCTTCTTGCCTCGTACTGCTCAAATTTGGAATTCCCTTCCCTCTCTTTCCTCAAGCTCTTATAATAATAATAATTATTATCTTACTCATTTCACGAAACTTCTTAACTAATTTATTGCGTTCATCTCTCATCGTCCAGTTTGTTGCAGGCCGCTTGACATTTTGGGTGCTTGGCAAATGTTTGTATATTTTAAAAAATAGGGCAGTGGAGCGACGCTCACAACAACGTGCAGAGCGCCGTCCGGATATACATCACAAGTTGGTGCAGTGGGTGTGGACAGATGGTCGCATCTACATACCGTGTCAACCCATACGGTTTATCCGTATTCTTGTACAGGAATATTGAGTTTTTAGGTTCATACGGCGTACACCCGTTTCAATATGGGACTTTGTAGGATGAACGTTGAGATTTATAAGAGCACGGGGTGACCAATAAGGTCTGAATTGGTCTTATAAGGTAGGGGCACTGATACTTGTTTAACAGCTATGCATCTTTAAAGTAATCTCAACCAGCCAGTCTATAAGCACGTGGGGTTCTTGTCCAGTGATCTGCTAGCGATCCTTCCGTTCTTCACGTGACGAACTCAATGTTGCACCTAGCCTGGCACAAGCGCCGTGGTGACGTCGCGGTCATTAAGTGGCGAATAGCGGCTGCTCTATCTGGCATTGCCAAATGTAAAGTCCAAGTTATTTGAGGCGATGTCGATCTCAGGGGGGACCTCAGTAATAAGTATAACCCGTAAAAACAAAGTTTTTTACTATAAATCCTTTATATGCGTGGCGGCTAGAGTCCTCTCCTCCCCTGCCTTTAGATGGCTGCCACCTATGGGTCAGATGATTGCATTGCACCATTAAGCAATTGGTAATTAAATATAATATTTTTGTCCTAAAAAGTGTAAAATTTTGGAGAAAAAAATTTCACGAACATTAATTGTCACGCACAATGAGTCTGTGTGGAAAATGTCAGCTCGATTGGATCACGAGAAGTGGGTTAAAAAACGACCGAAAGATTTGCACGGTCCTAAGCAAGCAAGCGAATTTAATATAAAGAATTTAAAAAGCATTGCTGCCCTGGAGCTAAACGCCGCACACTGTAGGTTGAAGTACAGAGATTGTAGGTGCAGTCGACCTAGGAGTTTTTGCACACGTTCGCAGGGGTCTACAGTTTAAATTCTGGTAGTGGCCAACCCGTAGGTCGACTCGGACTTTATTGACCTACAGTACGTACCTGGTGCAGTGTGTTTTCTGCCAAGTGAACCTTGACCACGTGCATCATCAATCCAGTGTACTCGTATTGCTCAGTGGGAACACAACATGCGTTTGCCTAGGTGCGTTGTACTTTCCAGCCGTTTATTCAACGTGCTGCAAATATTTTGCAATCCTCTTGTGCAGGCTTGCATTGTGGTTACCCAGAATACTTGAGGTATTGGACCAGTGAACCCTCGAAGGGTCCACTTTGCAAACTTTTGAACAGCGTTATTTGTCCGTGTGAATACATTATTCAATGGGGCCCATTTTTCTACTATCAAATAGTATTCTCATTCTTTGTTTGAAGCTTTCGTGACTTGCAGGAACCCATATTCTTTGGTTATTTTGGTAAAGTCATGTAGGTAGAAAAATAATAGATCACGACGTTTTGATCGCAACAAGCAATTTTTTCTTGCTGTGGTTGTCCCACCTGATGACGATTGCTTGTGTTGCGATCGAAACGTCGTCTTCTATTATTTTTCTAGCTACGTGACTTTACCGAAAGAACCAAAGAGTATAGTATTCTCATTGTGGGATAATTGACAAAGGAATGCTGTAAAGTGGACAGTCTAAAGAATCAATCGCAAGAATAAGACCACTGTCGACATAATTGTCCAAATACACACTTGAAAATCACCTGCACGTTGCCGAATACATCTTTGCAAGCGTGGTGACGGGCATCTTAATTTCTGAATTAGAAAGCTGCTGTGGTGTAATTTGTTAAGTTCCAGTGGACTTGCAAACTAGGGGGTCATTGATTAAATTCGATCTCATGCAGCAAATTGAAACAGCGGTGCAAGTCTTTAAATTCCCCCTCGCCTGTCTACCCAGCAGTATAAATGGGTGCACCACTGTCGTGTGTGATGGGGTGAAAGATGCCTGGTCAGCATGGAAGAGCAGGGAAAATACCCTCAAAAAGGGCTCTTTAGAGCTCTCCCTGATAAAAGCGTTTGCAATATTTTACATTTCCTGGAAAGGATGTTAAAATGTTAATGTATTCTCAAATGATTGCATATTGGTCAGGGGTCGGCAACCAACATATCAAGAAGAGCCATGTTTTCGAATTGGGTAGAAAAAAACTAAATATTTCAAGTGCCGCGTTGCATGTGAATAACGTCACGGAGCAGTCCTCAAAGAGCCGCAGGTTGTTGATTTCTGATATAGAGCATTGTGTAATCGACCTTATTGCTTGCAGCATGGGCGCCCGAGCGCAGGCTTATGGCGTCGTCATCCGCCGTCCACCCTCCCGAACTACACGTCTGCATTGTCGGCAGTGGCCCTGCTGGCTTCTACACGGCGCAGCACTTGCTGAAGGTCAGGTGGTCATCGTAGAGCCGGTGGCGGCTCGTCATTAGTGGCCAGTGGCACTGAGTCCCACGAGTATGGGGGGAAAAAAACTCCTGAAACAGTACTTACCTGCTCCTTATCTGCTTCCGAGCATTAGTCCCACTAGGGGTGGGGTCCACGTATCAACTCCCCTCTTGCCACGGTCTTCAATCTATCTCCATTGCATGTACTCGTTGACGTCGTCTCACCCACCACATCTTCTTCGATCTCCTCCATCTTTCTCCTTCAATAAACTTTCACGGTTTCAACTTTCCTTCTAACGTCGTCCATACTGGCCACGTGTCCAAAGCATCTCGGTCAATTCTCGCTCAACTTTCCCTCTGTTCATGTTTTCTTGTTATCCGCTCTTCGGAAAGATGATAAACTGCACGCGCCTTACTCCATCCTGCTGCTCCCCCTCACTTTCCCCTCCCCCGTCCTACCCCCACAGGGCTCAATGCCACACAAATATTCTTACCCACTGACCTTTTGACATTATTTACTTTGCACTGTTTACTCGTACTTATTGATCCCATGTAGCTAAATATCCAAATAAATCGAGGTCTGCAGTGCCATTATAGTGAGCACTTGTGTTACGGTGTTACATTCCTGTTGTGACAGCGGCGCACTTGAGGTTCGCGTATAAAATTATATAATTGCCCATGAATTTTGCAGACGATGGTCATGGTACTGTATTGCGTTTCAGGTTTATCAAACTATTCAGCATAATCATCATCGTTATCTTCGTTGTCTTCACGAACATGTTACATTAGATCTCTACACTATACGTTGCATCTCCTCTTGCGTTGATTACTTTTGTTGAGGAATCCTGTTGCTGCACGGCCCGCTGCGAGTAGATGTCTCCTGTGGGTGTCAGCGAGGCCATGCGGCGGAGGGCGTCTTCTCGTAATGGCCTTCCCCACGCCCTCTCGTACCTCACGAGGAGTAAGGCTCAGCCGGACTCCATGTCTTACTCGAAAAAACTCAAGCATTCGTCAATAATAGCGCCATCTTCCAAGGACAAATATATATATATATAACAAGGCGATGTTTCTTGCTACTGACGAACGTGTTGCGTTTTTGTTGTATTCGCTTGTGCACCACTGCGAGCGCTGTATCACCAAATCATATGACCACTTTGCATTGTTCACTGCATTTGATTGCAAATTTACAATTCCGGTCGTAATTATAGCTGCACTACAATGGTAAGACTCGACAAGTCACGATCTTTCTTATTGCCGTGGTTGTAAAACAAACAAACAAACACTCCAGCTCGCTAGTCTAGCATCTCGTGATCGTGTCACGCGAGTGGATTTTAAGGTATTAACGTGATAGATTTACTCTAGCGTTGTGAGGTGGGTCCCTCGCGGCTTAGGAATAAGATGATGTACGTTTCGGTGACTGCAACTGCTATGCACTTTCCCTTGCATTCATTGTGCTCACGTGTGTTGGACCCAATAAGGGTGACATAATTCAAATATTTACGCGACTCGAAACGCCATTTACAAGAGTAAAAAAATTAGGTTAACTATTTTTTTCAATGCACACACTTTTAAATGCACTCAAAACTAGAAAATAAATTATTTTTACCCCAGAATTATATTCATGTGCTGCATGCACAGACAGGTTGTTATGGGGCTGTGGGGCCATGTTATGTTTGTATCCAGTTGTATTGTACGTCTATGCTGCCTGCCTTTACCAATCCGCACTGACCAGCCGGGGTGAAGTATGGTCAAACGGCCTCCACAATCAGCAAGGCGTGGGGAGGCACTCATCCAGCAGTGGATTGATAAAAGGTCTTTATGCTCCTACGGGCATTGTGCAGCGCTCATCTCCACCAGTGGCAATGCCACATTACCATGGCAGGGACCATTTATAATAACCACTGACGACTTTGCACAAAGTGATACGTATTTTATTACCCTGTAGAGATGACAATGATGGCTGGCCAATGTCAACTCTTGACCCTACAATAAAATGAAAGCATGCGCATTGCTTGACAACCAAGTCAACGTAATGAAAGATTGATAGCACGCAGCATGGCTATTACAATCGGAATAATGATCACCCCGATTGAAAAGTAGCAAAATTACATTTAGACCAACACGATACGTATAACGCGGTTAATTGATGTATTTGCCATCATTAAGTAGGCTGCAATGCTATATAACAATATTTCATCTACGTGACTTTACCGAAAGCACTAAAGAGTATGGATCCTTGCAGTCACGAAATCTACATATTCTTAATTATGCATTGACATCAGCCAGAATGGCACGGTGTCGCATACTTGAATGAACATTAAGCTGAGCTCTGCTTAATTTGTGGTCCTAAACAAGTGATGGATCGGCCACATTTCTATGTTGAAGGCCAGTCTCGGTATGAAAACCCGCCTTGACTTTCCATCAGGTGGCGTAGTTTACCAGGTGATCCTCATTTCATCTACGTCGAGGGATAACGATTAGCTGCAATTGATCCTTCCCAGGATATAAAACTGAAAACGTTATCACTGAATGCCTGATTCTCTTTTCATAATTCTGTGCACTGACCTTCGTTTGCTTTCTGCATACTATTAAGCCACAAGCAATCAATCCAGGCTGGGTTGGAGCTGCAGCTACTTTCCTCTGCTCCCTAGTTTGTATATATGTTGAACTTCTTTCGCACCATACATAGCCAGCGTGCTAATCGGAGGAGCGGGGGAAGGACCACAAACTAAACACAAAATCAGGTCTCAAAAATGTTTTTCAGTTTAAATGTAAAAGTGCATCGCTTCCATAGCTTCCTAATAACGGAAGGAAGAGCATTCCAGACGGCCGCAGAAGTGCATCTGAATGCACGCATTGCAGTGACCGTCTTTGTTCGATGGTTAGCTTAAAAGCCGCTGCGAGGATGACTGGAGGTTTGCGTGATGGTTTAGCAGCTTATTGTGCACATATCTGTGCCTTAGCCATTCCCGAATCATACTTCAGGGCATAATTGTACAAATCTGGAAATCCCCATTTCACACGGTCTGACCCCGAAACCGCTCGTGATGCCGTGGGGTGTTGCTGCAGCAACAACGCCTTGCTCGCCTCACCATGCAGCCACGGCTTAAAACTACCCAAGTAAAAATGACAACAGAACGCAGCTTATCACCGTCATGCGCAGGAGTTAAATGTCAAGAGGAGCCTGAAGGCAGCCTTGCTACGTCTCTGAGCACTGTCGCAGTGTAGATAATGCTCTGTGAGCCAATGTTGGCAACGAAGGTCAGAATTTTGCTGCGTACATTTGAAGGTTCCTGATAAACCGTGTCCGTGATACATTCCACAGAAATGGTAAACACATTTTAACTTTGAAAACCGGATATAGTTTTCCGTTGAAGTCATCTACAATCTCAGCCAATTATATATATATTGTGCTGCTTGACCAAGACCTCTCCATCGCTATATAGGTGGAGAGGTCACTGTCTCTTTGCCCTCCATAACATGCACCAGTCCACATTGGAATGTTCAGAAACCTTTAGATTGGCTTCAACTCCATTTCAAATCAGCATTGGGTGTCCTGTTGAACAGAGTACTGCTCGTATAGCATCACTGATGCAGCTATGGTTGTCTCCGTGTGGCGCTAACCATGCTTGCGCCCGTGTGTGTGTTTGTGCGTTTTCTCGAGTGCAGCATCAGCAGGCTGTTCGGGTGGATATGTTTGAGCGTTTGCCGGTCCCGTTTGGCCTCGTTCGTTTCGGTGTCGCTCCAGATCACCCCGAAGTCAAGGTGAGGTCATGGCATCGCCATCACGAGGCTTGTAAATACCCGCTGGCTAACGGTAGTTGTATATATCTCTCTCTCTCTCCCTATGACTGAAACTAATGAGATTAGATGGATTTATAATCCACAGGTACCTGTGATTGTCAGGTTTTTCTAGCGTACCGAGTTGATGGTCTCATCTCAGGCACCAATAACTGCACACCAGTTAAAATAAATAACTGCAAACGGACATGAAATGTAACGATTCATGTGATTTTTTTAGGTCACTTTGCCACCACAGTAAAACATCAATTTGTGTTGAACACCTAGAATAAGGTTACCACTTGAACTTAACGTGCCTATTTATCATTTCTTCAGCACAGCAGTAATGCTGGAGGGCAATGCCACTACGTACAACAATCGGGTGCGGACGTTTTTCACTGGTGGTTACAACCAGCACCATCCGGCCGATTGCCAGAATCGAGAAAATTCCCTCCAATCTTGGGCCTTTTTAAATAGGTGGTGTGATGTCATCAAAGTTCTCTGACAAGAGTCGGAAGTGGCAGGAAGTGATCCCTAAAGGTTAACGTTTTTGTATAGAAAAATACACAATAATGTTACGTTACAATATCATAGTTTTTTAGATATGTCATTATGAAAGTGCATACACTTATGTGGTGAAACGGATTAATAATAGTTAATTATAGTAAATAGTAATGTTTAAAAAATGTTGTGTTAGTTTAATTTAATATTAAATGCTTTCAGGTTGTGTTTTACTTCATCATGTGTTTCCAAGCTGTTACTCGCCATGTAACCATCGGCTCAGGTTGAAATTATTAACTTTTTCTCGCAATTTTAATAGCCTTGACTACTTGTTGGAAAGCATTTTCGGCACCTGCCAACAATTGTGTTTGTGATTATTTGATGTTCCTGTGGTGTTATTTTAATCTTGTGCTAATATTTCATCCCATCTGGCTGCCTTTCCATGGCTGGCTTCATCCGTCGGTTATCATCCTGATATAGTATTGTCTTGCCCAAGCCCATTTTTTTATTATTATAAATTTTAAATAAAATGTCACTGCGACCCTCAACAGGACAAGCGGACTGAGATATGAACGAATTAAGAATACAATGTCTCTGATCCACATGGTGCTTTTTTCTGATTCTCAGTTTAATTCCCAACCTCAACCTCTATGCTTCTTTGTGCACCGTTCAGCTTGTCTTACATTGTTCTGCCAGTATCGCATGTTTCCGAGCCGGTGTTTGGCGCAGGCGCCTTTTGCGTGGTTAAACGTCAGCGGAGTGCCAACGTCTGTGCGCCGTCCACGCAGAACGTCATCAACACCTTCACGCAAACCGCTCGCTCAGAGAGGTTTCGCTTCCTCGGCAACGTGACGGTCGGACGCGACGTGTCCGTGGAGGAGCTGCGGCACGCGTACCACGCCATCGTGCTGGTGAGCAAACGTTTATTGAGTCGTGAAAATGTATAACAAAGCCCAGGCCACCGTGCGGGCGGGCGGGCTTGCGACGATGGTTCTCTCGCCACTCTTGGTAGCTCCATGCAGGTTTTCCTGGGTTACCGTTTTGTTTTTTGAATGGTGACCCCCTCAATTTGAAACCGAGTTTAGGCAACTCATGGCAAGTATGCTTGGAATGATGCAGACTCATGCGTGCTTAATATGTGTGTAATGACATGATGACACCTGCTGGCTGGGAAAGGGAAGCACGGGTACGGGCACTGCTAAGACAACATCCAATCTGGAAGGGAGAGGTATCTGGGGCAAAGGAAATAGGCGGGGTTGGCCGAGATTCTTGGGTCCGTACTGTGTCGCTGCTCGCCATCATCTCTCTCCGTCGTCCGGCCACGTGGAAGCTCTCCTGCGGGGTTTCCATCGCCATCCTCGTCACGCCGTCAACCAGCGGCGTGGCAGAGTGAGGGCGGTGGGACCACGCCGAGTGATCGGCTGTGTGTAGCTAGTAGAGAGACGTTAATATCTAAGTGTTGTACTCTGAGAAAGACGGATAAGTTTGGTCTGTGTTATGCCTGTGTGCGAAATAAAGAAGTAGTACCCTCTACGACGTGTTGCGGAAGTCACTCCTCCTTACACGTGCAACGAATCGTGCATGTGAGAGACCCATTTGTTTGATTCATGCAAATTGTATGCAATATGTTAAAGTTACATTTAGGCAAAATGTGGACGAGACAGGAATGAGACACAACACAATGTAAACGAACAACACCATGATTCTTGAATGTAATTGCACTGTGAATTGTCTCACTTCATCGAACTGCGGGGACATTTGTAGGGGTTGAGTTATTTTGAATTAACAGCTCCTTGTGGATTAATATCACCAGCAATAGTATGGCCCTGGGGTATAAATAAATAGAACACTCAAACTGAATTATTTATCAGTAGCGCTCGGTGCATTATTTTATCTTACCCCTGGTAGATGTATGGGCCGAGTCGACGCGATGGGGATTTGAACTTTGTGACCTTACAATCGATGTTTTTTTCCCCCCTTCCTCTAGTAAAGGAGCCATGCTGGCCAGAAAGTGACGCATTAGAAGTAATGACGGATGCTTGCCTGAGGCGTGTTTAGAGCTACGGAGCGGAGGATGACCGGGCGCTGGGTATCCCTGGTGAGGACCTGCGTGGAGTGTACTCCGCTCGAGACTTTGTGGGCTGGTACAACGGGCTGCCCCAAAATAAGGACGTGAGTCACCCGCATTGCCGGGGGAAATTTAAGCACAAAATAATCGTTGGCGTCGTCGTGGAGAATGAAGAATAAAATCGGCGATTTATTTAGCGTTTTTTATTTTGTTAAATACAGGGTGCCTCGAAAAAATGTTAACACTTATATGGGACTTTTTTTTTTGCTTGTCTGTTCTGGCGGTGCCCATTTCCCTGCGTTTGCGGTGCAGCTGAACCCAGACCTGAGCTGCGACACGGTCGTTGTGCTGGGACAAGGGAACGTGGCTCTCGACGTTGCCCGCATTTTACTGTCTCCAATCTCCTGGCTGCAGGTAAACCACCACTACTGCCACCATTGCCACCACCATCACCATATCTTTTCTTATCTAGGATTTTAGAAAGCGCTTTATATGAATGATAACTTGTACATTAGTATTCGCTGATGAGGAAAAGGGGTGGGGTTTGAATGTTGGGGAGGGGAAGGGATGGCAAGGAAGAGTGGTGATAGGGAAAGGGAGGGGCGAGGTTGGGAAAGGTTTTAAGGATGCGGACAGGAAGTAGTAGAGGGATACACAGCCACTGTCACCACCACCGCTCATTGTCACCCTCGCCACCAACATCGTCGCAATCACCACCACTACTACTGACATTACCACCATCACCACCAACATTATTCACCATCACCACCAACATTGTTCACCATCACCCCCGGCAACACCACCAACATCGCCACCATCCCCGGCAACATCACTAGGCCTCGGTAAAGTAATTTACTATTTTTACCAAGTAAAATGGTAAAGGTAAAGGTGTCGACATGCCAAGGGGTAAGGGTAAAGGGTAGGGTAAAGGGTAGGGTAAAGGGTAGGGTAAAGGGTAGGGTAAAGGGTAGGGTAAAGGGTAGGGTAAAGGGTAGGGTAAAGGGTAGGGTAAAGGGTAGGGTAAAGGGTAGGGTAAAGGGTAGGGTAAAGGGTAGGGTAAAGGGTAGGGTAAAGGGTAGGGTAAAGGGTAGGGTAAAGGGTAGGGTAAAGGGTAGGGTAAAGGGTAGGGTAAAGGGTAGGGTAAAGGGTAGGGTAAAGGGTAGGGTAAAGGGTAGGGTAAAGGGTAGGGTAAAGGGTAGGGTAAAGGGTAGGGTAAAGGGTAGGGTAAAGGGTAGGGTAAAGGGTAGGGTAAAGGGTAGGGTAAAGGGTAGGGTAAAGGGTAGGGTAAAGGGTAGGGTAAAGGTAGCGCGAAGTATTACCCGGTAAATACCTTGTGTGCCATTCGCTAAAAGCTCCGTGGCGCAGTCCGTGGCCTCCATTTTTTAAATTGTAATCATCGAGAGTATTCTATATGAATAGAGCGCTCTACCTAGCATTTACCTGTTGTAAACCTTTTTCATGTGTTGTACCCCAGTAATTACCCTGTTATCGGGTAAGGGTAAAGTTGGGGTTGTTGTTTTTACCTAGTACCTTACCTTGCCGAGGCCTAAACACCACCAACATCGCCACCAACACCACCAACACATGTATCACTGCTAGTATTACCTCCTATAGGTGGAGACGGTGAGGTGGTGGTTAGCCCACTGCACTATGATGCCAGAGGACTGTTTTATACCCGACCCATGGTGAATGAATTTTGACGTTGGTGGCGAGTGATATTTGAACCAGTCCTGGGACCTCTCGCAACTCTTCATCAAACATCACTGGCTAACATTGAGAAGCATCGGAAGGTTGCGAGTTCAAATCCTGGTCAGAGGTTAACTTGGCTCATTATATCCCTCCTGAGATTGATGAGAACGTATTTTTGTTGGACGTCGACATTGCTTTGAAGAGACCAACTCTTGCCAAAGGACGGCATGACTTACAGCACTGGCTTAGGACTGCCATTAGATATCAATAACATCTGGTAATTATTTTAGCATGGGGACCTTTGGGCAAAGATATACATCTTGACAGCCAAAAGAGAGTCTTTGCGATTTCAAGTTCAAGTTCATTTATTAGGTATAGCCCTGTGAGCCATTCAGCTCTTGAATCGGGTGCAACCGCAACAAACAAAAAACAAAAACATGAACAAAAAACATCTTAAAGTGAATATGTGACTAAGTGCAAACAGAAAATCCAAGAAAAGACAGCAAAAATAATGGTAATAAATGGTAATAAATGAAAACATCAGGAATTTTTGCCAAGAAACTGACCAAAAGGAGAACCCGCTTATGGACCAGTTCCATCATGACTCAATGACCATATCCTAATGAATATCATTAATCTCAATAATTTCATTATCATCATCCTCATGCCCATTATTCTGATTATTCGGACTGTTAATCTTGGCTGCGGACAACAATAATTTCAATGGCATCTAAATAAAATTGCACCTCAAGACCCTTTGCAAAAATGGAATTAAAAGTATTTTAGAGTAACAGATGGGGGGGGGGGGGGGGGGGATGAGAGGAGGGGATCTCTGGTCAGGGGGGATCCACGCGAGCAAAGAGACAGAGGCACAGTGTGGGGACTACCAGGACCCAGCACCAACGACAACAACGACGAGGCCTAGGGACAGGCCAGGCAGCCAAGGCAGCACCGCTGAGTCCCCCTGGCCATTCAAGAGGCGGCTTGGGTAGTGGGGAGGGCAGGGCCGCACAGCATACAAAGCTCTGCGATGTATGCCATTTATCCGAACCAGCATCTCCATAAACTCGTAATTTATTATTCAGAAAACAGACATCACTCAGCCGGCGCTGGAGGCCATCACTCGAAGTCGCGTGCGCAGAGTAGTGTTGGCCGGACGTCGGGGACCTCTGCAAGTGGCCTTCACCATCAAGGTAACCGGCTGGGATATGATAGAGACAATTCTAAATAGAATAGAATTCTCATCATCGGCATCATCAGATTCTTGTATGACTCTGGGTAGGGTGCTGTAACGTGATGCAACTAAATGCATTGATAACAATTTTTGTGAAAGTAATGTTTGGTTATCTTGAAGTGTTGATTACATTTTATTTGGAAACTGGATGTTTCTGATTTTTTTTTTGTTCCTTAAGAGAGCTTTTTTTTTAAAGTCCTGTGTCACATTTGTTCGTCATTGTGAACGATTTACTGTGCTTGCGGAGTGCGTTGCAGTTTTCCCTCATTGCTTAATTGACACACAAGTGGAATAGTAAAACACATTTTTTTTGTTTTAAATTGATCATGTCATCCAAGTTACGACTCGCCCACTTTGCACCCGTTGCCACTGCTTCACAACTGAACTCCACGTGTACCAAGTGGCAGGTGACGCTGCAGTCACAAGCACTTGTCATTCGCAAGTCAAACTGATTGTCTTTTTTTCTGCTGTCTTTTCTTCAGGAGCTCAGGGAGATGATTCATCTGCCCGATACAAGAGCCGTTATCAATCCTGCCGACTTTGACGGCTTTAAAGACGCGCTTAGCAGTACGACGCACACATACAGGCATGCGTTGTCGGTGACGGACAGGTTAGACTTGCGCCACGTGCTTTTAGTGGGCACCTGTCACAAACTTAACTGAAATGGGGTGATGGAGCCAGCACCAGACACAGCTGGTTCTGGTTCACCGGTCGCTTCTACTGGCTAGTTATTTTATGCTGGGTTGATTTTTAGAAGAAGTATACTCTAGGCATGGAGAGTAATCCCACACGTGTCCCTTTCAGCTCGTTTCCCAGGCTCTTTCCTGACAAAGGCACGTTGATTCATTTGACTCTTGTCTGGTTACAGAGCATGTTGCTGTATTAAATATGAAGTCAAGGTGTGTGTGTACTGGGTTGTGTGCGTGTTTGCGCCTGTGTCCTTGTGTGTGCACACATGCGCCTCTGTGAATGTGTGCGTGTGTCTTTGTTAGGTATGCGGTGGCATAGTTGTTCGCACGTTACGCTACGAACCCGGCGACCCACGTTCGATTCCTGCTCACGGCCAACGCCAGTGACGATTATCTGAACCGGTCCTGGGCCCCCCCCTCGGTCGATTCGGCCTTCAATAAGTACCTGGTGTGGTGTGTAAACATCGGCACTAGGGAGACAAAGACGGTCAGGCATGGCTCTGGCCATGCCACCCCCCCCCCCCCTCTTGTGCCGTGCTGACCTTGATAGGTGCTCGCTAACAGCACTTGCCCCAACATTCTGATCAAGGCTATATACAGCGATACCTTGACTTTTGTCGCTTCGCTCTTTCGGCCATTTTCAACTATAACCACATTTCAAATTTCGTCCACGCGGTTTCCTCTTTCCTCCGATTTCATCCTAACCTTCCACGACGTTCGGGCCACACGCCATCTTTTTTGTTCGGTCTTTGAATAGAAGTTGTTCAGTGAGCATCTCTTATATTTGTGTTTATTCATATATTCATAATACTGTACTACTTTCTGTGATTATACTATAAACACTGTCGTATTATACTGATAACAGTATAATACTCCAGTATTCATAGTTTTTGTGATTATAAAACACGTGTACAGTATTCATACTGTGCTTATTTTTGTGATTACTGTAAAATACTTTTTTTTGTGCTTAATAAAGGGTTTGCTTTGACATTCGTCCATGCTCTGGTCCCTAACCAGACGAAAGTAAAATGTATTCCTGTATGCGGAATATTTATCTTGGTACGTGTGTGCGTGTGTAAACGTACACATGTGTGCCTGCGCGCGTCTCCTTGTCGGGTCAGGCCTCCCTCGGCCGCGCAAACGGCTATCTGAGCTGCTGCTCAAGGCGGCGACGGACCAAAGGTCACGTGACCCTGCGTTGGAGGCGGGCGGCCGCGAGTGGGAGCTGCTCTTCCTGCGCAGCCCCACGAGCATCGTGGCCTCAGACGGGGGGGCCAGCCCTCACGTGGCCGCAGTGCGCTTTACTGTGAACCAGCTGGAGGTGAGGCCTTGCCTACTAAACGATAAACTAAACAGTTTTATTTTACAAAAATTGACACCTTTATACAAGGAATCATGTTTGCATGATCACTTGCAAACATGATCCCTTGTATAAAGGTGTCAGTTTTTGTACCAGTTGAAAGGGTAAAAACCTGTTACTATATTTTTGCCACTGGTAAAGGAGGTCTCATAGTGTAAATGCTTACACCGAGCTCTCAATACTCTGATAGTGCATTGTCTTTGAGTTGTACGCCTTTTTGGCGTCATCTGGTCCAACGCCAATGGAGACTAGGCTCTAAGAAAAGCTGTCTCTGGTGTGGACCAATCAACTTCAAGGAGAGTGCATATCATTAGAGTTTATTTTTGTTTGCATTTTGACTGCTTGTGTTGTGGTTATTGCAAACATGATCTCTTGTATAAAGGTGTCAGTTTTTGTACCAGTTTAAAGGGTAAAAACCTATTACTATAGTTTTATTTTATTTTACCAGGTAAGACCGACTGAGCTGCATTGCACTTTTTCAGAAGTGACCTGGCTATCACAAATGATAGCTCAACAAAGTGGCTAATCATGTGGAAATTTATAGAAACCAAATACGCAACACATTTTTATTCTAAATGTGGAGGGGAAAAACCGGAAGACCCAGAGAAAAACTCTAGGTTGCCGGGTTTGTCGTGTGGGGCGCAACTTTCTGCGCCAAAACTCCACGTTGAGATGTTAACTACCTCGCCTGGTATACAGGAGGACGTGGGTCCAAACCCGACTGACGCCTGCTGTAATATTTGGAGTTTGCATGCCCTCCCTGTGGTCACATGGATTTTTCTCCGGGTCCTTGGGTTTAGCCCTATACATTTATAAACATGCGTTTTGAGTATTTGGCGGCTATACATTTCCACACGATGATAAGTCACTCCGTTGAGCTCTTATTTGTGGCAAGGTAGCTTAGCTTCAGGAAAAAGAACTATGTAGCTCCGTGGGCTTTACCGAGTAAACTAGAAAGTGTTTTATTTTTTTGGTTTACCCCACCAAAACATACGCACACGATTTGCATAATTTAATAATCGAATTCACGTGTGGAAAACGCTGCGCACGTCGTGAGCAGCGTAGGGAGAATCAACGTTGATCCGTAAGCACGCCGTGCTGTTTACGTGTGCATCCATGAGTGGTTAGCACGGTTGGCTACGTACGGTATACAAAGAAGATTAACACACATACACCTCGCCCCCGGCGCTCTTCCCCCCCAGGGAGAGGGCGATGGCGCCGTGGCGGCGTCCACCGGGCGGGAGGAGCAGCTGGCGTGCGGCGCCGTCCTGCGCAGCGTCGGCTACCGCAGCCGCCCGCTGGCTCCTGGCGTGCCCTTCGACCCACGCCGTGCCGTGGTGCCCAACACGCGCGGCCGCGTGCTCTCCCACCCAGGTCCCGTAACCATCCCAACCCCCCCCCCCTCCAGATGCCACGAGATGTGCTGCAATTATTATTGGGCAGGGTGAGGCAAAGCGAAACCGTGCAGTTGCCCCTGCAGTGGTGTTGCTCGCAACAAGTGCCGTTGTCTGTGTTCTGTTTATTGTAAGGTGCAACGCCTTGGAAGGAAAGTTGCATTCAGGTCTGTAACACAGAAGCAGCTTTGTTCACGTAGACCTTTTAAAATAGCGTACACATTTTTAAAGGCCCGTCGTATACGGAAGCCACTAGAGCTATATACACTTTTAAAATCAAGATTGAAAACTCATTTCTTTAGAACTGCTTTTTGTGCTCGGTTTGTCCTTCCCCCGCACCTCCGATTTAGCATGGTTGGCTACGTACGGTGCAAAAGAAGAATATATACATGTTTCTTAATCAACAATAACCTACTACAGTTTTGGAATATGCAGTTTTCTCAATAAAGCAGAATCATTGACGCACAATGGGAATGTAGAATAACAATTATTGCTCATGCGAGGTTAAATTCTTCACAATTTGTCCATATTTGCTATTAAACTTGAGAAACATGCAGCTTGATTGGCTCGGGATTCGTGGTGGTCATGGTGGTGACCTGGGCCAATATTGCTACATTTGTGTCTATACGACGGCTCGGAGGTGTCTGGTAACAATACTTGGACTCGTGTTGTTATCAGGTAAATAACACTCAACAATACGTTGTCGTAAAGGTGCCTCGGCAGATGTCTCAAGCACACATTTCTTGAGCGGTATACTGCTGTGTTTTAATGGTCTACTTTACAGGATTTTCTGAACTTTAAAAAGGTGATGTGTAGATGAGAAATTACTGTGCGGTTACAGGAATCGAACTGTCGACTCCATGCGGGCTGCCTCGGTAGTCAGTGCACCAACAAGACTACTCATTCAATTACAGTGCTTATTATAATCAAGTCTTCCTTTCAAAAAGAGACGCCTATTAGTTCTCTCAGCTGGCTAACTAAAAAATCATCATCATCGCATTGTGACGATTGGGAGGAGCGGTGGTGCTTTGGTCTGCACACTGTGCTGCGACCTGGAGTTCCACTCCTGGCCACGGCTAACATCAGTGGTGAGTGATCTTGGCCCTCTCACTCTGCCAACGCTCACTGACCGGCGTGGTAAAGTACGGTTAAAAAAAATAACAACCCACACGACCTCCATGCAAGTTTTGCCTTCACCCAACAGTGGACCGATTGGACTGTAAATCGCCATTAATACATTGGGCATTCTACGCTCTGTCGTGTTACGGGCACATTACAATTCGGAGTTCTAATTCTCGTGGTCACTGTGCACACGGTGCAGTGCGTTTCTGTGCGTTTTGTTCACGCACGCGTACACGTGCACGCACGCAGGGCTCTACTGCAGCGGCTGGGTGAAGCGAGGTCCGCAGGGCGTCATCAACACCACCATGATTGATGGTTTCGAGACGGCGCAGAGCGTGCTGGAGGACCTGACGACCGGGAAACTTGGGGCCGATTCCAGTCGACCGGGGTTCCAGGCCATCGACAAGATTCTGGCTTCCAAAGGTCAAACATCGCCCCCCCACCCTCAAGGCAAAACGTATATCAATGTGTCTTCACAAAGTGAATTATTTGGCCAAGATACCAATACTGTGAGGGACTTTCCACCAGATTTGTTTTTTGGTTGGATTTCATATTAATTATACGATATGGTTATTAGCTGGTGGATTAATGATTATAGTGTTAAATTTGGTTTTGAAAAGTATAGATGTTGAAGCTATGAGCTCACAGAATGAATGGCTAGTCACTTTGGGTGGCGTTCAACTTTTTAATGACCCGGGATGTGTGACATCACTGGCTCATCCGGCTCTCACACCATGCTCCCGCTTGTACAATAGAAATTAATATCGGGTGCACAAATATTTGAGCTCCACAGAGACAGTTATTTTTGAGGCTAAGGGACACAAAGCATGTTGAAAAATGTATATAAATTTTGGTTATTTTAAGAATAACTATGCAGCTTTTAATTGAGACCAGGATTGTCACTTTAGATGATCTGGTACAAGATCGAGGAGTGACAGTCGGTATCTCTTTGCAGGAGAAGTGAAACGCCAATAAACGCCCGCAATGATGTTTGAATGTCGTTTAATCCTTGGTTTAATCCTTTGAGCAATCTGAGGCAATGCCAGGGCACAAACAGACAGAAGAGACAACGTCTATCAAGAGTATCAGGAAAAATGCACAAGTCTGCCGACGCGGTTGCCTTCTTTTGTGCAGTGACAGTTGACCGAGTTGACATGTTAACACGTACATCAACCCAAATTGTGAATTGCCCGTGGTTGTATGGTACAGGGGTGGCCACGGTGAGTTTCTCCGGATGGGAGAGGATTGACGCGGTGGAGCGGACGCGCGGGGCCGCCCTGGGGAAGCCTCGCGAGAAGATGCTGGATGTGCAGGAGATGCTGAGCGTGGCGGTGCAGTGAAGACTGCCTGGATCCCCACCCCCCGACGTCTCTTGTACTCCTCTTCAGTTGGCACAGCCGAGCGAGCACGGGGGGGCCTCGTGGTACAGGTGGTTTTTCCACTGGCTATGTCAGGCTGAGCCAGAACCCAAACCGGTGATGCCCTGGAGTCACATCTGAATCTGGCTTGAGGTCAAGCAGGGCCAGGGCTAATTCATTTTGTATCATTCGGTACGCCTCAGTGCGATGCCGACGTTACGCATTTTAATTGCTTGTGAAATCGGCAGCGTGACTCTGGTTCCACAGTGGAAAAAGAACCTGGCTCTTCTTGAGCTGCGCTGGGTGTGCTTGGCACGGCTTGGTTGTAAAGTGGAAAAAGAGGTTTTGGAACATGGCACAGAACCCTATCCTACTGTGCAGGTTGCTTCAATATAGTATTGAATACTTAGTTTACCATAGCAGTTAAAAAAGTATTCACGGTTCTGCAGGCCATGCTTAAAATCAAACTGCAGTGTACAGTGGTCTTTGTATAATGTTCATAATGGGATGGGGAAAATTGGCAGGAAAGTGAATCTGAACGACGAGAAGTGATGAAGGTGCAAATCTGAAAATGCCGCTGCAGATGGGTTATCGTGCTGTTTGTATTTTTTATTTGCGCATACAAACACAATCGTGACCAGTTTATCACTCTTGAATGTGATTTTTTTGTTCAATTATGCCTTTCCATTTTTATAATTGGTGAAATTCCATTGTGGAGCAGCTTGGACACAATGTTGTACCCTTGGTATGTACATCAGGTATTACCTATGGAAGACGCTGCCCACAATTGCTTCTGGCTTTTCAGAATCAAGGATGTGCACATTCTTTCGCAGCTTCATAGACAAGTGCCTTGTACTATACCTACTGCTAATTAAGACCCGAAGACAGTATTGGCCAATATGTACGAACCCATATTTCTCATGCAGATAGCGCTGACTACGTCGGGTAACATCTTACCCGTTAAACCTATTTTACCACAGGTGGTTGCGCACGGGACTTTGAACCAGGATTTCGGTGGTGCTGGACCAATGATCTGAGGTTTTGGTATGAACATACCCGGTGCCACCTTTAATGGTTTATATAGCCATATTTATACCGGAGAATGTAAGAATCGTCGTAGTGAAGTATGGATGTTGAGTTCATGGCAAAAGTACTTGAGTGCTTGTGAATGGGAAAACAGAATTAAGTATTAATTCTAGATTTGAAGCTTTCGTGACTGCAAGGAATTCATACTCTAAGGTTTTTCCGGTAAAGTCACGTAGGTAAAAAATTAATAAAAAAATAACATCATAATAAATTAAAATAAATCAATTAAATGACGTTTCGGAAGCAACACAAGCTTCCTTCATCATGTGTAAAAAGGCACAGCAAAATAACCGTAGGAGCCAGGACGGTGAAGGTGGTCCTAAAGGACCATCCGTGACGCCGTCTTTTAGGACCACCTTCACCTTCCTGGCTCCACCCACACCCCAAACCCCCCCCCCCCATCCTGCACCCGTCCTCCTTGGCTCCTCCCCCCTCCTCCTACCCTATATATTAATGTCCCATCACAAATAACTTTCCCTACAGTTATTTTGCTGTGCCTTTTTACACCTGATGAAGGAAGCTTGTGTTGCTTCTGAAACGTGGTGATTTAATTGATTGATTTTCATTTATTATGTTATTTTATTATTATTTTTTACCTACGTGACTTTACCGAAAAAACCTAAGAGTAAGAATTAAGTATATTTAATTTGTGTAACTGTGACACTGTTTAATGTTTAATCGTGTCAATGCTTAATACCTCATACCACTACTGAGCTTTGACAGTTTTAATATCGATGGCAGTATTTTTTGAAAAGTGTCCTACATTCACCTTTGCCAAGAAAACATTTGGCACTGTTTTACTTTAATCCTGAGTAATCATCTTTTAAACGTAGTCGTCGTTGAAATAACAGTCTTGTGGACTGCTTCCGCACAATCGTAGCGTGTTGCCAGGTTGGTTTTCTAACTTGGTGCCTAAAATAGAGGGGATCAATAAAAATTATTTTATCGCATTTTTCATTGTTGAATATTTTGTTTGTTATGAATGGCAGAAACGCAGCACGATGGTTGCTTGTCCTGGGTGCTTGGTTCATCTGTAATATTGTAAATTACGGCGGGAGACCACTTGACGGGTAGCACACTTTGTTAACACTTTCCTTAGCCACAATAACACATGTGGACAACTACAGCTCACGCTACACGTTCCACCCGGCTACAACACACGGGCTCTCCAGCCCCGTAGCTTCCAGGGGAACTCACAGACCCACCCCAGCTGGGGTATGGATCACGACCACTGGGTCCTGCAGCCCGGCCCTCACAGTCCGGCCGCGGGTCCCAAGGTCCCGCCTCTGAGCCACACAGGGTCCCGGCCCTTACAAGGACAGCGGGGCTAGGGGTCTCAGGGCCCTATCTCTTCCTCCTCCGTCTTCACTGGTTACCAACTCCCCGAGCGCCCGCGCGCATCGCCTTTCATAGTCCGCCGCTCCCGAGGGGGCGGAGCCTATGCGGACCGCGATGTGAGCACCCACCCTAGTTGACCAATCACGACGCGCTGCCACACGATCCCTCACTGCCAGCGGTCGTCACCAATACACAGCCAATCACCACGTGCTGCCACACGATCCCTACTGCCAGCGCGTATCACCACTACACATCCACACGGCGTGGGGGGGGGCGGATACAGGTTCTGTTGCAATACTCCAGGGCAGGGACACAACGTGAACAGGAGATGGCAGTAGAGTATGGGTTACTCGAGTTCCCTCCTGCATGTAAAATATTTCACGGGAATTTGACGAAACATCCCAGGAGACAGACATGTTATACTGGTAGGAACCTGGTTACACCAGCCTACAACAGGGGATTATTGTGTCCGTCGTGCAGGGAGGGGTTGGGTGGGGAGGGGCTGGTCACCCCGTGGTGCCCTTATAAAACTCAACGTTTAACCTACTCACGCCGGCTTGTGCCTGCCCTCAGTCGGGCATATTTACGGAATACACCACGCTGCCGTTGACCCTGGACATTGACCGAGCAACCCAACGTTCCTACCAGCTCCCTCCGCAGGAATGTTTGAAGCTGGAAGAAGCTGATGAGGTGTGTGTGGGTTCGTAGGCTCGAGTTTGAGCATTCTCAGTCCGGTTTTGTGAGTCGCGTATCTCTGCGTGTAGTGTGTTCATGGTGCCACCGTGCTTGTCAACGTTTTGATGGGGGGTGCATGCCATGAACACCATCTGATGAAAGGAAGGTGTTGGTGGTTTCTAAAATCGGGCCCAAGATGCATTTTATTGCTTTGAGTAAACTCAAATGTTATTGATGTAATGTGTTGTTTACTTGTGAAGGGATCTTGATTAAAAATTGATTCTCTTTTACGCAGGTGTCCAGCCCAAGCTGGGGCTGGCAGCGGAGGGAAAATTCCAGGAAGTTTTGATTCTAAAATAAACGATCGTCCGTAAACTCGAATAAAGCAACAGACTGCGGAAAGATCTATGACTGCAATCGTAAAACGTCGTATAAAGGACAAAACCACTGCAAAAGCAACGGTGCCAGGACCCTCCTGATGAAAGGGACTTCAGAGTGAATAGGCCTTTCCTGGAATGACAAGTGTATTTCATCCACAAATATATGATATTAAGTGTTTTGTAGCCACCACTTCTTGGCAACCCTGTCACTGGTAAGCAAATTCAACGTGTAAAATGTTTCTAATTTACAATATTTTCGCGTTATTTCCGTGAAGTGATGCACATACATTCATAGCTTGGGTACACTTCTATTCAATTAGATTTTTCCTTAAATGCTGTGTAAACATACTAATGTCAGGCCAAACCTGGATCTAAGTTAATTTGAAGTGAAACTGTAAAAACACTCCCTCCCCCCCCCCCAGATACCACTCGTAACCGAGTTGGATGCTCACCTGGAAAAATAAAGGGCCATATTAAATTATTTTATTTTATATCCACAAGTGAACAAAACACAATTCATTGACAACTTAAAATTAAACCCTCCAGATACGAAAGAAACGGGAAACTCTTTCCTCCAAACTTGCATTTTATTCAGCATATATGCGTATAATACTTGCATAGGTTAGTGCGAGATTGTGGTTTCAAACGGCACCGATCCAGGCATTATTACTCAAATATACAGCACAACCAGAGTACCCAGCGTGCACAATAACATACTTCAGTTCTCCTGTGGCAACACGCCGCTACGGAAATTGCATCGCGTTGCTTTACATTCACATGCCGTGCAGAGAACCCAGCAAGCTACTTGCGAGGAGGCCCCATTTTCTGCCGCTCCGCCAAGTATTTATTGCTTAATCTGTCGCGTGTATCGAAATACCTTAACCCACACTCGACTCCCGATGATGCATCGTGTCTGCCTGCGTTCAGCCATCTAACGTCCGTCTCCTCCTGTCCATCTGTTCAAATTGCTGCTGTCTTTGTGCGTACACGTGACCATCGCTGTCCGCTGCTGTGTTAAACCTCTGTAAAAAAATGTCTGCCCATCCATCTGGCTGGCTTCTTGGTCACCGTGTCCTGTCTGTTCTTCATTGTGCCCGTTCATCTGCACATTTGTCCGCCTTTGTCACCTTGTCCAATTCATCCAGTCTAGTCTGTCACATTCTGTCCAGTTGTCACTTGTCCATTTTATGCAAAGACACTCGCTCACCGGTCATTTTTCTGGTTTTGTCCACACAACCTGTTCACCGTCCATCCATCCCATCTCTATTTAATGCATCATGCTAAGCCTTTTCTATAAGAGTTAAAAATAGCAGTAACATTGGTTTGACAAGCTTAATGTGCAATGCTATTTATGAAGACAATGTAAAATTAAATCCAAATTTTGTCCTGAAGGAAAAAAAACAATCACCATCACAAATGTCATATGCCAAGTGCATCTGCACCTCAGATTAGCATGGTTGGCTATGTACGGCGCGAAAGAAGTTTAACATACAGCAGCTTTGCCCCAAATTTTACAACTTAATGTAGCTTTCCCAATCAAGCATTAAATGATAGAAGTGTGGTTATTGCATCTAATACTGTAACGTGTGGTGTGGGTGAGATGGGTATCATCTCAGTCCACCTGGGTCGTGTTTTGTGTAACTTTTAAACAACTAATACCATCATCAAGGTGAAACTGATGTTGTTAAATCGAATCCAGATTTGATCAGAAGAGCTACATGCTAAAAAAGGACATTTTCAGTGCCAGGCACCTATGAGGTCTTTGAGTGAACAAACGAAACATTGAAGGACTGCAGACCTCCGTGTGAGACCAAAGGGAAACCAACACTGACATCGTCGCCTAACAGGCGATGCACATTGACGACAGCGCACCGATGGCGAGTTACAGAATAAACGCTTCCACCTTTTAGTGCTGCAAATAACCATCCTAAACATGTCCTCCTCACTGCTTTCAACAGGCAGGGCCTAAAGGACTCTGCTTTCAAGTTCCACCTTCACGACGAGCGGTGACACAATAACCCTCACAGCTGGTCACGTGACGCTCATCGTGCATAAGCCCCCCAAACACATTCCTGCGGAGGGAGGTGGTAGGAACGTTGGGTTGCTCGGTCAACGGCGGCGTGGTGTATTCCGCAAATATGCCCGACTGTGAGGGCGGGCACAAGCCGGCGTGAGTAGGTTAAACGTTGAGTATAACCCCACCCTCCCCACCCAGCCCCTCCCTGCACGACGGACGGACAGAATAATCCTCTGTGGGCTGGTGTAACCAGGTCCCTACCAGTAATAAGGCAAGGCCATCACCACCTGTGCCACTCACCAGGCCTACACATGTGGGTGACTTCAATAGCCGCACTACACACAGTGGGGCTACTCGTAAAATTCTGACACTGCTTATATATGACCCAAAACAGGCGAGCACATTTCACTCAACCCAAAGGAAAAAAAATGACTAGAAACCAGACTTAAGCTTCATCTCAAAAGGACAAGAACGGACGGCCACTAATTGCTTCGTGGATTTATTATCCGACACACCGGTGTGCTGAACTAGTAACAAATCGGCATGTTTTCTTTACGTGACAAACCTTACTAATTGGCTGTGTGGGGTGGTGGCAGGGTTGAAAGACACATTTATATAGTTACGCGATTTAACCCCAAAAAAAACCTATTATGGATGAGTGTCTCGAATACAGAAAGTAAAAAAAAATGAAGCAGCAAGAGAATGACTGGGACAAGTGATGATAATGTACGGATTAATGTATGTATGCTGAACTTCTTTTGCACCGTACGTAGCCAACCGCGCAAATCGGAGATTCGGCGGACTTGCCCGCCGGCTTTCGTTCGCCAACGTTCTGCAGCTCATCGAGTTGGATGACTCTGCCTCGCCGGAGGAGATCTCTCTACAAGCTGGCCACGACTGCAAAAGAGCGTCATCCCACCAGCTAGGGCCCCACAAGGCGTCTGTGATCGACGCTCATCCCAGCACCACCCGGTCGGCTTGGAGAATATCCAAGAGACAACTCTTGTGATTTGGACACGTCTAGAACGGATCCGATTTCATTAAAAAAATCAAACACGATGTTACACGCGCAAGCAAAACTCAACAAAAAAATAGAAAAGGCCAAAAATGTGCCAGATTGGGGCGGTGAAAAATCATCTCGAGCAAAATGGGCGACAAGGAAGCCATGAAAGCTGGCTGGTGCGAGACGGGAACAGTGGACAGAGGTCAATCGGCCTGACTAGGAGGGACGCAAAGCAAGTAAAATGATCACACGCTGTACTCTGACGTGCTGCGCTCACACTGAAATCGAGTAGGAAACCAATCCGATAAAAAGCTTGCATTGACGGTCTTAACAATGTAGCCGATGAATCCACTGACAACAGAAAGTGAAGCTCGAGGATGACGGGCAGTAGTTGGACCCCTCTTTGGCTCTGTGGTGCTCACCACTGGGCAGTGTTTAGTTTTTTTGGCAAAGATGAGAGCCCCGTTGGCGATCACGGAGCCTCTCCAAACAAGACTTGCGGTAAAAAGGAGAAATATAAGACGAGCGCAGGTATGG